TTCGCCGGGGTATTCTCTCCTCAGTAGTGTTGAGCTCTCGAATATTAAAATAAATGGAATTCTAAAATTCATCTGGTGACGTCTTATATAAGAGTAAAGGCTACCATTTTAGGAGAGCATTCTTGAAGACTGCAGGTAAATTAGATGGTGAAAAGTGACATCTATATCCTATATATCATCCCATGTAATGAGATGAGACAAAATATCAATTTACCGAATTTAGCTTTACAATGAGGCCACAATCTGAAGGAATATGAACATACGGAAGGATTGTAAGATTATATATCATGTTTGTACCCTTTACTATGAAGTAATTAGACTAAATGTTGACCAAATATTACAATAAATGTCTGTAGATTCTAATTATAGTCCAAATACTTCATGAAAATGGCTTGTCCCCTCATTACAACTTCAAATACATATTTCGTCCCATCTCATTACATTATGATTTCGAAAATTGTTAATCAACTTTGAAAATTGATTTTTTTTTGAAAATGTGACTTCTTGTTCGGGGAGATTGCATAAGTATTATTAGATATATAAGGGTTATATGAAAATTGAACCAATAAAACAGATGAATATTTAAGTTAAAGGGAACTTTCTAATATACCTGCTATGCTGTCTGACCTGAATGAGCCACCTGGTGGTGAAACTGGTAACTACTTACTCGCATCTGCGTTATTGGGTGATGCCAATTAATCAGTTCAGAGAATTAGTGAGGCAAAATATGACTCAATTAAGGAATAAGGATTATATGATCTATGGTATAATATATGACACTCAGATTCCATTCTGTTCATTGTTTAAAGCCAGAAATGATCTGGCAATTTAGGTTTTTGCCAATGGCAAGAATAAAAATCTGAGGTCATATATTTGCCATAAATCATAGAATTGAGGTGTTTGTAATGATTCTAATATGATCAAAGTATGCAATCACACCAAACATTATATTTTACTGGTCTACAACAAAAAGTGAATCAATTGTTCTAGTTAAAGTGACATATCATGTTAGAATAAGGAAGCCATCAGCATTGTTTAAGCCTAAAAACATTTCTGTGGTAAAACGATATGCTTCATAGACTAGACTTGAGGCTTTTTGTTTGGGTAAAAGGTCCAGCATAAGTGTGCAATGATCCATAGATTTACCAACACAAGACTCAGAACAGGTTTTTCCCTTTTAAATACTGCAGGAATTGGTTAGGCCTTTTTAGGTTTAATTTGGCAAAACAAAATAATAAATGTGATTATATTTAAAAATAATTTTTTATTAATTTGAAAGGTAAGAAATGAACATGGCATCATTAAATGCAAAGTATTTGTGGTCATGTTTTTTTTTTCTTTTTTATAATGGCTACCGCAAGAACTCTACGTTGGGCTTACAGTGAAGAAGATCACATTTTTGTAGCTGCAAGTTGAAAAACCCTATTTCAGTTGTCCTTTAACAATTCTAGAATCTACTAAACAGATTATAGATTAATCTAAAGTCTCAATTCTGATTGCAGGTACAGTAGTAGTAGTAGTATTGTGGAATGTCAGAATCAGCTATGATTAAAATGTGTATGAGTATTTAATGAGTTTGTCTCTGAGTATACCCACTGAGGGGCTCACACTGGGGGCTACTCAAGGCTTCACTGAGAGGCTCACATGGGGGTTTCTCCACGCTTCAACCTCTCGTTAATATCTTCACAGACAGCGGGAAGATCTGCAATGCTATCAACCACATAATGAGCCCCTGAGTTGACCAGTAGATTAGTACTATAGGCGAGACGGCGGGCCATCTCTTCCTTTGATAGAGATGCTTCATGCTCAAAGTCATCAATATCCATATAATTACTGTATTTAGCGACACCAACTGCCCAACAGCCTGCATTCAGGGCTTCACCAACACCAGTTACAGTATCATCTACTTTAACCACTGACTGGATTGTCTGAATGTTCAATAGATCCATGTTGCGGTAAACCATATGAGGGTTTGGACGAGCCCCATTGATAACTTCATCCCCTGCCACAGTAACATCTGGCACATATCCCTGCTTGGCAGCCTCTTCCGCAAGGATATCTACCATTGAACGGAGAAAACCAGTGGTAGTGCCAATTTTCATTCCAAATTCATTTTTCATTCTGTTGACAGCATCTGCACATCCAGGGAGTAAATCAGTGTACTGACGTAAGCAATCTAATTGCATGGGGACAAAATCTTTGAACATGTTGTCAACATCTTCTTGATTGGGGTATCTTCCATACACATCCTTCCAACGTTCCCGCACTTCAGGCACTTTAGTAATTGCATCAATGTGAAGATCTTTACGCAATCCCATTGGCCCCCGTGCCTCAGCCATTGAAATTGGAACCTGTAAAATAAACTGAAATATTCAAAACAAGAACTAATCATAAGGTTCTAACTTCAACATTAAGAAGTGGAGGGAGGGGCTGGGTTCTTTAAATAATTATTATTCTTAGTTTAAATTACAACCTCAATGTCAACAAGATCATCTTGTTACCAATGGAGTTTTACATTATTCTATTGGAAGTATTTGATAAATCTGGAAAGGTCCATGTGCAGTATGGCAAGTGATTTTAGACAGTCATATCTTTCACCATGAGTACTGTCTGGGCATAAATACAATGGTTTTTATTAAAACAATATGTTTTCTTTCAAGTGAAGTACCCATATTGATAAAAATATCAAACAAAAAATTCGGAAAATTATGAATACGAACCCCATGTCAACAATTTTTTCAAAATGTTGAACCTATTTACTTAAAAGAAGATCTTCTTTTTCTGATTTTTATTGCATGAAAAGATTTATTCAACAAGGGATCTAAAACTTCTTCAAAAGTAGAATGGTGTTGAAAGTCTAGTTTTGAAGATATCAATAATGATGACCAAAATTATGCTGAAAACAATGGATCGCACGAGTTTTCCCTATGAGAAAATAACATGGGATGTGGTGTTTTTAACTTTAACGCATTTCAATACACATTCCCTTTTCAGAAATCTTTAATTTAGTGAAGAAAAAATGTTTGATATGTTAAAATTGAGAAAAACAAGAAAGTGGTGAAAGACCGTCAAAAATCACTTGCCATACTGCACATGGACCTTAAGCAACCTTTATCAGTTGTTTGATCCTATGAATTATATTCTGGCCTGACCAAAATCACTACTGTATTATATTATGAATCCATTTATACAGCAATTTTACTAAAGATCAAATTTATTCAGTCTCTACACCAGGGGCCATGAATTCGTACAATCCAAGAGTTTATCCTGATGAATCTTATCTTTTTGGATTATTGATCCAGATTAATATTTGGTGAATTCATTTGATCCTAGGATTTTGGGGGGAATCCCCAAGATTTATCCAAACTAGACAACAGCAACGTCAAAGCGCAGCAAATCCCATCGAATAGCCATGGCTGCCATATTTACAAACAAAGTATATAGCAAAAATGGCAGCCAAATTTCAAAATGGCCACCTTCTACCAAAAGTGTCATTAGACAGTGTGCCATGCTCATAGTATTCACATAATAACAAATATGATCAAAATCGCTCCACTACTTTTCAAGTTAAAGTAAAATACGTTAAAATGGTGGCCATTTTTCAAAATGGCCGCCTTCTACCAAAAGTGTCATTAGACATTGTGCCATGCTCATAGTATTCACATACCAAATATAAACAAAATCGCTCCACTACTTTTCAAGTTATAGTAAAATACGTTAAAATGGTGGCCATTTTTCAAAATGGCCACCTTCTACCAAAAGTGTCATTAGACAGTGTGCCAGGCTTATAGCATTCACATACCAAATATGAACAAAATCGCTCCACTACTTTTCAAGTTATAGTAAAATACGTTAAAATGGTGGCCATTTTTCAAAATGGCTGCCTTCTACCAAAAGTGTCATTAGACAGTGTGCCATGCTTTAGTATTTACATACCAAATATGAACAAAATCGCTCCACTCCAGTTAAAATGGTGGCTATTTTTCAAAATGGCCACCTTCTACCAAAAGTGTCATTAGACAGTGTGCCATGCTTATAGTATTCACATACCAAATATGAACAAAATCGCTCCACTACTTTTCGAGTTATAGTAAAATACGTTAAAATGGTGGTCATTTTTCAAAATGGCGGCCATTTTTCAAAATGGCCACCTTCTACCAAAAGTGTCATTAGACAGTGTGCCATGCTTATAGTATTCACATACCAAATATGAACAAAATCGCTCCACTACTTTTCGAGTTACAGCAAAAATCGTAAAATAAAGAGTAAATGCCGCCATTTTTAAAGATGGCTGCCATGTGCTTCTTTAATATCTACATTTCTAGCTTTATTCATGTCCTATATAATTTTTTACATTTAAAACATATTACAGTTTTACATATTGCACCTATATTACTGTAAAATCGGCACTAAAATGGCCGCCATTTTAAAATGAGCGGCCATTTTGAAAATCGTCTTTCAAGTAGAACTTCTACCCCCCATAAAGTATGTGTGTACAAAATATGAACAAAATCGGGCCAACGGTATTTGAGTTATTGCCCGGATGGATGGATGGACGTACATGCACTTTTCAAGGGACGCAGTTTTTTGAGGGGGGACGCATTTTTTGAAAATCAGTACGTCCCATGGACACAGTCTTGGACAAACCTACTGAAAACACTGCACAATGCATCATCACCATGACGAAAAAATTTACACTAACAGATTAGAATTGTATATGGGTTTCATCCAACAATAACCTTAATCAGATATTATATATCCTCAATCAAGATAATACCAATATACAATCTTTTTCATTGAAAAATCCTGTTTTACATGTACATCATCTTTGCCTTAGTAACTTACTGCAATGGGGTTCTTTATACATAATGAGACGATAAATCCCCTTGAAAGATAATAATAACAGGTATAGGAGTTTCACTAGAATTTCTCACAATAGGTTAAACAAGGCATTAACATGACAAAATGTCACCACCTAGTTGCTCACAATATTATGAGTTCAAACTTAAGTCAGATTTGAATTTCTGAGAACTTGTAAAGTCAAATTTGAACTTCTGAAAAGATGTAGATGATTTGAAAATTTTTTTTAGTCAATTTGAAGCAAGTTGAAAACAGACCTTTTTGACCTTTTTGACCTTGAGAAGGTCATTAAAGGTCAAATGTCAAATCTAAAGTCAGATTTGAATTTCTGAGAACATGTAGATGATTTTGAAAAAAAGAATTAGTCAATTTGAAGCAAGTTGAAAAAAGACCTTTTTGACCTTGAGAAGGTCATTAAAGGTCAAATGTCAAATCTAAAGTCAGATTTAAATTTCTGAGAACATGTAGATGATTTTGAAAAAAAAATTAGTCAATTTGAAGCAAGTTGAAAACAGACCTTTTTGACCTTTTTTGACCTTGAGAAGGTCATTGAAGGTCAAATGTCAAATCTAAAGTCATATTTGAATTTCTGAGAACATGTAGATGATTTTGAAAAAAAATTTTAGTCAATTTGAAGCAAGTTGAAAAAAGACCTTTTTGACCTTTTTTGACTTTGAGAAGGTCATTGAAGGTCAAATGTCAAATCTTAAGTCAAATCTAAAGTCAGATTTGAATTTCTGAGAACACGTAGATGATTTTGAAAATTTTTTTTAGTCAATTTGAAGCAAGTTGAAAACAGACCTTTTTGACCTTTTTTGACCTTGAGAAGGTCATTGAAGGTCAAATGTCAAATCTTAAGTCAAATCTTAAGTCAGATTTGAATTTCTGAGAACACGTAGATGATTTTGAAAAAAAATTTTAGTCAATTTGAAGCAAGTTGAAAACAGACCTTTTTGACCTTTTTTGACCTTGAGAAGGTCATTGAAGGTCAAATGTCAAATCTAAAGTCAGATTTGAATTTCTGAGAACATGTAGATGATTTTGAAAAAAAAATTTAGTCAATTTGAAGCAAGTTGAAAAAAGACCTTTTTGACCTTTTTTGACTTTGAGAAGGTCATTGAAGGTCAAATGTCAAATCGTAAGTCAAATCTAAAGTCATATTTGAATTTCTGAGAACATGTAGATGATTTTGAAAAAAAATTTTAGTCAATTTGAAGCAAGTTGAAAAAAGACCTTTTTGACCTTTTTTGACTTTGAGAAGGTCATTGAAGGTCAAATGTCAAATCTTAAGTCAAATCTAAAGTCAGATTTGAATTTCTGAGAACACGTAGATGATTTTGAAATTTTTTTTTAGTCAATTTGAAGCAAGTTGAAAACAGACCTTTTTGACCTTTTTTGACCTTGAGAAGGTCATTGAAGGTCAAATGTCAAATCTTAAGTCAAATCTTAAGTCAGATTTGAATTTCTGAGAACACGTAGATGATTTTGAAAAAAATTTTTAGTCAATTTGAAGCAAGTTGAAAACAGACCTTTATGACCTTTTTTGACCTTGAGAAGGTCATTGAAGGTCAAATGTCAAATCTAAAGTCAGATTTGAATTTCTGAGAACATGTAGATGATTTTGAAAAAAAAATTTAGTCAATTTGAAGCAAGTTGAAAAAAGACCTTTTTTGACTTTGAGAAGGTCATTGAAGGTCAAATGTCAAATCGTAAGTCAAATCTAAAGTCAGATTTGAATTTCTGAGAACACGTAGATGATTTTGAAAATTTTTTTTTGTCAATTTGAAGCAAGTTGAAAACAGACCTTTTTGACCTTTTTTGACCTTGAGAAGGTCATTGAAGGTCAAATGTCAAATCTTAAGTCAAATCTTAAGTCAGATTTGAATTTCTGAGAACACGTAGATGATTTTGAAAAAAAAATTTAGTCAATTTGAAGCAAGTTGAAAACATACCTTTTTGACCTTTTTTGACCTTGAGAAGGTCATTGAAGGTCAAATGTCAAATCTAAAGTCAGATTTGAAGGTCAAATGTCAAATCTAAAGTCAGATTTGAATTTCTGAGAACATGTAGATGATTTTGAAAAAAAATTTAGTCAATGTGAAGCAAGTTGAAAAAAGACCTTTTTGACCTTGAGAAGGTCATTGAAGGTCAAATGTCAAATCTAAAGTCAGATTTGAACTTCTGAGAACATGTAGATGATTTAGAAAAAAATTGAAGTCAGTCTAAACAGTATTTGTTAAGTTATAGGAAGTTGTAAGAAATTGTTACAGACGCCGGACGCCAACCGCCAGACGCCGGACGCCAACCGCCGGACGCCAACCGCCGTCGCAAAAAAACGGAGACCATAACAATATGTCACCACTTTTGGTGGTGACATAACAAATGAAAACAACAGGCAAAATTAATGAAAATCATTAATTTAACATGGAAAAGTTGAAAAATCCCTAAAAACAACCAGCGATTTTGCGGAAAGAACCGGTGAAAATCGCATGTTACCCTGCTAATGAAACCCCTGATATAGGACATTGACAAACCTTGTGTTTCTTGAAGACTTCCGCAAAGACTACAGCTGGAGCCAGGACATATTTGTCAGCTGTAGTTCCACTCCAGTCTAAGATACATGCCTTCAGTGGCCCCCTGTACTGACGCAGGAACCTAAAATGATTTGCCATAGCTGGAAAATATAATTTATGGTTCATATATGAACATACAGTTGTAGGTTACAGCAGGGGTATATAGAGACTTTAGGTCAATGGGTATAGATGGTATATGGTGACCTCCTTCAAATCCACAAACAGAGACATCCTTAACTTCTATATGCATTCATTGTGAGAATAGCAATATGAAAGTATTGACCCCATGCCAATACCTGAATAAGAAATTTAAAAGCATAACTGACACTTACAAAGACTTAATGTTTATGCTTTATAAACATCTAAAGTTGAATAAAACATGAAATACACCCACCTCTATATTCTTGCAAGTCCTTTCACTGCTTGATGTTGCCTGATATCTACAAGGTCAATATGCAACTTGCTTCTCAGTATTGACAATGTAGGATATTCCCATGAGTCCTCCACATGTCATTTGTCACAAATTGGTCAATCAGAATTTAGCATTCAACAGAACAATATATTTGTATGTTTTGTAAGTGAAGAGCACTTTGGAATGTTATCTTGGTTGACTTTGACCATTGGTAATGCAAAATCTAACATATCTGATGTTATCTTGTCATGTTTTGTCTTCAGGATTGTATTGTTCATTGCCAGACCCCAGTTCAGATAGTTCCAGTGGCCATGAATGTCAAAGAAAGTAGAGAATTATAGAGTTACACATGTACTCTTCCTTTTGGATTCAACTATATTTTCTTCCAATTTTTAACATGAAATTGCTAGGCTAATTTGAAGATAATCTGATACTGCCTCTCTTGTTCTCCTGTTTTTCAATCATGTTTTTGCTAATTAATTCCTGTTTATGTTTGGCAATATTGCACTTTGCCAAGAAAGTTCATGTTTATTTAACTTCAATCAATAAATAATTTCATATAATCCACAATTTCATGTTTATCATTATCACCATATATACAGCATCTGTTATAATTGTTGATAAAAGCTAATATTAATTATTCTATTAAGGCAGCTCTTTTTCGTTTTTTATGATTGACTACCATCGTAGATGTCTGAAGTTTTTCGACTCTCCGAGTTTCCCAATCTTGAAAGTCATTCAAGCCTTTTTGGCCTGCTTTAAATAAATCTTTTTCCATTTCATCCAGTTTAGCTGTCAGCCTAGCATTGTCTTCATTGTATGCATTTTGGGAGGAATCCATGATGTTACGAAATCTTCCCTGGAATGTCTGAAAGAAAATTTGAATTGATGACAACTAATGACACTAATGCATGCACCCTATTTTATACCTATTGACTTCAATGCTGCTTATCTATATCTATTATACTATAGTTTCCACAGACTAACATTAATAAAGATCACTTATCTATACAAGTATATAGTACTACATGTACATACAAGTATTTCCTAAACAAAATCATTTTGCTTTTGACAAAATGTCATGTTGCTTCAGAAAATCAAACAATTTTGGGGTGCCAATTGAACATCATTAATATATTCCGTTTAAACTACTTTAAACAACCATAGTCTATTGAAAACATTATAACAGGTCTAAAGATGTCATTTCATGATTTTTGGCATTTTCAAGTTACCACAAAGTATGGGTTGGGCCAAAAAGTTTTACATTTTGTTGAAAAATTATATACACGTGACTTTTTTTAGAATGCACAGATTTCAATAATACATTCCCAAGAATTGTAGCAATCAATTTTACACTTTATCCCAAAATGGCACAAGTACATCTTTAGTGGTCTTTGGATGAGAAAAGTTAACAGACAATAGGGTTGTGAATGCACACTTCCAGTTTCAAGGTAATACATGTACCATGTTTGTTCTAATAAACTCACAGTCCTAATAGTGTGAATTCCATTGATTCACTTACCGCTATCTCTATTTCTGTGCACAATGCTCAAAGTCCTAGCCAGAAAGGATTGGAGTGGATGTTTTATCATCGATATTAGGGCATATATGTCAATTAACCCACGGACACACATTCAGTAGATCGATAAATGCATGAGGAAAACATTATGTTATCTAGTTGGAGTGAGTCAAGTTTTAAAGAGGAAAATCATATAATACCATATGATTGCCAATGAATATATTTATTTTTCAAAAATCCCAGGGGATTTTATCACCTGGGAGATGCACTGTGCGTTTATTAGAGAGAATACGGTATCCCATATTTGGATTGCATCTCATTCAAAACATTTCTAATTGTGAAAAAAATATCCAAAAATATGGACTTTTTGGCCCACCCTGTACAAATGCATATTTAGGTGGATGCAAACCTATTTTAAACAAGGCACATGATGTGAACGAGGTCACACCATCAAAATACCTTCAAAATGGCTGCCAGAAAAAATGGCAGCCCAAAAGTTAATCAGCTTGATATCCTCTATCATGTGTGCAAATTTGAAGGAAATCCAATGAGCGGTTTTCCTGAAATGGCGATGACAAGATTTTTCGAAAAACCTTCAAAATAGCCACCAGAAAACAAGATGGCCACCCAAAAGTTAATCAGCTCTAGTACTTCATATGCTCTATCATCTCTGCGAATTTGGAGAAAATCTGATGAGTAGTTTTCCTTAAACGGCGATGACAAAAAGCGGGGCGATCACGACCACGACCAGTATGACGACTATATCCCACCGATGGTGTTATAAAAAAGCAAGACAATCACAATAATGATCACGACGACTATATCCCATCGATGGTGTGATAAAAATTACAGTTCAGCCACTTGCTTTAATGCTTAGAAGAGAATGGAACTCACCTGTACCAGGGAGGATGCAATATCAGAAGCATCTGCTGGGTCAAACTTGAGAAGCTGGGCACCAAAAGTGTAATAATATGGTCCTAATTTATGAAGGTCAACAACATTTGCATCAGCCAATAGAATCTCTCTGTAGCTTTCTTTATATTGTTTGGGTATCTCAACATCAGCTATGTGTTTCTTCTTGTTCCGTTTATTGCACAGTACACGTGCCAACCAAAATGGCAGATCGAGTTTTGATCCTGGAGAGATATGTTCATTGTCAGTTGTCATATCTAGAAAACCTGAAATAAATAAAAATGGGCTTGATAAAAAGAAATTTCAAAATATGTTTGCTGTACTAGGATAATAAAAATAAATATACAGGGTGACCTTTTGGTGGCATAAAAAATAACAAAACAAATGTCTATACAGCTACAGTCTAAATTAATCTTTTAAATACTAGTCTGCGATGTAATTACAAGCCGGATCAAAGAGAATTCTCCGGCTTTCAGACGAAAATCTCCCGCTTTCCAACAACTTAAAGTATTCCCAGAACTTATCCCGTGCCAGGACTATTACCTTAAACTCGTCTTTTTCTGAGGAAACCCCCGTAAATTCAATCTTATTTTGCAAAATTTTGATGTTTCCTTCGGGTGGTTTAAACCCAAGTGCGCATGCGTAACAACCCAGGGCGAGTCCATTACCGAAATAACACCCCCTTGTTTTGAGTTTGGGTGAGTTTATTAGCACGTGTTTAGGATCACGTGAGAAAATCAGACCTGTTGATTGGCCGACTTCGATACTAAGTAAACAAAATAAATTAAAGGCGTGGTTAAGCTCCCACTTGAGCTGTCATCCAATCCTTATATGGCATGAGATGGCTACAGTGAAGATTCTATGCATGTGTAATTTCGCTGACAATCCAGCTTACGTCTTTATTTTCTGTTTTTCTAAATTTGGTTATAATAAGCGCGAGATCCAAATCAAACAATCCTAGCATCCGTTCAGGGCAATGATGCCTCGTGTACGCAACAAACGAACTGCTTCGGAGAATCTGCAGATTTGCAATTTTTGCGCAACCTCAGCTTGCTCAGCTCGCGTGTTTAATGTATGCCATAAATTTTTTTTGACAATAATATGGCGGAGTCATATAAAACCAAGAGTTACATGATTTTGCCACATTGATCCTGTTCTGCCACAGTTTGCCTCGTGTAAAAGTGGAGTAAAATCAAGAGTGCGATCTCTTGTTTTTACAACAACATGCCACGCCACACATGGGGCAAAATGAAGCGAACTAAAGTGAAGTTAAGTAAGAACATGTCATGAAAATATGACATAGTAAGTAAAATCAAAACACAAATTCTCGGGATAAGTTCATATGGTTAAAATAACGAAATAATGAAATGTTACCATGTGTCTACTTAGCAGTTTGTTCTATGTCATCCCTCCTGCTAGGTTACGTTGTGGAACTCAGCCAAACACGACACTGAAGGCAGTATTCTGAGGTTATAAAATCTAAATCTTAAAAATTTCCCATTTGCAGCCCCATGGAGACTTCCGGAATTGAACAAAGTAGCGAACGTTGTGATCTTTCAACTTTAGTTCGTTGTTTTTCACCACTTTATGTGTAGTGTTTTCATTTAGGAGGCGGTCCTATTTGAATGCATCATTTCAGGTCTTTATGAATCAATAGATCAATAAGCAGACTAAAATTATAATTTAGCAGTTTCGTTGAAAAAACTGATTTGGAATATCCAGTGACTTTAGCAGCCTTCCCTACAATGTTTGACATTGCTATCTCGGCATGCCCAGCTCTTCTATAATCAGTAGCAAATGCTCACAAAACATTTTCCAAAATATTTACTACCGCTTTCCTTGAAGACATGGTTGGATGACACGTCATTATCGATACAGTAACTAGTCACGTGATCAGACACGTGTTACGCGATCAGTCACGCGAGCTAGCAAAATGGACGATCTAAATTTCCAAAAATTCTGCTACGATCAATATCAACATGTTGTTGCCTTCATTGTCGCGTTTGGCTGCATTCCACAATGTAACCTAGCAGGAGGGATGACATAGAACAAACTGCTAAGTAGACACACAGTAACATTTCATTATTTCGTTATTTTAACCATATGAACTTATCCCGAGAATTTGTGTTTTGATTTTAGTATTTATCTCACGAATTACATGTAATTTATTGCAGGTAAAATTGAGTGTTTTCCAATGGGTTTGATGCAAGGCTTTACATTTGGAAAAAAATATCCAAATTTTAAAAATCAACAAATGCTAAAGCCTACTCACAGAGCTGTCAAGTGTCCCGCGAATGGCGGGATTATCCCGCAAATTTGATCAAAATTAGGCTAATTCGCGTGTCCCGCAATGTCCCGCGAAGTCCCGCAAATGTCGGCCTTGACCTCCGCGAATTTCCGAAATTGTTGCAATCCTCTATATTGTGATTATCTTATCTTATATAAGAAGTTTTTGCACTTTTGAGGAGTAAAGTTTACCTAACTTTAAGTACCCAGCATGCTTTTGTTTGGTATCAAAATAAAGAGGAAGGGTTCAACTTTCATTTTAATTACGATAATAGGGATGTAGGTCATAAATAGTTCCAACGTTGGCCTTTTTACTACACGTGTGGCAAATGAGAACTGAGCGAATGTTAGCAAACGCGAGTTACAATAAATGGACGCTGACATCTAGAAAAGTAACCTGACTCTCTATAATTTGATGTAGATTAATTGAACCCCTATATCATGGACTTTCAATTGAAAGTCCATGCCTATATGAACAGGTAATATATATATATAATACTATGGGGGAAAGCGTTTCAAAGTGCAAAGTATTGTTCAGAGTTTTTGAATTTCGTGTTCGATTATGGGACTCACACCTGAAGCATGGTTTTTGTTTTTGATAAATAACAATAAAGTTTAATATTATTCTTATGCGTATTTTTTAGAATTGTGTTGCCATTTATTTAAGTTACAATTTAAGTGTATTATATTTGATTAATCAGTATCAAAAGGTTTGATTGGAGTACTTTTACCAATCACGCAAATCCATTGCATGTCCAGGGACATCCTGCAAATTTAGGTGGATGTCCCGCAAAATGCTGCAAATCAAGGGTACTTTGTCTAAAAAATCTGTCCCTCTATGAAGTCTTTGGTGGTTAAACTGTTAACTGTCCCGCAATTAGGATGTTTGTCCCTCGAATGGTCCCGCGAAATCCCGCTAATTTGATAAAAAAGGCATATTAGCGCAATCACGCAAATCCCTTAAAAGTCCCGCGAAATCCCGCGAATTTAGTAGATGTCCCGCAAAATCCCGCGAAATTTGGGCACTGGGTCTAAAAAATCTGTCCCGCGAGAAAATCTTTGGGGGTTGACAGTACTGTAGACTACTCACCTAATCTGAAAACTGGAACTTCGAATTTACACTTGATTCTTTCATGAGTCGCTAAAATGTCATCGATACTGAAGTAATTTTCCTCGTAGTAACCAGAGCGAGAGCTGCTAGCCTGAGAATTGGCCATATTTCGAATATTTTATTTTTTTAGAAAATCCGCCAAAATCAGAACGAGGCTAAACGGAAGTGAACTATTTTTATTTTCTTTCTTACTACGCCCTTCTATATTTTCTTATTTTGCATCATAATATTCACAATAATTGTCACACTTATGGAAGTTTAATATAAGGTCATTTAAATACTGCTCCATTATGAAACAAAATAGTCTATAATCCGTCCACAAAACGAAGAATGCTATCCTAGGCGGAATCATTTGTAGAAGGAGTTGTTAGGCTCTACAAGTAGGAAAAACACAAACATTCTGGAATATAACAAAAATTTTACTGAACCTGGACATTTCAGCTGAGTATAGTCATTCAGAGTACTATAAAGTTATTCCCCAATATATAGAGATCATCTAGGAAAAATGCCGGTTGTTTTGTTAGAGAGATTGCCTTTGCCGAGCCTCCAAACTTATTCCAGCTTTTCAGTTTTGCTTCTTGGAATTTCCCTGTTGTATTCACACAAGTTGATCACTGAACCACTTCAGTTAGATGCTAATGGTACAGTTATTGAAGATGTCGGCAACATCACAAAGAACAGGACATTTGGTGATGAGGGTTATTACAGTGATATGATGGAGATTATGACGCAAGAGCTGATGTGTATTTGGGTAAGAATTACTTACTTAGAGTCCAAAGCCTTCTCTATATTCCGGCTTTGAGTGATTGTTTACAGCCTAGTGTTCCAAATGGTAGTGAAAACTGGTGCCGGTTTTACCGCAATTCAATACCTTGCAGTTTATAGTCATGATTTGTCAATGTATTTTCTGCTGAGTGAGCTGTATAAATGGCGGATCCGTTGAGTTTGAGGTTCTTTCAGAAAAGAAATTTTCAAAACGGATTCATTTTGGTAACTAGTTTGTAGCTTTGCCCAAGTCGGTCTTTTTTACTTATCTTGATTTCTGTTATGACCGCCTTGTACCCAAGAGAAAGCCACATGCTTACCGACCCAATGTTTATGTTGGTAAAATTTGACCAATCAACGACGGCCCTGCAGCGTTAGCTCATTATTATGCACGGTCAAAAACAAGTACACTTTTCACGGACAAATATTGCACGAATTCATCATGAAAATACAAATATCCTATCAGATAAATATCAATCAGAGTTTAGTGGATGCTGGAACATCGATCGGATAACCAGAGGTGAGAAGATTTCAATAATAGATGTTGAAAAGATCGCTGAATTCAAAAGATCGAACATGTAGGCTGAGATTAAATCACTGATCGACGACTACATGGCCCACTACATAGACTAGGTCTTCGTGCATTTTCATCACAAAATCAGTTTAAATCAACATTGAATCGCGTATATTTATGACTCTTACATTCCAATGTACTGTACATTTAATTACATAATATATTGTAACTCTAAAGAAACACTCGATCAGATCATTGAATTTCAAGTTATAGACGGGAAGTTTGCTTTGTTTATGAAGGTCAACCTGATAACGTTTTGATTGGTCTATCATCCTGAAGGCACTTGTCAATCAATAAGGTTTCGTGATACCCCTGATAGCGTAGGTATTATGGGAATCTCGAAACCACTGAATAACTCAGCATAATATCGGCGGAGATGTATTGGATTGTACAAGGCGGTAATAATTCAAGATCAGATAAGTAAAAATACCGACTTGGGCAAGGCTACTAGTTTGCAGCACCAGTACATAGACAAGAAGACTTCTTCAAGTCTATGGGAAAAGGAAGTAATTCTTTTAGCTCCAATATGTTATTCTTCTTTGAAACGATTAATGTTTATACAACAGAATTGTGTTTCATGTTGTAATGGTATTCCATATCAGGGGTGTTATGTAGCCAGCAATTGTCAAGGAGGTGGTTCAATATTTGATTTTGCGTCACTGTGAGCGAAGCGAGCCCCAAAAAGAGACTATGGGCATTCACCTTCGGAAAATTTTCAAAATTTACATTGTATATGGTGCATAAGCATTTTAAACCATAATTTGTTAATGTTTTTTAGCAAATTTTACAAAATTGCCTTTTTCTTTTTTGTGGGGGGGGGGTTGCAATTGCACCCCCTCTGGCTGCGCCTATGCATATTGATTCACAATGTTTTAGTTGCTCCTATTTGATCCTGATAATCTAAGAATGAATCTACATTTACTGAGTTAACAAAACTTACCACACAATAAGAGGACAAAATAACCTCTCAAAGATTACTGGATCAAACTGTTATCAAACTGGTATCACTGTGGTGCATACACATATAACATTTTAATGTAATTTGCCATATATCCTGTTAGTGAGAAGGGTTATCTAAAGAACTCATTTTTATTTCCTTCCAGACTCTGATAAACATGGCATATTGCTGTTTGATTCTAATTGGTAAAGGCATTCAAAGACTTGCATTTGGAGAGTTGCGGGTCAGTGAACAACAGGTGGGTAACAGTTACTGTTTATATGTTTTACTCAAGAGCTGTAACTTAAATTCAAAAATAGGTTAATATAGTTTGTCTCCATTTTAATTTTGCAGATTGTAAACATCTGCCAAATATAAATCCCCAATTTTTAGATCTGTTTTGGAAGATCCTCAAATCGCTGAAAATAAACCAAGATTTCACATGTTTAAGTATTCTTATTTGGATGTCAGTGCTATACCAAGACATAGTAGTACACATGATTCTGAAATACTTATTAGGCAAGTTAAGTGTACCTAAAGTCTACCTTTCATTTGAACAAAATCCGTCTTCTCTGAATATAAACTGATAAAAATATTTAGTTAAATAGCTGTATGTATTTAATCACAAACATGATTGGAGCTTTTCACCAACATTTTCTGTAATACAGAGTTTCAAGAACCATTGACATTAAGGAGGAACAAATTGCTATGTTTATACTTTTAAAATATTTTTCAGCAGATGTGGATAAGTAATATAATATACATGTACAGTAAAACCAATATATCTAAACACCTCTCATATCTGAATATGACTCAACCTTGATATGCGAACACCTGCCAATCAAAACACTTTTGGCCAGTTCAAGTGCCATTCAGATTAGACAGGTTCTACTGTGATATAATTTGTTTTTGTGATTTGTTTATATAATAGGATTCGATTTCTGTTTGCTTTTTTTAGTTAATATCAGGAGTCATTTTTTTGCAAGGGATAGTTAAAACCTTTAAATTGGCAGAAATTCACAAGATTTATCAGAACTTTGTAACATTTTAGTCATTGTCTTTTTCTACACTAGAGCTTCATATATTGGACATGTTTTTGGTAAAGTTCTTTTACAACTACAGTACTTAACTTTTGCAAAATTATTAATAGCAGAATTAGAGGGAGACAAAATTGCAAGCAACGTGTAAAATTGACCTACCAATTATGTTATATCTTAGATATATACCATTTCTCAAAATATCCTTGATATTCAAGATATAAACTGTAATTTTAAATTCTCCCACATAATGAATACAAAATGAACCCAGAAATGTAAAATGCTTAAGATGACAAGAAGATATTTGCAATTAAAAGTATAGTCCAAATACATGGAATGTGCACTAAATGTAAACTACATGTGTCTATGAATTGATCTTAAAACAATAGCTTAGTTGCCATTTTGCAGACAAGCAGGTGGATGTTTTTCACTTCAGTACTCAACAATTTCCAATAAGTACCCACATGTGAAAAATTGTTCAGCTCCTGTATGCTGTACAGTGTATGTCTGAAATGTAAATTAAATATTACATTAAAACTTGTCTCATGTGAACACACTTATAACCTCGCATTGAGAGGTGCTCACTACTTTGAGAGGTTCTGGATTCATAATTTTATAATTTCTATTTATTATTTTTTATTATTTATTTTCAGCACATCAAAGATAAGTTCTGGAACTTTGTCTTCTACAAGTTTATTTTTATATTTGGAGTCTTAAATGTGCAAGATATGACAGAGGTGGTCTACTGGAGTGCATGGTTCTCTATACTTGGCTTCTTACATCTTCTAGCACAGCTTTGTAAAGACAGGTTTGAATATGTAAGTAGTACTAGCATCCATTTGTATTAGAAGGGGGGGGGTCATCAGATCAGATTTTCGGAGTAATGATTTATATCTCTTTACAAAGATATTATACATTACCTGAAAGAATGACAATAGACCCAACTTATACTTCGCAAGTAAGAACATCTTAAAACCACATGAAAGAAGATGTTATACCTCACATGTATATGGATACTGTTCCTCACATGTAGGAGGACCTGTCACCTTATACCTCACATGTAGGAACAACTCATACTTCACACGAAACCTGATACTTTATCTGGATTTACGTTCCTTATGAAACAATATACATGTTGATAAAAAATCTAATAATTTTCCTATGTTAATTCTGTCGTAATCAGGACTTTTAGACTGATTGTGAATTTTGAAAGAAATATAAGGTAAACACAATCTGCCAAAATAATGAGAACAAATTCCAGACTCATTCAAATAAGGTTAATAAGGCCAGACTGCCAGATGTTGCATTTCTTTAGCATCACCTACATGAGACTGGCATGTATAAAGGAATTAATAAAATTATATTGCATTGCGTGACCAATGTTACTGCCATGGGCTTTCTGTAGACTTGTACAGTATTGAGTTTTGCATTATTCTGCAAGATTAAATTGGATTGCAGCATAAATAATCATCTAATAGAAATAATGTTATAGGACTATCTCAGTTACCTTCATGTTATCTCATACATGAGTGCAATTCTAGCATCTTTAGTCCTCATCATGGTTTAAAGACTTTTGTTAATGCATTTTAGAAAGCACATATGCATTCCATGTTTTTAGACTGAGCACCAAGGGGTTGAGTTTGAGTGCTAGAGCTAATGGGAATTCTTGTTAATTTTAAGATCTCTCTGAAGTTTTGTTTTATTATACTCAAATGAAATGAAATTTAGAGTAGAATTTCAATTATTATATTTTTTCAGATTTGGCCCCAAAATGGCCGCCTAATATGGGATTTTGTAATAGTTTCATGATCTCTTCAAAGTATTGTTTATATTATACTCAAACTGAAGGAATTTTAGAGTAGATCACAATATTGGTATCATTTTCTGTTTTGGATTTGGCCCCAAAATGGCCGCCTAATATGGGATTTTGTAATAGTTTCATGATCTCTTCAAAGTATTGTTTATATTATACTCAAACTGAAGGAATTTTAGAGTAGATCACAATATTGGTATCATTTTCTGTTTTGGATTTGGCCCCAAAATGGCCGCCTAATATGGGATTTTGTAATAGTTTCATGATCTCTTCAAAGTATTGTTTATATTATACTCAAACTGAAGGAATTTTAGAGTAGATCACAATATTGGTATCATTTTCTGTTTTGGATTTGGCCCCAAAATGGCCGCCTAATATGGGATTTTGTAATAGTTTCATGATCTCTTCAAAGTATTGTTTATATTATACTCAAACTGAAGGAATTTTAGAGTAGATCACAATTATGGTATCATTTTCTGTTTTGTGGCTTAAAAATTTAAAATGGCTACTTGAAAGGGGAACTACTGTAATTTAGAGAAATGTCCTTTTCTTAATTATTTTGTGCCTTTGAAAGTCAAAAATGGACACCTTAATGCTTAAATTAGTGGAAACTCTGATATGTCTCCAATGTCTGTCTTTTATCTTCTGCAAATAAGAGTAGATTAGATGTTAATGCTATATTGTGGCATGTTCAGATTCACAAATATTTTGTTGGTTAGGATTTGATACTCCATGGCTTGCCTTAATACTTATTACAAATGACAGTAATTTGTAATTTGAATAATGATATAAATTCTGTGAATTGGAACAACATTATAAATAATGGCACAATTGATGAGTCAACTTTAAATTTTTCCTCCAAGTTACTGTCTATTTTTGACCATAACATACCTCACAAAATCAAGGTGAGGAAACCAAAAGATATACCTTGGTTTAATGACGAAATCAAAAAGGCTGTGAATAACCGTGACAAATATTATAAGAAATTCAAAAGAAACAACACTTTGGATTCAAAGTTGAAATATAAAAATAAAGTTGAAATGTTGAATAATCTTATTAACAAGGCTAAACAAAACCATGAACATAGTCCTCCAGATAACTGCAAATTTCTGATCAAATCTGATCAGCTCTGGAAAACTCGTTAGTGTTTAAGTTGACAGATTATTTAGATAAGATGTAAGTTATGGGTTTGTCATCTTGGTTTTAGTCTAGAGTGAATTCACTGTCCTCCACTCATAGACAGATTGCAGTCTGATTCAATGTATTTTTAAAGGCAAATATCTGGTGTTCTTTGAAGTATTCAAGACTAAATAAGATGTTACTAGTATACAATACATGTACTACACCACCCAGAGACAGATATAATGTTTACTCCAATTTCAAGTTAAATATTCTAAAATGGAAAATGGAGTACCAAATTTCATTTGGTATAATTATATTTTTTGATAGAGACAATGGCCATTGTTAAAACCAAATAAACATGAGATTATTAATTTATTAGGGTAGTTAATACTTCATGCCTAGTTCACACTTCAAAACTAAGTTGAATTCAGATGTCATCTTGAAAATAGAATGAGCCTAAATGGATTACTGTCTCAAAGGGTATCTAAGTCTAGATATGTGTTATAAGTAATTCAAGACTTTGAAAATATTTTGAATACTTTTGCGCATGGGACTTCATGTTTATCCCTAAAAATGGTTGTGATTTTATTTCATAATGATACAAGATACTTTTATTTTTTAAAGACCAATTAAAGACCAATGACCAATTTCTGCATCTTAAACTTTCATAAAATAAATTCCACAATGATCAAATTATGATACCTTTATTACTTAATGTAAGATGAGGTAATTTGAGTGTGGGGGAGGGTGGGGAAGTATTTTTGCATGAATTTAAAAAATGAACCACCCCCTCCCAGTCACAAAATCCTGGCTATTGTAAGCCAAATAACATGATGAAGGCAAATGAATATCAGTCAGTCAAGCTAGTTATCTATCTAGATCACAATGTGATATTATGCAGATAGAACTTTATTTTATTTTATTGCCTCATATATAGGAATTTGCAGGATATGAAGTTTAAGAATGGAAATGTCTACAGGGGCGTAGCCAGCTTTCAGTCAGTGCAGGGGGGGGGGGGTGCGATCGCCAAAAAAATTCTATTTTCAGTCAGGGGATGCGATTGTGGCATAAAAAGCCAATAATTAAGATTTACTGTATCTTGAATTTTTCAAAAATTTATGCAACTTCCTTCATAATAAATTGAGCTAGAAGCTTCAAATAAAAAGCATTCCAAAGCTCTTCTCATGGTTATATTTTATTGGTTATGGGAGGGGGGGTGCGATCGCCAATTGCACCCCCCCCCCCCATGGCTATGCCTATGGTCTAATTGAAATGTTAAAACTCTGCATTGAACTACACGTATTAAAAGTTGCTTTCACATTCAAATAGCTGATACAGATATTCTATCTACTAGTATACTCATATGAACAGAGATATAGAATTTCAAACTGAAACATTAAGATAATCTGTTCTGTCATTGACACAATATTTATGGCCAGCTAAATTTCTGAGAATTTAATGTGTTTCAGTCGTTTACTCCTGGACTAAACAGGAAATTTGTGAAAATCTTCACACTTATTCAAGTGGGGAACATTTTTATTGGAGCGCTATTAAAAAATTACTTGGAAATAAATTTTCCTCTGGAATTCCAACTTTAAGAAATTCATCTTTGACAAACATATGTAGTACAGATGAAGAAAAACAAAACGAATTTTTGAAATTGTTCGTAGGTAAATTTCACTTTGATAATACCCGCGACACAAATGCATTACCATTTTTTCCAAATAGAACAAACAACCTTTTGACTTGTAATTTAATCACACCATCGGAAATAAGAACCCTCATAGCTGACCTTGACACATCAAAAAGTGAGGGTTTGGATGGTATTACAAATAAAATGCTCACCATGAGCATTTTATCTATTGACAAACCATTAGCCTTATTGTTTAATAGAATTCTAACTGAAAACATTTTTCCAAGATCATGGAAAGATGGAATAATAATTCCAATCTATAAGAATAAAGGTGATAAATCTGATATTACAAATTACAGACCTGTCACATTACTTAGTAATATATCCAAATTATTCGAAAAAGTAGTGCATCAACAGATGATGAAGTTCCTTTTAGATAATAAGTTATTATATGAAAATCAATCAGGTTTCCTGCCTGGTCACAGCACTGACAGTCAGCTACTAAGTATTACTAATTTTATAATGAATGCATTTGAAGACAAAGCGGATGTACGGGGAGTCTTTTTGGACCTGGAGTCTGCGTTTGATAAAGTCAGACATAATTTACTTATCCACAAGCTAAAATCTTATGGCTTCAATGATAACCTGTTGAAACTTATGAAATCCTACCTAGACAATAGAAGAGTATGCACACGCCTTAATGGATCTTTATCCGAATTTTCTGAAGAAAATTTTATAAACTCTGGTGTGCCTCAAGGCTCTATTCTAGGCCCCATCCTATTTCTGCTATTTATAAATGATCTCCCAGAGGTCATCCAATCAAAATGTTATATTTATGCTGACGATACTTCTATATATGTCCCTGTTCACAAGTTTGAAAATGTTTTAACATCAAATACATTATTGCAACATGATCTAGACAATGTCTATGACTGGTCAAGGGTTTGGGGGCTTAACTTTAAGCCCACGAAAACCAAAGAGATAATTTTTTCCAAATCTATTCAAAATGTAAGAAACTTTCCTATTTTGACCTTGAGCAACAGAATAATTGAAAGAGTAAATTATCATAAACATCTTGGAGTTATCTTAGATAACCACCTTGACTTCAAAGAACATATAGCCCAGCTAAAAGTCAAAATTGATAAAATGCTAAATCCACTTACAGCATTGAAAAATAAAATTTCATCCAAACACCTTGAAAGAATGTACTTATCGTTCATTTTGCCAAAATTAGAATTCGGATCAATCTTTTATAATTGTTCACCACATTATGCCCTAAATACCTTGGATAGGTTACACTACAGAGCTGCCTTGTTAGTCTCTGGGGCCATTAAGGGCTCCTCTGAAATCAAAGTCTTAAATTCACTTAACTGGAAGACACTAAGTCAGAGAAGAGAAGAAAAAATGGCAACTCTAATGTATAAGGTATCCAAAAACAAGACTCCTAGTTACGTACAATCTATATACAATGAACTTAAAAATCCAGGTACAGAGCGTGTACTTCGTGCCCAGCACGAATATAATATTCCAGCAAAATCTTCAATGAAATTTACAAACTCTCCTGCCATAGCACCAATAAGAATATGGAAAATGATTTCACCTGAAGTTAAACGCAGCCCCTCAATATCAGCCTTCAAGTCAAGGTATAAGAAAACCAAATATAACCCAAACCCTAGGTCTGTGTTGACAACAAAATTGAACTTAAATCGATCTATTGAAATTAAACTAAACCGTTTAAGAGCAGACCTAGCACTTAAATCAGACTTTTTTAGGCATAATTTCAACAACTATCCAGACCCAAGTTGCCCTTGTGGACATGCCCAACAAACCAAGTCCCATTTATTACTTTACTGCCCTCTATCAACTGGAACAAGGTCAATCTTTACCCAAAAACTACAAGAGCTGCAAAATTTTAACTTTAGAGAATTTGCCAGTCTAAATAGTGTAGATAAAGTCCACACCATACTTTTTGGAGATCATAAGTTCTCAGATAAATGTAATGCTGATATTATGAACCTTATGGCAAATTTTGTTGATTCTATCATTTAGCATTAGCCTCAACATTTCATCACCATCATCATCACTATTGTTATCATCATCTCAACTGTGGCCACTGAGACTCTTATAAACAATACATTTACAATACATGTCTGAAACCATTTATATCAACTTTATTTTGCTACTTTTATTTAATAGGGAGGCCAACAATGTAATTTTACCTCGGCCTTCCTAGTATGTTAAATATTGTTATATAAAATTATGCAAAGAAATAAAACTTAACCTTAAAAAAAACAATAAAAAAAAAACACAGTAATTTGTGATCACTTTTATTTATTTTTATTTTCTGTTCATATTCATGAAAATCAAATAATTGAATATAATGTCAGTGTAGTTTGTCATTCATAACCCTCCATATTTCTTTTGTAGGCCATGGCCAACCAAATATCTGAAACATAATGATGGATTAAATAACGTGTTCATTACATACTCACCAAACAAATGTAATGATATGATTCACAATGTTCTCTACAGGATTTTTTCTCAAGTGGGTGTAAAATATGAGTTATTTTGAGCCAGCTTGTTTGGAATTGTAACATTTTGATGAGAAAGGGCGTCTGTACTAAAAGTATGGCCATATGTTCTGATCTTTGCCATGACAGCCCTACATATAAATCATGATATGTTTTGCAACTCATTACCTTTTTATGCCACACAACGGCAATGGCCGTAACATGAGCAATGCATTGCTCCATAGCGTTCTTGCTCAGGGCCTTTTGGGAACTCGTCACAGTCTGAGAACCTGAAGATCCTTCCTTTTCTGTTCCGTTGAGCATCTCTCTTTCTTTTGGCTACACAACCACACGTCTGGCACTCACACCAGCCTCCACGATTTTCTCTGCAGTTTGTAAATCTTATCCAGTTATCTTCACTTCTTTTCGACAATTCGTCACGCTGTCGGGAAGGTGAGGCTTCACACAGCACAAGCAGACACAAGACAAGGATAACTAAACCTTCGTATTTCATCTAAAAAGTATCTTCATATTGATTACAAGATAAGGGTGAAATCAGTTAACTGGGTGGCCATGCAAAATTCCAGATATTTTCTAAATCAAAAATTGCTTTTTTTACATGTAACAAAATTGCATTATAATTCCAATGATAAAACAGCACCACTACTCAGAGTAGCAAATGTTCAAAATAATTTTTAAAAAAAATGTCAAAATAATACAATGCAATCTGCTCATGAGAACATATTTTTTCATATCATCAAGTATACACGATTTTTAACCTATTCATTCCATATTTAAGAATCATTCTTATTTTCTTAAAATCTACAAAACATACATAGTACATTATAATGTATCATAATGAGAATATAAGAAAATAATCTCAGAGGCTCAATATTTGGTTTATATAAAGAAGTAAACAATTGTGAATTCTGTGTTTGTAAATTCTGGAATGAAATCATTTATTTGACAAATGCTTTATCACTTTTAAACCTCTGTCATAAAAATCTAACTTCTAATTACTGGATTGCTTCACTTACCATTGCTCTCTTGTGTTTTTGCAGTGTTAAATGATCAGATACCAGAATGATCAAATTTTATTACAATCTAGTTTTCTATATAGGATATGAGATAATTAGTATAGAGGAGATTAAATGTTTTATTTCAGTTTGATCAACTGTGTTTTAAGTTATGATCCCTTTCAAATCTCCATTTTCACTTATTTAAATATATGTAGATAATATTTCTTGATTAGGGATCTATATAATTTTTCTCAATTTTAGTCAGTCATTTATTATTTTATATTAGTATTTGTTTTGCTAAATGACTGTTTTTCCCATTATTCATGGATTTGTTTTTCTGAAATTGTAATAACTTTTTCTAGTTATTAGTATGTACATAAGAACCAAAGTGAATAAATGCTAATTTCGTTTAGACATAGTATTGGTAGGGAATTGTAGTGATATTTGGCATAAGGTCATATTACTATTTAATCCACCTTGAAAACTAGAAATTTGGAGGGGAAAACAATTCATTTTTGGTGAAAGAAAATTAGAATTGGTCGATGAAATATTAACATTTCTATATGTATAAGTACATATTTTTGTGAAACACCAAACTTCACTTCACTTAATACTTATAAAATATAGCTATAGGCATAAACATAAGTTATGCTTCCACTTATGAGCAAAATCTCTCTATTAAAAATATCTGATTTTGCAATCATTGTATTTGGTCGTGAGCTGAATAATGCTTAAAATTCATTTTGGAGATTAAAATATTTAGTCTAGCATGCCATTTTACAACATTATGTCCATTTTGAACTTATATTTAGGGGTTGGGGAATTATTTGGTTAATAAATAATTATTTATTAGCACCAGTAATTATTCACAAAGTCTAATGAGTAAAATATGAGGTTTCAATTAGAACATTTGATTAATTATAAGTAAAACTTTAACAGGTCATAATGATATTTGATATATTATACCCTGATATTATTACTTCCCAGTGAATAACACCAGGAAATATAATTGATATTGAAATATCCTTGCTCAGAGAACTTTTTTATTTGCTTTTATCAAAAAAGTTTTTTCTTTTTTATGATGATGAACGAAGTTTGATAGGGTTATAGTGAAGCCTTCATCAATTTGTCTTTGATATGTCTTCAAAGTATGGCTATATTATACTCGATTTTAAGATATTTAATTTCAGAGGAGATCATGATTACTAGTGTGACCGGGGGCAAGGTCGACGTGGGTTTATATTAGCAAAATAAGCACAAACGCAACAGTATATATGTTTATCAGTCAAATGGGTATATTCATTTCAATCACATCACAACAACGGGGAGTTGGAGTTCCCTGAAAGTACAAAAGGTACCATAATGTGTATCAACTGTAATACACGCAATACATATAAGCTACAATGGTACCAAAATATGTGTGAACTATAATACTCATACTACAAACTAACATTGTTCAGATGCTTTGAAGCTATAACCTTACATTATTCACTATTTAAAATACATGCAACTGGCATATAAAATACATCAACATACCCTCGTGGACTATTATACTAAGCGAGTCAGCGACTGAAGGTTGTCACAATATTGTGGGTCACTCAGTACTAGAAATATAACAAATGCCAAAATTGGAAAATGTAATGTTTGCCACTAAAGCAAATAACAAAATTACCAGATATCCTATTCACTAATACCACATAGACAAAATGTCCCATTAGAGTAAACATGAAGCCTAAAAGTATTTGAGCTCTTGCGAATATGACATTGACATCTTGAATTTACATCACATCCAATTATTACAAACTTACAAGTTTACTAAGTACGATAAGGCTATGATAAAAAACTTACTAATGGTCCCTAGGGGATGAGGTTATGAGCCCACTGGCTAAGCATGGTACAGTAGATAACGTGTCACTCTACAATCAATAGAAACCAAAATGTACAGCCATGAAAGCTGGACACAAATTGGGCGTGACACATGGACTAAATATTACCAACAGGTTTACATTGAAGATGAAGCTAACAATTATTACTTCTCAACTAGTGTTTATAATATGGTCATTATAGTTGAAATAAGTAAGAAATGTATGCTATAAAATATTACAAAGTGGGAGACTTTGGACCATGACATTACAAAAATGTAAAAAATAGTACAATATTTACCCAGTTGTCCTGCTTGGACAGTCTCAGCCAGTGAACTGAGCTTTACAGATGAAAACTACAAATCACTGCCACAGCAGGGTTTGAAAATACATAGTCAATACAAAAATACAATGGGCTAAAAATAGCTTGTACATAGAAAGTACCTATTGAAATAGAAAATTGAACCCTAAAGTGAGGTTGAGAACAGTTGTATGGCTCACTTAATTCACTAAATAACTTGTAAGCTAAACCTTAGTACAGGGTGTCTAACAAGCCTGTTACACTAGTATTGTATCATTTATTTATTTGTGCTTCGGAAAATGTTAAAATGGTCACCTCAGTCACACAAGAAAGTTCTGATCCCTGAGCATTTTGTTCAATCACTTACACAAGAGGCTAAACTATTTAAATGTGAGTTTGAATATCTATTTAATTCTTTTATTTCAGTTATCATTCTCACCAAGTACAGCACAATGGACCCATGTACGCCTTCTGTCGCTGTTGTTTGTCATTCAGTTCACATGTTCCTGCCTAATGCTGGTCTGTGTGTTCCTGGGGATGCACTTGGGGATCAACACGTTTTGTTTCATGGGGGCAGAGGTCAGTATAACGTCATCATCAAATAGATTTAATGAATTTTTCATGTCGCAAATTTAGTTTGAACATGTGAAATTTACATTCTTGAAAATAATGTTTTCAGTATTGGAAACATTAAATCAGAATGAGAACTTTTTCATAAATCATTATTCAAAATGGTTGCCTGAACTAAAATGGTTGCACCTGTGGTAGAGAATTAAAATGTTTCATAATGTGCTTTGAGATCCTTTAGATGTTTATTATGTCTTTAAATGTAAATTATCCATATTGCTAATTTATATTATATCTAAACATAATGCATTTGAAGTTTTGATTATTTTTATTCATTATTCATTCCCTAATATTATCAATTAAATATTGTTAATATTGCAGGTTGTGCTACTGATGCTGAAGACAATGTTTGTCATATCCCGCTACATCATTCATTTGTATGACATTCACCTCAATACAGTCTGGGAGAACAGAGCCATCTATGTTTACTATATAGAACTAATATTTGAACTTGGGGCACTGGCCATAGACTTTGCCCATCACTTGCACATGCTCGTAAGTCAAATATTCCTATTTGCTCTGTAAATATATTATCATTATTAAGAAAATTTAATCTAATATAGAATTTTCTGTATATGGAGCAAATGCTATTTAGATACAGTAAGTAATAGTTAATATGTTCTTCGACGACTTCATTCATTTTCATTCAATTTTTTTCATTTTCAAGTGGGGCATATAGGTTTTACATGTGGAAGTGTGAAGTTGATTTCTGAAATTTCAAGTGGGTGCTTGAATGTTCGGATCACTGAAATAGAAAAGAAAGTGGATAATGTTCTAGCTTTGAAGCATCATAACATGGATTTAATCATTCATATATATCATGCCATGTCATATCATGTTAAACATTCCTTTCAAAGATTAATATCCAATATCTACTCTTGTTTCAGATCTGGGGTAACATTTTCCTGTCCATGGCAAGCCTTGTGATCTGTATGCAACTTAGATATTTGTTCCATGGCTTCCAGAGACGCATCAAGAGACACAAGAACTACCTTAAAGTTGTCAAAACTATGGATTCTAAGTAGGTTTTCTTATAATGTTTTTCCCAGGATACTAAATCCTCATTTTATATTTTATGACTTCAATGAGTCCAAACTGGTTAAAACTAATTTTCATCTTGGTACAAAGGGATTCTCAACTATGTAAAAATTCAATTTCAAATATCAACTGTGTGTAGTTCATATCATATAAGATTCGTAGACATTTTAAATATGCCCTCAATTATAATTATACAAAATTGGCTTATGATGTCAATCAATTATACCCAATAAAATGAGTATTTGATGACAATAGATAATAGAGGCCAATTATTTCTAGGTTTCCTGTAGCAAGCGCTGATGATATCCAAACAAGTGGAGATGATTGCGCCATATGTTGGGAGAAAATGGAAACTGCCCGTAAACTGCCATGTTCGCATTTGTTTCATACGTAAGTCCACTCCTCCCTTGAAAGTTGTCACTATCCTATATATAAGACTTGTGAATTAAGCGCACATCTAAAAAACAGATTTTTTAGTTATTATCATTAAGGTTTACCTACTTTACAGCACCTGTATTTCTTTCTTTGCATTAAATATAATCATCAATCTATATCTTGTTGCGTAAATAATCGAAACTAAATGCATTAAACTTCTTGTTTTCTTGAGACCATATTCATCATAAAAGTTGCATGTGCACTCATTAGAACTGAGCGCTCATTGGAGAGAATACGGTAAATCTTGGCATCCAGTAAAACGGCTTATCCATTTGACTTGAAATTTTTGGAGATGCAAGAGCAGACTTATAGTGCCAAGATCTGATTAAGTTTTGAGCATACTAAATTACATGCTGACCATTTTGCTCTTCAAAGTGTTTTACTGTGTGTTTTGTCAATTTTCATTAGTAATAATCATATGCATATTGTATTCCAGTGCTTGTTTGAGATCATGGCTAGAACAAGATGTGTCGTGTCCTACATGCCGTACAAACCTAGATGACCCCAGGGAACAAAGACCACTCCCTGCTGGGCCAGGGGGTGATGTTGATGAAGAAAATGTACAGAATGTTCCTGAGAATCAGATCCGCAACCATTTCTTTCACTTTGATGGTAAGCACAATAGACATTTAGGTTTTGAGGTATCTGAGTCAAGGTGATATTATATTCACTAAGAGCAACATGTGAATGGATCGAATGGATGAGCTAACTATAGGGATAGGCTAGGTGACTGCCTTTTACATGAAAATATTTTTGACATATGTTTTTTTACTTAAAGTGATGAACTATAGACCATTTGGAAAACTCGGTAAGGCAATCACTAGAAGCCCCCAGCATAGTTACATTGTAATGTCATATTACTCTGTATATTGAACATTCCAGGGTCACGCTATGTTAGCTGGCTGCCAAGTTTCTCTGTTGAGGTGACACACAACATGCTTGGGCAACAGGGTGCAGGAGCACTTGAAGCCCCCCAGACATCACAGTTAGATGAAATGGTATGTGAAGTAATGTTTGGAAGAATTTTTGAAAAATGAGGAACATGATATCATGCAAATCAAAGCTCTGAGTTAGTGTTCTGAATGATGCATTCATTTAAATATTTCACAAATATGATGTTGTGTGGTATGAAAAATTGATGAGCTATGATATTAATTATTATTCATGAAATATTCATCAGCATTTTGCAGGGATGCATGATACAAAATGATTGAAATTGGATGTGATACAAACCATTACAGTGTGGGCAAACTTCTTGTAACATCTCTGAATGTGTATACAAGATTTGCAAGCATTAGAAATAGATTTATGCAATGCATTTAGTCTTGCATTCATAGCATTCAGTGAAAGTCTTCTTTATGAATTTATCATGTTATTTCACTGTTCCAGGGCCGACAAGTGCAAGGGGTGTTCCCAGACATGCCCCTCAATCTGATTCTAGAAGACTTGAGACACAGCCACTCTGTAGAACAAACTATTGAAAACATTCTGGAAGAGAGAGTTACTATCCCCACTGTAAGATTTACTCCTATTTTATATTGTAAATTATTATTCAAATCTTCAGATTTCTGATTCTACTTTTCATTCATCATGATTGCAATCTTGGTTTGTATATCTTAGATAATGGCAACCATCATGACATGAACAAGAACAACATAAACTAGTATTCTCATAAGTCTTGAGTTGTAATTCTTCAGATAAAGTATTGCAGCTGTTATATGGCTGATTGTATATACTGCAATGATTATTTTATGTTCACATATTTCAGACTCTTTCACGAACTATTGCATCAACTTCTCAAGCCACGATAACAACTGCACACCCCTTACATGATAATAGGGTAAGTATGCTATACATGATAATGTTTTGAAGATATAAGAACTTTCTTCATTATACATGATAATATTGTTACATGAGAAGAATTAGAGAAAACATTGAGCATACACGTTCACATGATAATAGTAAAATTACTGGATACATTGTACATAATAAGGATTGTATTGGTAGGCATAATTTGGAATAGAGGATGTAATGTGTGCTTGATATTATGCAAAGCATGGCGAGGAAAATTGTACAGCATATTGTGGACGGTTCTGAGAATAGTAATCCTTAAATTACAAGATGTTTTCTTTTTCAATTCTAGCTCTCACTTGCGCCATCTATTGCCCAAGCTGTGACATCATCGACAGAGAGAAAAACGGATAATAATAATTCAGAACTCACTGTAACATCAGAATCTGCCGATATAGCAAGTGGTGTTACTATTAGTGACACATCTAGTGATGTCACAGATGGTGGAGGATGTGTCACAACTGGGGGAAGATTTTCCAAGTCATCCACCGAAAGAGAGACAATACTACGCAATAGAAGGAATCAACTTGTTGCAAATGCTAGAAGGTAAGCCTATCTATTGGTCCCATTCCACATAATATTTAATAATAATTTCTTCAGTTGAATTGTACATTTTTCTTATACATACTAAGTAATTGTGAATTTTTCATGATTGAAAAAATGGAAAAAAGTAGTAGTAGTAGTAGCAAAAATAGTATTTTAAGTTCAAGAAAAGGTAAAAATAAGATTATTATGTCACCATCGGAATTAGTGACATATTGTGAATCTCCAACTTTTTCGTGGATGGTGTTCGGCATCTGTATCAATGTCTGCAACAAATGCCAGTTGGCATCTGTAACAAATGGTAGGTGGTGACATTTTGCATGTTAATTGTTTTAAGTATTCCAGTTAGATAATATTATATTATTATATACCCTGGGATCTGTTCATCTTTCTAGTTTCAAAACATTTGTATTCTTCTTTTTAGAAAGTATCTTAATAAACACACGGACATTGAACAACCAGGATCCAGCATTGAAACACAGAATTCTGAACATTTGGAGCAATTTCCAGCACAACGCAACACATAAACTTGAAAATTAAAACAAATACACTGGAAATGAGACCAGAGTCTTTCTATATTTTTCTATATTTGGATTCTAATTGGATTGTAACCACAGGACTTTAACAAATCTATTATGCATATCCAACCATGAAGAAATGCCAACTGAACAATGCAGCTGATAGCAGTATTGTATTATGTACGATACATGTAATGTTACTGCACTGAAAATGCATGTATGTTTTGCAGGTGTATATATGACAAAACTGTAAAAGACAACTAGACATACATTTTCAGGGCAGTAACAGCTACATAATACAATACTGCTATCAGCTGCATTGTTCAGTTTAATAAATCTAATGCATATCCAACTATGAAGAAATGCCAACTGAACAATGCAGCCGATAGCAGTATTGTATCATGTACATGTAGCTGTTACTGCACTGAAAATGTACGTCTAGTTGTGTATTACAGTAATGTTTTGCAGGTGTATATATGGCTGTTTCCTGTATTGAGGCTTTGCAAAAAGCGTCTGTGCTGTATTTGTACATATAGCTTTACTGTATTAATTGTGTAATTGCAGCAGTTAACTGTACTGAAAATGTACATGTAGCTGTTTAATGTTCTGCAAGTGTACATATAGCTGCTTACTGTATTGAAAGTGTGCATGAAGCTCTTAAATGTACTTTGTACATGTACAGTAGTTGTTTACTGTGTTTGCTTCAAGTACAGTGTGAATTTATGTACACACTTTAAGAGCAATGTGCATTTATGTTCATACGTTAAGTATACATGCATGTACCTTGTACATATTCAAATACAGTATGCATTTATGTACCTTCTTCAAATACATTATGCATTTATGTACCTACTTCACATACATTATGCATTCATGTACCTACTTCACATAGAGTACATTATGCGTTTATGTACATATTCAAATACATTATGCATTTATGTACCTACTTCACATACTGTATAACATGAAATATTGCCGTGGATATAAAGTTGCCGATTGCCGAATGTAAAACAGAAACGGCAACATAAAATTCGGAAATATAATTGAGTAATTGAAGATCGATCTTAGTGGACGATAATATGGTAGTTGTCTAACGAGTGTCAACTTATTGTAATCTTACAACTTACAATACTTTAACAAAACTCATAAATAAAATACGATAGATTTGAAGTTTTTTTTAATAATAAAAATGTTGCAGTTGAATGCATGCAGTAAAATGTCTATAAAATATTAAATGGATTGTCATGTTAAAAAGTTAAAAAGTAAGAAGATATAATTGTATCCAAGTGCTTTGGAAATCCCAGTATTAAAAGTTTTAATCCCTGTATTTAAACTTTTTAATCTCGGTATTAACTCTGAGTCTATCAAACGCGGGAATTACTCAAACTATCACTCATAATCTATATCATTATGGATGTCAGGTTTTCTGAGTCGATCAAATGGAGGTGATTAAAATTGTAGATCAGTTGTAAATCAAAATTATTTAAGGGGTGTCAGGTCGGCAATATTTTATTTGACTTTACATTAGGGGTGTCAGGTCGGCAAACTTTTATTCGGCAATAACAATTTTAATCCAATTCGGAAAATAAAGCACCCGGATTTAATACATGTTATACAGTACATTATGCATTTATGTACCTACTTCACATACATTATGCATTTATGTACCTACTTCAAATACATTCTGCACATTAGGGAGGTTAAGATTAGCGTAAAAATATATGCGTATGTATACGTCTAAGTAATCCGTATTGCAAAATGAGTTTAAGATTAACGTAAAAGGCTACGAAACCGCATGCTACAATTTATGATAAAAATGACATCTGTAGAATGAAAACCATGCGATGGCTTATACCAGTGCATGTCACCTCCAAGAAGTTATATACTTCAGAGAGAGTGGTGTAGCTACTACTGTAGTTGGGAGGGGGTGTTCCTTGTGGGCCCGCTAATGGGGCAGTGGCTTAAGGCGAAATGTTAAATTTCTAGCATGATCCAGCAATGAGAGTGATCAAATAGTAAAATTAAACAATTAAAACCACGAGAAAATGGCTGATTTCATACATTTACAATAAGCAAAACTGATGAAAAATGTGTAAATTCAACAATTTCATGCATCATCACATGACATCGTTTATTGCATCAATGAATGTGTTTGACCACTTAATTTCTATACAGGTCGAATGAGAAATGTTTGTTGTTACTGTAATGTAACTTTAATGAATGATATATTTGATCTTCAAATGACATCATTTCTTGGATTAAAACATGTACGTTTTCGAATTACCTATCTTCGGCCATTTATAGGTAATTACGTATCTCAAACCCTGTAACTTAGGTAATATACCGCATAGTGCAATAACAAACTACGTATAGGTATAGGTAAATGGGTTATTTACGCTAATCTTAAACTCCCTATTATGCATTTATGTACCTACTTCACATACATTATGCATTCATGTACCTACTACGCGTACATTATGCATTCATGTAAAGTATTCAAGTTCATATTCAAGTGGATTCATGAACATACTTCAAGAAAAGTCTTATATTTATCTATGCATACTTCAGGTTCAGTGTACATTTCTTTGGCTGAAAATGTGAATAAGTGTGCAATGTAAAATACATGTAAGTAAAACAGCTCTATAAGTGGAAAACCTCCCAAGTGGAACACTTTTCAGTCGCATATCTCATAATTAAAACGAACATCCGTCAGGAACCAAAAGTGTTCCACTTACACAGGTTCTAGTGTATCGACTATTATCATGCTTAAATTGACATCTGTGATTCAGATATAATTTGATTGAATCAAACAGTGTAATTGGCTGAAACTATAATTGCTTTGTAATTTTAGCAGCAACCTCTGACATTCTGATATATCAGAGTCCCTTTTATCTATAATGCTTGGAAGAGAGGTTGTGGAACACACAATGGACCTCTGAGATTAATAATATGCATTATCATAATAATATTAAGAATGATTATGGAAATTCTATATTGTTGTACAGGCATATATTTTTGTTCTTGCCATCAGCTATGTACATATTCATCTTTAAGAAAATAAATATATTTCTAGCCTATTTGAAATCACTAAAAATGATATATTGTTGTTTAGTTGTTTGCTTAATCTGCAAACATGCACATACTTGGGATACATATGCCCCCTCTATATTTCTGTAAAAATGTGGTTTGCCATTGATTAGCTGACCCCAGATAAAACTTTTTGATCAATTGTGAGGCAATTGTGCCTCTGGTACACTGCCAATCTCAAACAGCAACAAACAGTGCTGTTTACAAAACAGTGCTGGACAGCGCTGTAAAAACGGTACTGTACTACATTGTTCAAAACAGGTGATACTAGAATAGCATTTGTACATCACTGTACAGTGCAGTACTTGAATTGCACTGTTCAGTACTGTTTACAGCACTGCAATATGATGTTGCAGATTGGAGGTGTAGAAGGTATGCAACAAACTGATTTTGAGATATGGGATTGATACAGAAGTTTACAAGGGGAAGAGCAAAAATTAAAACAGAAATCTCATTTTTTTATATCACTCTTGTGACCCATATTTCAAAATAAGACTATTTTCTTTTTCCTCTAGAACCAAAAGAACAAAATGTATATCACATAACTGACATCATGTCGTGAGATGTTCTTCCAAGCTAGCACTGTATGGTTAACTGCCAACAAATTATTATTATTATTATATCCCAAATTATTGCTCTTTTTGTGCTCATTCATTAATAACGTAGTCCTGAGAAATTCTTCCAAACTATGTACAGCACGGATCAACTTCCAACCTTTTGTTCTTTTGTGTTCATCATGATTTATGCGTATGGTTCTTATTGAAACCTCGTCAAGAATTCATATATTTAATTGTATTGGGTGAATTAAATTTGAAATACAAAAATGTATAAAAATGACTTAAATATGTCATGGCTACATTTGAAAGGTCTGAGAGCAAGACAGAGAGCATGCTTTGAACTCAGTTCATACAAGAGCCAGTGTATTTTTTTTCTTACAGTGAATATTAAAAAAGCAAACAAAATGAACAAAAATCTGAATAGTTTCATTTATTTTTTTTAATTAATAAAGAACTTTCCCAAAATACAATATATTCTCTTAGGAGAACAAGTAAATATATTTATCAACAATAATACATGTACTACATATTGACTACCATACTGAACACTAGTACATGTACATTACACTGTTTTGATTTGCTTTTACAACAAAAATGCTGATTTTATATGACTGCCAGATTTAGGTGTTATTAAATCTGGTGTCAGTTTAGAATTTTTGGCAAAGTTGCGACCAATGGATTAAATCTTATTACTTCATCAGAAAAACATTATTTAAATGAGGCTATTTATTATGCATTAATTAAGAACACAGACAGTTTATTGTTGACATATTATAGTCATAATTAACTTGTTCGTATATGAAAATACCATATATGGGAACATACTATATATGGGAACATCCCATACAACAAACAAATCTTGGAGTCATGTGATGCTTGTGACCTGAATGTATTTATTTATCGGATGGAATATTTGAGAAACAGTCATCCTTCCAACTACATGTTAGAATTCCATTTCTATGAGCTAGGGAATACTTTAACAATCCAAGAATGCAAATTTACATCGGTTTGGAGTAAAGTTAGAAAGGTCCATGTGCAGTATGGCAAGTGATTTTAGACATTCATATCTTTCACCATGAGTATGTTCTGGGCATAAATACAGTGGTTTTTATTAAAACAATAATATTTTGTTTCAAGTGAAGTACCCATGATGATAAAAATATCAATCGAACATTTCGAAAAATTATAAATAGGGACCCCATGTAAACAATCTTTTTAAAATGTTGAACCTATTTACTCAAAAGAGGATCTCCCTTTTCTGATTTTTATTGTATGAAAAGGTGATTCAAAAAGGGGTCTAAAACTTCTTCAAAAATAGAATGGTATTGAAAGTCTAGTTTTGAAGATATCAATTTTCGATGACCAAAATTATGCTGTAAACAATGGATAGCACGAGTTTTCCCTATGGGAAAATAACATGGGATATGTGATTTTTAACTTTTAACGCATTTCAATACCCGTTTTCAGAAGTTGTTTATGGTTAAATCGAGAAAAACAAGATCCTCTTTTAAGAAAATAATCCTAACATTTTTTAAAAAGTGCCCAGATGGGGTCCTTAAAACCATAATTTTGAGAGTGGGATTGATATTTTACTATCACGGGAACTTCACTTGAAAGAAAACATATTGTTTTTTATAAAAACCACTGTATTTATTGCCAGAAAGTAATCATGGTGAAAGATATGACCGTCTAAAATCACTTGCCATACTGCACATGGACCTTTAACAAATTAGACACTGATGCAGTAAAGTAAATATTAAACATATATAGTACTTATTAATACAGTTTAGTCAAATATTTGGCCACACCATACTGTCTCTGAGCATCCTTTAAGTACATGTGTGCAAGCAGCAATTTAAACAATTTAAAGGGGCCATAAAGGATAAGAGATGAGCTGAATATTTCAATTGAATTTGGATATTTTAGCACTTTACATCAAATCTTTTTTAATTTGATTCCACATTTTGCAGCATACATTGCTACCAAATTCATTATTCATAAGCCCTGTCACTATCATTACATTAGATGAATATGTAGAATATTATTGAATGACATGTTAACATCAACTTTCACAATTGGTAATTGCACAGGGTGTCCAACAGTCCATAAAGTCTCTTTACAATTCCAATACACTTTATGGACACCATGTATAATCACTTTGCTTAGACCTGATGCAATCTTACAACATGGTAGCTAAATCATGTTAGCTACAGCAATTCTTGTTGCATACATAAGTCATAAGATAGCACCAATTTTTAATATCTTGTTTTGATTATGTTTGAACCATGTTTCATGTACTGTCTCTTCTTATGGCTTTATATATACAATATCTAATCACTACAATAAAATAATAATTATACTAATGTATACATATCTACATTAATACATACACTACACTACACTACACTTCCTTAAATTCCCTGCAAGTAAACATAAATACTTGTAAATAGTACATTGTACTATTTATGGGATGAACGATGAATGAAACTAAAATATGCAATACTATAATGGACTGCGTTTGCAATAACCAATTAATAAAGAAGGCCATATTTTGTTGTCCTATTTTGAAGCAACAAGATTACAAACTTGTATATAAAGCACTGAATAAATGAAAACAAGAAGAACCAAAGATGCCACTGAACTTTCAGTTTAAGTAATGAGTTACTGCTGAAAGCCAGCTTAACCCCAGACCCATAGCTAGCTTTTGCTAAGGGGGTGGGTCAGTTTTCAAAAAAATCCAAGGGGGTTATTTGACAAGTTTGGATCAAGATTCAAAATAACTTCAAAAGTGTTCAAAATGGTGAAAAATTGCATGATTATGAACAAGTTTTTGCCCAGGGCCCCCTGGCTATGGGGCTTTACCTCAACCAACATCAGAATAATGACATATCCCATTTAATGACACAGTCATCATAAAGTAACATAACCAATCATGAAATGATATGCTCTAATAAATAAAATAAAATATTTACAACAGACTTTTTACATATAAAACTAAGGACAAAATGTATCTAAAACTAAAGTTATATTGGGAGATTATGAATACCTGTAATTTTTATATAGTTCATGCGCTTATATGACACAAAGTATAATACATGTATATAGAAGAGTTGTGGACTGGGAGGTTTTGGATACAGGTAGATTTATCAATTTAACCAAATAAAGTCAATAAATTCATCAAATATAATTAAATAGTTATTGAGATTTCCTTTTGTGAAGTTATAGTAGAGAATAATACATATTAACATGTTAAAATACAAGATTAATCTAAACTAGATCTAGCCTTCCTTCTGTCATGCATCAGTTTTCTTTGCGACTTACGCACCAATAAATTTGGTTTTTTACTCGATCTCATGTTCTCTTGTGGCACTTCAATATCTGATTTCCTCACACGTTTTCTAGATTTTCTTTCTGATGGCGACTTTTTGGTTTGTGCTTCATGTAATGGTGATTTTTTGTCCTCAATAGAGTTAATGTCCTCATCATCTTTGGCATCTTTATTAAGATCTGTGGTATCAGTTTGTACACTAAGAGGCAAAGCCTCTTGGTGTTTTATTTCCAATGTGTGTCTTATCACATCAGAGTGTGATTTCATATGGTCGCTAAGCAATGGTTTATCTATAGTCTCAAAACCACACTGACAACACCTAAATGTCACAAAACAATACTTTTCTTTGCCCTTATAATCAAATGGTTGCTCTGGCATTTTATCAGGTTTTAATTCTGATTTTTTCAACTCAGCAACGGATGTCATGTTGTCAAAATCAATTGCTGCATTTATGATTTCATTTGTGATTTCGTAACTATAGTTTTCATCACTTGCGTGACGCCACATGTGTGACTTGAGGGAGGGGAGATGGTGACACACATAACCACACAAGTTACATTTGTACTGTTCTAGTGGTTGCTGGACATATCTCTGGTCATTTATGTGACGTTTCATATGTGATTTAAGACTCCGTAAAGACATGGCAGAGAAGTCACATTGTCCACACTTGAGTATGCTGGCCTCATCATGTACTTTCATGTGAAGCTTAACAGCAGGGTAAGTAGTGCTGGTGTACTCGCAATGTTCACACTTGTATTTTACATTATCGCTAGATCCTTCCTCCTCCTTTTGTGATTTGTTCCCTAGATGGCACTCCTCTGCATGTTCCCGAGCCTCGTTTTCATCTCCTGCGACAAACCTACACTGGTTACATTGATACGCCGTATTAGATGTAACACTTTTACGACATTTTTCAGAGTGTGCTGACAGATCAGAATATTCCATTAACTGGTGACACACTGAACACTTGAACATCTTCACTTCATGGTCTAACATATGGACACGAAATTTCATGGCATCCTTTGTTTCAAAGTCACATAGATCACACATGAAGGATTCTAAGTAGTTATGTGCCCTGAGATGGGCCCTGAGTTGACTCTTATAACTGAACACAGAGTCACACAGCTTGCAGGAATATGTTCGAACCTGAAATACAACAGGAACAGTGAAATAATACGAAGTTGAGATCAACCATGAGAGACATACAAACTGTAAACTGACACTTCCATGTAAGATAAATTTCTTTGTGAGTATACCTGTTTTTGATTTTAAAAAATAGCTCAAAATTTCACAATAAAGCAATTGTTAAAATCACACAATCTAACATTACTCAATCGAAACTTTTCTTGTTTCCCATTTTTGTGACATATTTTGTTTTTGAGCCAGAGCTCTCAGCCCAATCAAAGTTTTCCTGAAACCAAAAATCAGGCAGCTTTCTTACATGTATATCCCAAAGGAGAACAGTAATATTTCAATTTCAGGTGAAATGATACAACATGTACATACCTTGCAATGAAGTAACATGTGGTCCTGCAAACTCTCACTAGATGGGGCTATATATGTACAGAGGGAGCACTCAAATGGTTTCTTTGACTTGTGGAATCGCATGTGTTGCTTCATATAAGAAACACTGGCACTTGTATAGTGGCACAGCTTACATCTACAAGTGATAAAAATGAATAAATAGTCTAATTTTGAAGCTACAATAAAAAAGTAGTGAGAGAAAGTACAAGAGTCTACAAGTATAAAATGCACATGTAAACAATATAACAGCATTTACACTGCTTAATGGACACAAAGAAAATTTAGGAAAGAGAAAAACAATCCCTCTTTAAAAACTACAATTCCAACACATGATGAGATATCCACTTATGGACATGTCACACTTCACACTGTATAGCATGTTACACTTCACACTGTATGACATTCATCACACTTATGGACATGTCACACTTCACACTGTATGGCATGTTACACTTCACACTGTATGACATTCATCACACTTATGGACATGTCACACTTCACACTGTATGGCATATTACACTTATGGACATGTCACACTTTACACTGTATGGCATATTACACTTATGGACATGTCACACTTCACACTGTATGGCATGTTACACTTCACACTGTTTGACATTCATCACACTTATGGACATGTCACACTTCACACTGTATGGCATATTACACTTATGGACATGTCACACTTTACACTGTATGGCATATTACACTTATGGACATGTCACACTTTACACTGTATGGCATATTACACTTATGGACATGTCACACTTCACACTGTATGGCATGTTACACTTCACACTGTATGACATTTATCACACTTATGGACATGTCACACTTCACACTGTATGGCATTCATCACACTTATGGACATGTCACACTTCACACTGTATGGCATTCATCACACTTATGCTTCACACTGTATGGCATGCTACACTTCACACTGTATGACATTTATCACACTTATGGACATGTCACACTTCACACTGTATGGCATGTTACACTTCACACTGTATGACATTTATCACACTTATGGACATGTCACACTTCACACTGTATGACATGTTACACTTCACACTGTATGGCATGTTACACTTCACACTGTATGACATTCATCACACTTATGGACATGTCACACTTCACACTGTATGGCATATTACACTTATGGACATGTCACACTTTACACTGTATGGCATATTACACTTATGGACATGTCACACTTTACACTGTATGGCATATTACACTTATGGACATGTCACACTTCACACTGTATGGCATGTCACACTTCACACTGTATGACATTTATCACACTTATGGACATGTCACACTTCACACTGTATGACATGTTACACTTCACACTGTATGGCACGTTACACTTCACACTGTATGACATTTATCACACTTATGGACATGTCACACTTCACACTGTATGGCATGTTACACTTCACACTGTATGACATTTATCACACTTATGGACATGTCACACTTCACACTGTATGGCATGTTACACTTCACACTGTATGACATTTATCACACTTATGGACATGTCACACTTCACATGCACACTGTATGGCATGTTACACTTCACACTGTATGACATTCATCACAGTCACTTATGGACATGTCACACTTTACACTGTATGTCATGTCACACTTTACACTGTATGGCATGTCACACTTCACACTGTATCGCATTCATCACACTTATGAACATGTCACACTTTACACTGCATGGCATGTTACACTTCACACTGTATGACATTCATCACACTTATGGGCATGTCACACTTCACACTGTATGGCATGTTACACTTCACACTGTATGACATTCATCACACTTATGGGCATGTCACACTTCACACTGTATGGCATGTTACACTTCACACTGTATGACATTCATCACACTTATGGGCATGTCACACTTCACACTGTATCGCATTCATCACACTTATGGGCATTTTACACTTCACACTGTATGGCATTCCCTATTTCCAATTACCTAAAGAATCCCAATGTGTCACTGTCCCTGATCCACTCCACTTTGTCATTACTCTCAAGTACGTCATCTTTTGGTTTACGGGAGAGTGACACTTTCTTGTTACGCCCCCTGGCACGAGGAACTGACACCACAACTTTTTCCTCCACAGATTCCTCAGCACTCTCACCCCCTGCAAGCCAGTTTAGTTTATAATATAACAACAATAGGCATTTTGCCATTACAATGAAACAAGGATATACTGATAACATTCATCGGTCATAGTTTAGCTTTCAGGTAGCAATGTTTCCAAGCAAAACTAGACAACAGCAACGCCAAAGCGTAGCAAATCCCATCGAACAGCCATGGCTGGTATTTTTACAAACAAAGTATATAGCAAAAATGGCAGCCATTTTTCAAAATGGCCACTTTCTACCAAAAGTGTCCACCCGTGTAGCTCAGCGGCAGCACAGGTACCTCTTACGCAATACATGTAGGTCCCGGATTCGATCCCCGGTTCAGGCAAGACTAAATTTGCTTGTTTGCGTGAAGTACTTCAGGGTGTTTGACTGAGTGGTCCGCAACTCGTACAAAAAGGCTGTGGTGTGTACTTATATGCCTATGTATAAGTGCACATAAAAGAACACAGGGCTCTTTCAAGGAGGGCTTTCTGGGTCTATCTTCCATGTTAATTATGTTAATTACGACCGTATATACGGGACATACCCAAGAGGTATTGCTCACCTTCATTGGTGGTAAACAAAATACAATACAAAAAAAATTAGACAGTGTGCCATGCTTATAGTATTCACATACCAAATATGAACAAAATCGCTCCACTACTTTTCGAGTAAGAGTAAAATATGTTAAAATGGTGGTCATTTTTCAAAATGGCCACCTTTAACCAAAAGTGTCATTAGACAGTGTGACATGCTTATAGTATTCACATACCAAATATGAACAAAATCACTCCACTACTTTTCGAGTTAGAGCAAAAATGGCCATCATTTTAAATGAGTGGCGATTTTGAAAATAGCCTTTCGAGCAGAACTTCTACCCCCATAGGGTATATGTATACAAAATATGAACAAAATTGGGCCAACGGTATTTGAGTTATTGCCCGAACAGACGTACGGAGGGACAGATGGACGGACGGAGGCATTCCCTATATCCCTCCTAACTTTGTTCGATGGGATAAATAGAATGTGAAATATGATTAATTAAATATAAGTTTTACAGGCAGTCAATGAAAACTCAGAGGAACGAAGATACAATTTAGAATTTTTGTTATCAAACATGTCAAAGAGAGAACTTTAGAACATGCAACACTTGACTGACCTGGAAAGGTTGCTTTTACTTATTCATCTAATCATTTATCTCTTAAATGAAACAATAAATGATAACTATACCTGATTTCGACCTCTCTCTTAGTTGCTCAATGACAGCCAGTAACGAACTACAAATCCCAGACTTTGGTTTAGAGTCATCCGTCCCCTGGGAGTCAGTAACACTCACTGGTGGGCTATTACGATCAGGCTCATGGTCCCCCTTTTGAGAGTCTTCTTGTTTTAAAGGCTGTCCAACAGGGTAAGCTGGGTTATAATTGGGGCCTTTTTTAAGTAAGGAAAGAAGTGTCAGGGCGGAGTCATCATCAGGAAGGGGTTTGTAAGGGTGTCGGGAAATCGGCTGTAAAGCCACATAGGCTGGGAGATCACCATGCTGTCCAATGTCAGGGGCTCTAGGGCTGTTATGTCTGCTGTCAACCAGGGTAAACCTAAAAAACAGATAATCATTTCAAAGATAATTCAAACATTGAAGTTTGCTTAAGCATTTGTTCTAAACACACATATTTATTATTTTACCAGAAATGTACAATAGGTCTGGTCATAATGTAAAGTACATTCTCGCATATAATTTTGATATTCTAAATTCATATTTCGACATTATGACCGATGAATACATACCTTAGGGCTAGGCACAAAAGCTTTCGAACCCACTCCCTTCAGTCATTTGGGGTACAGAAAATATTTGTGCCTAGCCCTGTGGTATGATTTGTCGATATAAGACCTGCTCTTCGGTTAATATTTCTTAATTCAATACAAGGGAAAAGTGTTCTCTAAGACAGGCCTCTTAATACATAATTTAGAATAAATTGACTTTGGACATTGAACCTTCTTTTCTGTAATTACTGAAACTCATGTGTGGGTATACTTTTCAATTATGGAACCTGTCATACTGCTCACTAGATGAGCATTTCATTTCAAGCTTTCTTTTACATTTTCAGAATAGAAAGTCAATGTCAGTTAATGTCCAAGTCTATTGAACATGTAAGTTTCAATTAGGCCTATCATGATTGTAAATTTTAAAAGAAATTCTGGTTACTAAAGGGGCAAAATTACAGCTACTGTATTTAAGATTTATAATCCAGTGATATTATTATTTCATACCTGGGTGTGTTGTAGCCCTCTGTGACATGTTCTACAACAACATTGTTCTCTTGATTCTGAAATTCAAACATCATATTGCATGTTTTGTTAAAACCATAGTGTTGTCATACTGTGTATTGGTGCTGTCATTATACTACATATGTATAAAATGTAGAGAAACCTTCGAGGTCTTTGATTTAATGAATATAGAAATGAGGCATGTTTTATTCTTAAAATAATTCTGTGTGAGGTCAATTAATAAACATCAAGTTGCCTGCACACTTTGTTAGCCAAACAGTGAGTGTTCTTGAGATATCAAAGGTAATATTTTTCCATAAGTCAATATGAGGTTCACCCATCTAATGTTTAGTACATGTACTGTACAATAATTATGGAATGTGTTTTACTAGCATCTAATTGTTCATCATAACATTGTAGCAATGCTACTAGTATATTCTTTGGTTAGAAGACTTATAAAAGAGGATTTACCTTCACAGTGGCTGCTGGAGGAATAAATGCTTCCTGAGATGTCTTGGTGCAATTTTCCAAATGGTGGCAATCAACATCCATGTCATGGCCCTCAAGTTCATCCTCCTCCTCTTCATTATCAGCTTCCCCTTCATCAGTATGGGTGTTATCTTCATAAACCTCCATCTCAAGTGCTTCTTCATTGTGTTCTTCAATGCTATCATCTTGTGATGTCACAATATGCTGCTCACTGTTAGCATGAATGCTTATGTCACATTTGGTTTCTCTACAATCTGTTGGCTTGCTTTTATTGTGTACATTTACATGCTTGCTGGGTTCTTTATTTGACTTTGATAAATCAGCTGAATCTGAACTAGCATATATTGCCATCTGTTCATTTATTTTTTCTGTATCCCTTTGTGCATTTATATGGCTTGTGGGTCCTCTGTCCTCTCTGTTGATCATTGGTTCAATATTTAAAGGAGACTGTTTCCCAGAGTACTCATTTTCACTTGGTATTGTTTCAATGTCCTGGTTTGGTTTGAGGTCCCTAATTGTGACCTGCTGCTTCTTGGGAACCATTGTAACTATCATCTGATTTTCTGGTGTCTCTTGGTCTTTGGAAGGTGTGCTCCCTTGTGGTTCATTCATTTCTACCTTTATGGGTTCATCCACTTTGAGAATTGCTGTATGCTGATCAATTAATTTAACTCTTGTGTTCTTTCCAATTGTAAATATATTGTCATGTGGATTACCAAGAGCTTCAGGCTTGTTTCTTGTACCAGTTGAAGGGGTCTTCCTAGTCTGAGCGAGTGGAGTGCCCTCATAGATGCTAAGGGGTCCATTTTGAAACATGGGATAATCTATGTCTTTATGACCAGTATGCTTCCATATGTGGGACTTGATTGTACGTTGGCTTTCACACTGATATCCACAAACCCTACAATAAAACATTCCAATTGTGGCATTGAAGCTAAAGGCCTTTGATGTATTTTCTTTGGCCATTGTGCACTTTGTAGTGGAAGGTGCAGGGGCGCCTGAACTGACTGGAGAAGCTGGGAGTTTAGGCTTGTGGGACAACATGTGTGTGATGAATGGGTACACCTGGGTGCTTTTGAAACTACAGTCTCCGCATAAGTATTCTGTGGGGTCAGACCCAGTTGCCTTTGGAGTACCTCTTGTGGAGTCAGAACTACTTAACCCTTGGGTCCTTCTTATGGGGTCAGATCCACTTGTCTTGTTGCTTTCTCCTCTTGTGTTGGGGGCTAAACCAGAAAAGCTTGTCCTAGGAGCTTGACTGAGAATAGTCCTGAGGGTACCTGTTGCATCAGATGTGCTAGGTAACTCCCCCAGGGGCTTCCCAGACATGTAAGCCTTAGGACTGCCTGTTAATCTCACACTCTCATGTATCTTTGAGTTGATGCTTAACCTTGGGGAGGATCTTTCACCACTTTCCCTGTTTCTTGGCACTATGGATGGGCTGTTCTCGCATGGGGCATTTACAACCTCAGCTTTGCTGGTATTTGGAGCGAGAGAAATTTGGGCTTTGTTGTTGCCTGTAGGGGTCAATCTGTCACTAACTGCGCTCTTCTTATTGGTATCAAGCATAGCAAAGGTGGGGTTGCTTGCTGAAGCACTCGGAGTATCACCTTGGACATGTTGCCACATATGCTGTTTCAACTCAGACTGATTTTTAGTCTCATAACCACACACTGAACATTTCATAATGAGTGACTTGTTGCTCCCTGGTGCAGGTGGTGACTTAAGAGTCAGGGGAGCCTTCAAGGGAACTGATCCTTTTTTAGGGAAAACTTGAGGAGTTGGGACATGCAGTTCTTTTATATGAGCGACCATATCTTCATTCTTGCTACACTCATGATCACATATACTACACTTGTAGAGAAATTCAACCGGTTTATCAGCTTGTTTAGCTGCCCTGCTTGGTGACTTCTTGTGACCAGTATCAATATGTGCAACAACTCTCTCTTTGGCCACTGTGAAGAAGTTGCACTCGGAGCAAAAAAAGACCTCTTGTTTTCCATGTGCAGATCTCATATGCTCAACAATGTTTTCTTTAGATTCACATTCAAGTTTAAAGTCGCAGATCTCACATCGTGTTGCATGCATTTTAATATGGTTCGTTAAATGTCCCTTTTTGCGAAATGTAGCATTACACTGAGTGCACTCAAACGGTCGATCATTGCTGTGTATAATCAGATGTTCTTTTAAAGAATGGCTTCGCTTACCAGCATAGTCACAAAAGGGGCACTTGTATATACGAGAGGCATTATGCACCAAATCAATATGCTGTTTGAGATAGTGTTTGTTTGCGCTTGAATAGTCACATTCTTCACATTTGTGAACTGATTCAACGACAACAACAGAACTAGCATCAAGGTTATCTTTGGCTTGAATATCTTCATGATGCATCACCTTGGTAACATCTTGACTAGTGCCTTTTAAAGCTGATGAGATTTGACTATCAAGGTCACAGATCTGTTTTTGGTCTGCAAGATCAGACAAGATTCTTATGGAAATCTGAGATTGGCCCGCAGGTCTAGTTGGAACATTTGGTGCTTCTTCTATAATTTCAACAACAATCTCTTGTGGTTTCCCATCAGGAGGTGTTACTGAGGCAGACTGGCTAGGTCCTACAGATTGTGGATTCTCAACAATCTCTGTCAACTTGTCAATGACAGCAGATAGTGCAGCTTCACCAACATGGATATCAGTCACCTGATCTAGTTGATCAGACATTTTCGCACCACTATACGAAGGTGAACTTACATAGCTTTCTTTCTTATCAACTGCAACATAAATCAAACAAATACTTGATTTTAACATTCTGAAGTGACTTTGTCAAACTACATGTATCATCATTGTCAAGGCCAGAGTGCACTTTGGAATTTTTTTGCAATTTTGAAAAGTAAACCACTGAATATTCTAGTTATTCAAACATTCTGAAGAATTATCAACCCTCAATTAATAGTCTTAGTACACTAATACATCTTTTGTGCAAGAATGAAAGATGTATATGATGTGTGGAATGAGTTATGTTTATCTGAAAATAGCACATGGTCATGAAAATAGCACATGGTCATGAAATTTCATCAAAGTGCACTCTGACCTTTAACCGTTCGATGCCATGGTTCTTTGCCATTTATCGTTTGGAAGGTTTTGATTCAAGAATAACAATACTGGGAGTAAGACTAACAATTACACTGTCTTTAAATTAATTGGTGTCAATACCAGTACATGTAGTTGCGCTGACAAAGGGTTTGAAAATCAAAATACATGTTTCAATGAGTATAGTCTAGACTTGTAAATATAATAATGTTTTTGGCAATGTATTTGGACTTCTCGGTTCTTTTCGATACACCTATTTTAATGGATGGAATTCTCTGGGGATTTGGAAAATGCTAATCAAAGTAACAGCTTTGTTCAATGAATCTTTGTAGATCTACATGTACGTTGTACAATGCATGGAAAGCGGTCTGTCGAATCGGTTTTTACAATAATATATATTCACAGTAGACTTGGTACTGGGTAATAATGGACTCAAATAGATGTTCATATTAAATGGTATGCAATACTATTTATAATTATTTCACACAGAAATCCTTCCAACCATGCTCTTTTGCATTGACACAGATGCAGACATTGCTTGTGAACTGTCTGTGAAGATGAAGACCAGATCACAAGCACGGATTTCTAACCATAAATATCAGCCAATAGAAAATTGATCGTCTATAAAACAATTTGGATTAATAAAGCACATGATAATCTTATTTAGATAACAATAACATAACAATCATATCTTACCGAATCATTGCAGATATTGGATGAAATCTGGCTCGAATTTCATCTATTTTCTGTTCAAGATGGCGACTGAGGGATCACGTGACTACTTCGTACGCCAAATTAAGTCACATGACCGTCCGAGACTTATAGATAATCTATTTTAGACTTTCTGAAGTCATTGATAATTCCATTCTATACTATGTGAGAAAAATTGTACCAAGCCTCATTAGTTCTTCTCACTGGAAGGATGTTCCTTCAGGTAATATCTCCCTGTAATAGGAGAATCGAATTTTAAACATAAAATTAAATTTCAAATCTCGAAATTTCTCCCGAGATTACACCTTTTTAATATTTTTTGAAAGTGCCACGTTTGTGCAGAAAAATTCCACAAAACACACTATGCCCGAGTCCGTTGGTTCCGTGATTGGTAAATTTTGTGATGAATACATCAACAGCACTCCCAAGAAGCTGAAGATCGTTGACGCATACCTTCTTTACATCATGTTGACTGGGATAATTCAGTTCCTGTACTGTTGTTTGGTTGGCACTTTCCCCTTCAATTCATTCCTCTCTGGATTCATTTCAACAGTGGCATCTTTTGTACTTGGAGGTAAGATATTCACAGTTTTGATTTCATGATGTAATGTATTTATGTTCTTTTTTCAAAATGGTTTTCGTGATCTCCTCTGTCGTAAGTCAGGGCCGTCAGATGGGGGGGGGTGCGATGGGTGCGACCGCACCCCCCTTTGTCACCTAGTCAAGTGAACTCGACTTAATGTTGTTGTTTCACGTTTCTTTTTGACGATTTGGATATTTGTTTTTTATTTTTGTTTTCAACATTTGCGTCGAGGATATTAAGGCCCGAATATTGCGGTAAATGCTTTTCTGCCCTCTATGCCCAACAAAAGTTACACAGATAAGATAATGGATCCAATGCTTCAACTAGAATGTATTAAATCTTACCTTAAACACAGGAAACACTTGATAATTGAAGAAATGTAATCATTTTCGTATATGTTTGAACCAATTTCCAATATGGCTCTCAAGGTCACTCAAGGTCACTGAATACAGTCTAAATGTGAAACCATGCAACCAAAACGAAATCGTAATTATTTATTACCAACATATCTGTTTTCGGTTTCTTCACCCTCCTTGGTGTCTGAGAAGGCGATTCAATTGTCATAAGATGATGATAAACTTTTTCGAGTTGAAATCTCGATCTCAATATGGCTGCCGTAATTTATTGTAATTTCGTTTTTTCGCTTCACCTAGAGTTTTACTTTTACACAATCATTACCCAGAATGCATCTACACATGGGGAAAAAATTTGTTTCTAGAAAAATTCTTATACTTCTTCAATTATCAAGCGTTTGACGTGTGTAAGGTAGGATTAAATACATTATCGACGAAGAGCATATTCTAATACATAATTTGTGTGATTTTGGTTGCCTAAACAGGCCAGGAAAGCATTTCCCTCAATTTACAACCGGGAAGTGTGTACGACCCTAGTATGCAAGAAAATAACAAAAAATAAATATCCAAATTATCAAAAAATAATGACAAATAAAGCATACGATGGTCGGATTTATATGACTATTGTCACCCCCCAAAAAAAATTTGAAAAAATTTTTTTTTGAAAAATATATTTTTTTGTAGATCTAATTTTTTTTTCATTGACTCATACACTTTGAAAGTACCCAGAAAGCACCCCAAATAGCATCTTAAAATTATAAAATTTTCTAGGGGTATTAACCACCCGTCACACCCCCCCCCCCCCGCACAAAACAATGGAAAAGTTCTAAATTTATTTTAGAGTTTTGTCTCAGACACTTTTTAAGTGCCCAGATATCATCAAATAGCTCCTTGAAATAGTTAGTGTTTCTGGTAGTCAAGTGAACTCGACTTAATGTTGTTGTTTCACGTTTCTTTTTGACGATTTGGATATTTGTTTTTTATTTTTGTTTTCAACATTTGCGTCGAGGATATTAAGCCCTGTATATTGCGGTAAATGCTTTTCTGCCCTCTATGCTCAACAAAAGTTACACAGATAAGATAATGCATCCAATGCTTCAACTAGAATGTATTAACTCTTACCTTAAACACAGGAAATACTTGATAATTGAAGAAATGTAATCATTTTCGTATATGTTTGAACCAATTTCCAATATGGTTCTCAAGGTCACTCAAGTTCACTGAATACTGTCTAAATGTAAAACCATGCAACCAAAACGAAATCGTAATTATTTATTACCAACATATCTGTTTTCGGTTTCTTCACCCTCCTTGGTGTCTGAGAAGGCGATTCAATTGTCATGAGACGATGATAAACTTTCGAGTTGAAATCTCGATCTCAATATGGCTGCTGTTATTTATTGTAATTTCGTTTTTCGCTTCACCTAGAGTTTTACTTTTACACAATCATTACCCAGAATGCATCTACACATGGGGAAAAAAAATTTTTCCAGAAAAATTCTTATACTTCTTCAATTATCAAGCGTTTGACGTGTGTAAGGTAGGATTAAATACATTATCGATGAAGAGCATATTCTAATACATAATTTGTGTGATTTTGGTTGCCTAAACACCTGCCAGGAAAGCATTTCCCTCAATTTACAACCGGGAAGTGTGTACGACCCTAGTATGCAAGAAAATAACAAAAAATAAATATCCAAATTATCAAAAAATAATGACAAATAAAGCATACGATGGTCGGATTTATATGACTATGTTTCTGGGGGACTTACTCCCCCTCTTGCATCTTGCACTTGCATAACCCCCCCCCCCCCCCTCTGGCACCCCCCCCCCTTGACCCCCCCCAAAAAAAATTGTGATTTTCTCAAATTCTTTAATTGACTCATACACTTTGAAAGTGCCCAGAAAGCACCAAATAGCGTCGTAAAATTGTAAAATTTTCTAGGGGTATTAACCACCTGTCACACCCCCCACAAAACAATGGAAAAGTTCTAAATTTATTTTAGAGTTTTGTCTCAGACACTTTTAAAGTGTCCAGATATCATCAAATAGCTCCTTGAAATAGTTAGTGTTTCTGGGGGACTTACTCCCCCTCTTGCATCTTGCACTTGCATAACCCCCCCCCCCCCCCCTCCTTGACCCCCCCCCCCAAAAAAAATTGTGATTTTCTCAAATTCTTTAATTGACTCATACACTTTGAAAGTGCCCAGAAAGCACCAAAAAGCGTCGTAAAATTGTAAAATTTTCTAGGGGGAGTGGGCCACCCCTCACACCCCAAACAAAACAATGGAAAAGTTCTGAATTTGTCTTATGTATTGTCTCAGACACTTTTAAATTGCCCAGACATCATCAAATAGCTCCTTGATAAAGTTAATGATTCTGGAAGACTAACACTTACTCGCCCTCTGGCATCCCCACTCCACCTCCCCCTCTGGCAGTCCCCCCTCCCTTAACACCCCCCCCCCCCCAAAAAAAAAAATTGAGATTTTTTTTATTGACTCATACCCTCTGAAAGTGCCCAGAAAGCACCAAATAGCATCTTAAAATTGTAAAATTTTCTTGGGAAATAGGCACTTTTAGGCACAGACACTTTTAAAGTGCCCAAACTTCATCGAATACCACCTTGATATTGTAAATTTTGATATGGGGGACAAACACTCGCTCCCCCTCTGGCACCCGAGCGCCACCTCCCCCTCTGGCACCCCTCCCCCCCCCTTTGACACCCCCCAAATTTGAAAAAAATTGTGATTGTTTTTCAATGTTTTTATTGACTAATACACTTTAAAAGTGCCCAGAAGCACCAAATATCATCTTTAAATTGTAAAATTTTCTAGGAGAGTTAGCTACCCCTCACATCCCCCACAAAACAAAAGAAAATATTCTGAATTTCATGTATTGTCTCAGACATTTTTTAAGTGCCCAGACATCATCAAATAGCACCTTGATATGGTCAATGTTTCTGGGGGACAACCCATTGCTCCCCTACTGGCACCCCACCCCACTTCACCCTCTCATCCTCTTTGACACCCCCAAAAGAATTTGAAAAATTTCACATTTTTCTTATTGATTTACGCACAGGCGTACCAGATGGTTGCAAATTCGCTCCAAATACAACCAAATTTCAAAATTTTCCTGGGGGAGAACCCCCAGACCTCCCTGAATGCTCGGTTTTTTATTCACTCAACTCTTATTCTTGTGGTGGTGGCGTACTACTTAGAAACTTACACTTTGTAAGTGCCCAGAAAGCACCAAATAGCATCTCAAAACTGTAAAATTTTCTAGGGGGAGTGGACCACTCCTCACACCCCCCACAAAACAATTGGAACGTTTGGAAGTTGCCATGCATTTGTTAATTCCAAACCAATATAGGGAGTAACTGACCCCCCCCCCCCCCCTCTGTCTTACGCGATTTGATTTACGCGGCAAAAAAAATGACAATTTTTTTATTCTCTTTAGTAAGCTAAAAACCGCACCCCCCTTGGAGAAAAGTGTCTTACGGGCCTGTAAGTCATCCACAAGCAGTTTGTGATAGCAATATCGTTATGATACACACTCCAAATACTCTAGCGTAGCCAGGATGAGGCAGACGAGGTGCTTTGAATAATATTCAAAATAATTCATGTTTCCCGCGGTGTTAGCAATCTTGGATTTAGATCCCATCCATTGGAGATTTCGATATATTTTTGAAATTTCCTTACACAAATATGGCTGACTGGGTGAATTGAAAATATAAGCCGATGTCAAATTAGCCCCATCAAACTCCCGTGCAGTGATATATCACTGCGGCGGGCAGGTATCTCACCGCAAGCATGGTAACTTCGTAATAAACAACTGACGTGATTGGTTCTAGTCCTATGCTCAGGTCGCGTGATTGTAAAATTTAGACAATTTCATTGGTTGAATTGCGCGTATTAACTAATAAACAACATGTGCGGTAAACTATTATCAACAAAACTTTTACACAGAATTCCTTCCGCGGTGATTTTTTCTCATATTTCAATAATTTTGAAATATTTTGACAAAATAATGTTTGGGGAACATTCATGAATACATATTTTATAAGTTGTGTGAAAATTGACCACATATGCGATGAAAAGGGGAACTATTTTCCCCAAATTTTGGGGATTTCCTTCATCTGCCCGCCGCAGTGTCTATACCAATAGTCGAAATAGCCCCATGCATGACGAATGATTAATTTCCCCTACACTCTTCGAAATGAATTTCTGGAATAAGCTACCATCATATTTTTGATAATATTGTGATAGTATTGTGATAATAATGTCCCTTATACCTAATTATTACAGGTCGTGTAGACCATTGTTGCCCGATTTATAGCAAAAACATTGACTTTTGCACGTTGGTGATGATGCGCCTTTTTTAATAGATCTCATATCTTTGAAGGGTATCAGTTCAAAAAAATACTCCATGACCTAACATATTTTGCAATGCACTGCACCTATTCATTTGTCTTTCCATCCATTTTGTACGATCACAGAGCATGAATACTACTTTAACAAATCCCCAGGGATTTAAAAGACACATTTCGCAACAATAAATGTTCGCAATTTACCATGATCGCAAACAAAGCGAAATTAAAATGCAAGCTAACAATACCGGGATTACAGTAGACTTATACGCGATATCGTTCAGAATGTCTGTTGTTCTTGTAACAGATTATTTACCATGGTACTTTGAATTAATTTAACATATTAACATTGTTACAATTTTTTGTTTCAGTTTGCCTGAGAGTTCAAGTTAACCCACAGAATAAAAATGACTTCCTTGGCATTGCACCCGAGAGAGCCTTCGCTGACTTCATCTTTGCACACATCATTCTCCATCTAGTCGTCATCAACTTCATAGGATAAACATCTCAGGTATGGTTTGTCATATTGCAACTAGCATATATATAAGGGTTATGTACTGGGAGGTTTGGATATAGGGTATATCCTGGGGGATATGTTTATATCTCCCCGAGGGACTGAAGGGACCAAGGGGAGATATAAATATTTCCCGAGGGATATACCCTATATCAAAAACCGACCGTACATAACTGGTGTATCTCATACTTGAGTGGGTTTGGGGTAGATATAACCTTTACCATTTTTTTCAAATGACAAGATAGGCCTATACTGTAAAAGCACAATTTATATTTAACATTTCCATAATATTCCTCCAGCTCAATACAAAAGAATTGTAACATTTAAACTTTTTGAAAAATTTTAAACTTCTGAAATTTAAATTTTAAATTTTTTTTAAACTTTTGAAAAAATTCCCGGGAGCGGGATGGATATATTATATCTGCCCGCATTTGGCCTAGAGCGGGACATATACAATATATCCTGCCCGCTCCTCAGATATGATATATATTCCCGGGTGATATCTACCCCAAACCCACTCAAGTATGAAATACTTATACAGTTTTTTTTTTACAGTTTTGATTTTGATACAATCTTATCTTAATGATCTCAAATGAAACATTCATTGCCTTTTATGGGAGCTTGATGCTAGCTGTTTCGAGGCAGGAATGTAGTTATGGGATTTACGGAATATAATGATTTGACAGGGTAGATTGAATACCTCTCAATTATAGACTATGCATATAGTCAGGCTCTTACAAAGGGCACATTCAAGGGCTTCTTCTATTGGGATTAGTTAAGGGAAAACCAAAATCATTTTCTCTGATTTAGAAAAGTCATAAAATTACTGACATATCAGTGAAAACAAGATGTGTTTATTTTGTATTAACCCTAATATACCCAAACATCATCTCTACAGATCAAATATCACTAGAGCAAGTATCAGAATGGACTTTTGATTTGAAATTCGAGCCACTTCAAGCACATATGTTTATAAACATATTTCACCTGAGAAATGCTCCCTATCTTATATAAGGTGTATAAAGTCCCAATCATTCAAAATTTTTGATCAAACATGGTACTTTTCCAAATCATATCCAATAGCATACAAAACAAGGTAATAGGGTAAGGGAGATTATGTATTTATATACATGGGCAGCAAATCTCCTCAGTATTAGATCAGCCAAGTGCTGTACCCTGCTTCCAAAAAGGGACATTTTGAAATATTCTGGCCAAAATTGGTAAAATTGCGATTCATCACTCTGCTATGAATTTCTTTCTCGGAAGATCACCCTAAGATGTGAAAGCCTATTACACATATCCTATCCTGTATATTATGTTTGTGAGTCTGTCATACTAACTACCTCTACTTTGTAATTCAAATCATAAGTTGTAACAGAAAACATTTTGTCTTTCAGTTTGACCACTCATCTTACTCACCATGGCAACAATGGCACAGACTGGTAGACTACAATAACTCGAGCAAGGAACAACCAGTATTCCTTTCCAGTTTCCATGGCAACATAACAAGAGGGAACAACAGCAATAAGCTACAACAAACTAGCATCGTTTAGAAGACATGGACTTGCTCATAAGATTCTAAAATAACATTTTTATTATTCACTTATTAATTATAAACTGAGAAACAATATTGAACTGGACATCATGTTTAAGTGTATTTTGTTGTAATTGTTGTATTTAACTATGAGTTCTGTCACGACTGTGTCATTGTTTGTATCATTCACCATTCACATTCATCATCATTAAATAAAAATAAAGGCTAGATATTGTAAAAATTAAATATGAATTTCTGTGAAATATTAAAATGACATGGGCCAATTGAAAACTTATCTAAAACTTATTTTCGGCTTGTAAATGTTTCCTCTTTTGAACCATAATTCAGTTTACCCATGGACATGAATAGAAGGAATGAACATTTTTAGGAAACTGGTTTCTCCCAATTTAGTTGTGATTCAAACCAAAAGATGGACATGCAAAATTCTTCATTCAAATATCTCACTATCTTGTAAAATGGTTTATTATCCCACCCTTTGAACGAAGTTTTGGGGATAGAGAACAACTATGTCTGTCAGTTCAAGTACCTAATTAGTCATAAACCTCTCAATAGAATAGGATAAATGAGTAAAATCTGAAATTGGCCGTTCAATTATTTTGGCAGGTAACAACTCAGTTACAAAAAATTGGCGAAATATCATAAATCTAGTTCAATGTTCATTATTCACAGGATATTTTAATTGATTTAGATTAGCGTCCACTGTTCAAAGAGAAAAGGTTTTGCTGAATAAAAATGCTCATTGTATCGAGGAGTTCACTAGAGAGGTGTTCACTAACAAAGGTTTTACTGTACATGTACTCATTGTATTTCAATGCCAAGCAGAACTAGAACATGAGAAGGGGCTGTCCCAGTTCTGAAGAGTTAGACTGTTGGAGTTTTGATCTACATCAGATGTTAATAAAGACACCACAAATGCATCTGTACACCTTGGCTGAACACAATTATTGCATGGTTCCATACAACCCTTGGATATTCAACATTTTGATATTGATCTTCAATTTAAAAAAATCTGAATAAGTTTTGAAAATAATAAGGGAAAACAAGACTAGGAGGCTTTGTACCTTTAAGAACAAAAAGTATAAAATGTGTTCATGAGACCAACGGTTTCAGTCCCTTCTGATCATTCATATTTTCCAATAATAACGTACATATACATGTTGAATTGGGAGTCAAGAGGTACTAAAATTATTTATTTAGTTACCTAGGGTGATTATCTAATAAACAAACAGATACAGACAGATTTAAAATATTTATTGTGTACTGATGTGCTTAGCATTGCTTAGGTCATATTCACTGTCAGATGACTGTTACCTTTGACATTACGGAGTGATGGCCTAGTGAACGCCATGAAGGGTAACAAATTTGTTCTAAAGAATTTGGTACACTAACATGTGGTCTTTAATCATTTATTAAAAAGAAGTTAGAGAAGTTAACCTCTTTTGAATAAGATTTTCACATCAGATCCAAAAATAATCTTTTGATACCAGTAGTGGTTTGGACCCTAGGATACCTCACATTTGACTCCTTATTTGCTCACGAAATTATAATACTAAATTCAGTTTTCAATTTATTTATTTCCTCCTAAAAACATGATTTCATATACTAGAACATCGTACAATACACACTGTAATATAAATATTTTAATACAAAACTTGTTGTTTGATATTGCAAAAGTATTTTTATGTAAATAAGAGGACATGTAATTGAGTGAATATATAAATAATATCAACATTGTTACTGTATATTGTACCCTGATTTAGTTCTCTAATGCTCGGATCCTTTGATGGATCCATGCATTATATATGTACTAATACACATAGCACTAAAAGGTAAGTCAGTGGAAGGATGTCCATATTCATGTAGTATCCTCAGTCTATCTCATCGACATGTATACACAGCACTACAAGTTTTAACATCAGATACAGTTTATTTGAATAGTTCTGATTACATGTTAGTTTCAGGGCGTTCTTTCACCCATTTAGCAATATTTGGTGCAGCGGCAACACGTTCAACGAGCTGTATGAGTTTGGGGTATTTGGTTTTTGTTGCATTTTTTTCCTCCTCGTCCTGCATGCGTTCTTGTAATCCAGACACCAACTGATAGATGCCGATATCTGCCCAAGTCATCTGAAATCAGAATGACCATGTTGATTGATTTGTGTTCAAGACCAATCCTTATTATATAAAATCAATGGTAAAGGAAAGGACCCAATTTTAATAAGACTGAAATAAACTTCACACTGTTCTCTATGTCAGGACTAGGAGTGGTAAATTGGCAAAGCAAGAATGAAGAAATTTAGTTATCAGTAATCCTGTTTAAAGGTGGGGTGAAGAATTCAAGTTTGATGTCAGTAATCCTTTAGACTAGATTAAAATAGACAATACTTTTAAGATAACATAATTGGTACTTAATAAATTGGTACTTATACAAATTGGCCCCCAAAATTAGGTTATATTTGATGACCAATAAAGTCATTGTAATTGAAGTACATGTAGTTGTGACTTCACATGTTATGCCATGGTGCATGAATGAGGAGTAATGGATAAGTTTGTATTCTTTTTACATTGATGCTTCTTATAAACCAATCACTTGCATCATTTAAGTATCTTAAAACTTACTTGAAGACAAAATATGCTGGATATCTTTGTATAAAAATCATTGTTTATTGATCACCTCTCATATAAGAGTGATTCAATTAGAAGTTTTTGCATACTGACGCTTAAAAGGTAAACTTACTTTGCTTCCTACGACGTAATCGCCTGCAATTAGTTTCTCCATGGCTGCGCACCAGTTAGGCACAGTCTCTGACTTTATTTTTTTCATCATCTCTGCCTGGAAAGACAAATTTGCAAAATATCACAATTGAGGTGATTCCCTTGCTGTATACATAGTTATTAACGGTTTGAAAGCATCCGAAACTCGCTGGAATGGCAGAACTCCACAAGATGGAATCTTGAAATAGCCTCTGAAAATGATTTGGAAATTTTACAAAAATCTTGCCAATCTTGAAATAACTTCAGTGAAAATTTAAAAAAATCTTGCCAATTTATATCCCATAATTTCCTTTAATCTTGCAAAGCTAATCAGCTATATTGTAAATATTTCCTACCTTCTTGGCATCATCTTTCTCAAAGTGTGCCTGGTAGAGACTTTGTGAGACATCTCCTACTGAATCAACAACAGAGTCAGCTACTGCCATATCAAAGCTGTTTTCTCCAAGCATACCTGGAAAAAGTTAAGTGCAACATATCAGCTTTTGGCTGCTAGCATATTCCTCAGGAGAACAAAATACTTGTATAATATTTATAGGATATCCTATGATTTTGAGGAATATCATTTCTATCTACAAGGTGATATTAAACATAGATATTACAATAGATTAAACTGATATTTTGAAAAATCAGGATGTTTTTATCCTACATTCAGTGAGGTGATATTTAGGTATCAATATATCACTGAGTGAATAAAACTGATATTCTGAAAAAATCAGGATGTTCTTATCCTACACTCAGTGTTTTAAATAAATCAATAAGAGGAGGATATATCATCACAATATCCTCTTTATATTGGTTTTCTGGAGTACCATGTCGATAACCTCCAATTATTTATTTTGCCAATAGATATTTTTTAATGTTACTAATTAGTACACTAAGTGTAGGATAATAAACTATTTGGAACATATTATAGCTGTAGGACCAATTTGATTTTCCAGATTTTATCATGCGTTTTTGATGTTGATACTATCTTTAATGTTCTCACATGAATGACCTTATTTGGGAATTTGAATACAAAATGCATATTTCTGTGCCACAGGGCGGTAATTTACATCATTTGAAATGCCTTGATGATGGTCTGTTGATAAAGCAGTTTAAGTCATGATTTAAATACAGATTCTGTTTGTATATTGGCTAAAAAATATCTAAATCTGAAAAGCAAATAATATTTACTTTATAGTAATAATCTTACCTGTTTCTCTGGCAGCAAATCTGGCAATTGCCACACTTTGTCCAAGCACTTTTCCATCAACCTCAAGGATTGGTAGTTGCCCATATGGTGCAACTGAAAATATATTTCAAGTGACAACTTATGAGGGACACAATGAGCGTTTTTAAAGTTAATCTAGTATTTGTGTTTAAATGTTTTGCTCAAACAGAGAAAATGATGAACTTCACTCTTGATAAACCAAATATTTATTTTTCATGGAAGTACAGTAAAACCTGTTTTAGTGAACACTGATTCAGGACACATTTAACATTGGCTCCTGTATAAAATCCCCTCTCTGTGGTACACCTACCTACAGTGAACACTTTTTGTGGCTCCATAGGTGTTCAATATATACAGGTTTCCCATTTTGAGGAAAACGTAGACTTCCTAATTATTTTTAGATTATTTCATTTCAAATATGAGCCAATATGAATAAGACTTGACATTTATTTGATATTTATTACATGTATAGCCTAAGTCAAATTTTTTAGATCAACATTTTTAGAAAAAGAGGTAAAAGTTAGTTAATTAAAACATTACATTTTCATGTGTTATCTTCAAATTTATACTATAAAATCTCATACAGTCTACATCTTTCAGTTTTGCACAAAGAATGCATTTATATGTAACTGTCAAAGAGAGAATACTGTTTTCATAAAATGTTTCAAAATGAGAAAATTCAGTGACCTACTCATTTTTCTCATTTTTTATACATTTAAAAAAATCTCTTCACTCTTCTATATAGGTACATAAATGCGCTCTTTGTGCAAAACTTAAAAAGTACAGGAATGAGTTGTGTGTTCCTCAAAATAACACAAAGCTCCAATGAGGTTTACATAAAAATTCCAAACGTACACCTTTACAGTTTTATGATAAATGTATCTAATTATTTTCTTCAATACTTTTCAGCCCATCTTTCATTTTCTTAATAATACCATGTCCAGAAACACAGCCCAAATGGATAAAATTAACCATTATACATACCTCCTGTTCCCTTCATAGCTCCCCATGCTTCCCCATCTATTCTGACATCATCAAACTCCACTCCACCTTGCTTGAAGATGAGCCTTGCAGCCTCAGCACGGCCACGGGCGTTGAAGTAGGTGAGTTTGTAGTTTGGCATCTTCTCTATGGACCTTGTCTTGGGGGTGTGACTTGGTGTAGTGTGGCTTGGTAAGTAATGCCAAATGTATTGCAGGATTTATAAGTACCTAATCTTGGTTGAATAAGAGAAGGGTCAATACAAATTGTCAATATTACTGCAGAGTCATATTCCAATAAAGTCTAATAAGACAGCCATATATTATACATAAATGTACTACTTGTGCAATAATCGTGATAATACTCAATAAATATGGACTATTTCTTTTATACAGGAAATGTAGTTATTTTTATATGTGCTCTGAATGTTTGAATGAAAATAGGAAATCGATTTAGGAATATTGCAAAATAAATGTCTGTCATTCTTGTAGGTGCTGTAAAGATCTGACCAGTCAATAGTTGTATGTGTGTACAAAGCATTACATTTTGTATAAATATTGTAAGTTGCTGAATCATTGAGCAGACCTTGGATATCATAAGTGAAATCACATTCATGGTGTGATGGGAGTCATTGTCTAAAGTGTGATGGTTATTACAGTATTATATTCTTTACATTAATGGACATTGTAGTGACAATCCCCTTCCCCTTCTTTATGCCTTTTAACATGTTTAAGCATAAGGTAATCACCACAGTCTTCCAACAATTACAATTATATTTCTGAATCAAAATCAGTCTCACATAAAATGTGTGTTCGTTTATCTTCAAATAATTTGTATTTAATTTAATGACAGTAGCTGTATTACATTGTTTTATACATGTATGTGTAAGCATTATCATATTACAAAGCGTGTATCACATCTAATGTTTACTGCTGGTAAGACTATTGATAAACATCATTAATTCATAAACATGTATGTACAATTTGTACATGTATTTCATTCTGTCATAGTTATTGCATCTGTATTGCAATGCAAAATGAATTGAAAAGCAATATGCCATGTATTTTACTGTACAATACATGAATACATGTACACTTAAATATAAACATTTAAAATGACTTAGTAGTTCTGTCAGACAGTTAAATTCCTCAAGTCAATGAACATATATTTATATACATCTTTTATATTTATGTACATATACATGTATAGAAAACATTTAGAATGTCTTTAGATTGTTATAGTTGTTACAGTCAAACACAAAATCCTTTAGATCACTTGGGGCAAGTTTAAAGTACAGTAAAACCTGTCTTAGTGAACACCTCTCTCTAGTGAACACCTGTCCCTAGTGGACACCCTTCCTACGCACATAGTCCACTGACTTCTGTATAAATTACCCTCTCTCTAGTGAACACCTTCCTACAGTGAACGTTTTTTCTTGGCAAAAAAATGTTCACTATTCACAAGTTTTACTGTATCCTTGAACATTGACACCATGATTGACATGATTACTACAATGTCATTATAATTTTAACAAAGATGGGGTTATTTCAACCTGGCCCCTCTCTTACTTACATTTCAAGTTAACCCAACCAAAGACAGAGACAGCTTGACCCAACACAACATGACTCTATCTTCATGTAATGATATATTTCTATGACTGAAGTAAATCACATCATATAATCATTGCTGATTGCTTGAAAAAACATTTATAAGCACAAATATAAATAGCTTACTTCCTCTCTTTACTTAACCAATAACATTTGTTCTAGAGTAATCTCAAAGTGTCATCACAGTTTTATCTTAGGCAGGATTTATTGCAGTGACAAATATTACTCATAAACATGTCAACACTGGGCAAACATAATGTATAGCTACATTTGTACAAGCTAGAGTATATGTATATTATGTCTGGTCTCAGTGCAATGTTTGCCCAAGTACTCTCTTAAGGCAATCAGTTTAATTAACTTATTGGAATTTGCACAGTATTAACAGACACCTCATTTCTTTCTTTAGATTGTTTTTGTCTCTCTTAGTGGCCCAGTGATTACCACCATCAGCCCCAGAGCTTATTTACTCCAAGTGTTGCATGTGTATGTACCCTCAATATTGGAAAATGAAAATATTTGCTGTGTCATTACTGAGTTGGCTCACTATCAATATCATGTGACATTTGGCAGTTTTAAAACATACATGTACACATCATCGACTTCCAAAGTGTTATAACAAGTTGGAGCAACTGAAACCATGTGAATCTAGATGACATATACATGAATATGTAACTTCTCAGAGCACCTCTCACTTGCAAAGCTTACATGGAAGGAACTGATAGATGGCTCTGATCTCTAACAATGATCTTACATTGATGTAGAAGAATTGTAAATTATATAACAATTGAGAAACATATACATTTGCAACAATGTTTGAAGATTTTAATCTTCTTTATTAAACATTATGTAACTCAATATATATTTGACTACTGTTAAGTAAAGATGGTAATCTCTTCACATTTTGAAGAATTCAACCAACTGTACATAGTTGTTTATCAAGCTCAGTGAGAATTCATTCTATCATTTGTATTGACTCTTCCTACAAGTGGTGATCACCATCATTACTTTGAATATTTTACACTCTTCATTCTATGCTGGCACTTTAATTGTGGCATGACACAAACTAGTCCTTTTTAAAATAAAATAATAAACTCACTTCACATCTGTGGTTTTGTGAATTAAAAAATAGACAAGGCATTAACATGCAAAATGTCACTACCTGTCATTTGTTGCACTCACCAAAGCACTGAACACAAACCACCATCCACAAAAAGTTGGAGACTATAACAATATGTCACCACTTGTGATGGTGACATAAAATTGATGTATGAAGATAAAGCCTATTAGAGTTTGGCTAGTGTAGAAAATTATGCCCCTTTATTTAACACAGTATGTACAATGTACATACTGTAAAATTATGTACATTGTACATAACTTACTTAAATTAGATTTGCAACTTTTAATTTACCATCACCACCTGTCATTTGTTACAGATACCGACAACCAAACACCAACCCCTGAACACCGTTTACAAAATGTTGGTGACCGTAACAATATGTCACCACTTGTGGTGGTGACATAAAAATAAATCTCAAAATTATTATACAGTAAAATGTCCTGGGGATTTTGAGACTTCTATAAAGTTTGCTTGAAGTGTCCTAATTCTAGAAATACTGCACAAAAGTCAGAATTGATTTATGTAAGGTGAACATGCAATATGTTTGTTACTCTCTCTAGCTGCACATTGTAACATGTTACAATGCTATAACACCCAATCATAGCATGGTATATTGGAAATGTCTGAAAGAATTAACATGACAAAATGACACTATAAGCTTATAAGTTTTTGCAAAAGTTTACAAAAGTGTAACAATTTGTCACAGATGCCAACCAACCACACATTAAAAACTATATCTTATTAATGTACGGCATACATGAATAGTGTACAATAAATATTATTTAAATATAATGTATTATTGCCATATACTAATCAGTCTAACCATATCACTCTGCCTTTATCAGTGAGCCTTGAATACCTCCCTTCCTCCCATACACAATCACAACCACCTTAGCTTGCATTTTGATTTAAGTATAATGTATATATCTATTATTCACTACTTATACATCATAGCCTCTGTGCTTTGGTACATGCACATGTAACCATCACATAACACTCGTCTTATATTCTCTGGTAGTTGTTTATTGTCTTTGATGCCAATAATGCGGTTATGATTTGACTCCTCTAGCCACTGTGGTAGTTCTGGCACTGGTTTCACTTCTGGGATATTATAGCCATTCTCAGCCCCTGGAAATAATAAAAGTTACTAAAGTCATTGTGTCACACAAATTTGCATGTATGTTACATATTTCAGTAATTAGCTTTGGAAAATAAAATTTTAATTGATTCTCTCTTTATTGATTCCCCAGTGACTAAAATTCAGAGTATTCACGCATAAAATAATAAATACATATGAACAGGAAACACAAATATGTTTCTTCCATACTGGATTACTAGTAAGCCCTTAATACTGGTGAGCCATGTATTTCCATCCTGATGAGCCATATAATTCCAAACTGGTGAACCATATAATTCCAAACTGGTGAGTCCTATAATTTCATACTGATCATGATATATCTCATCTATAATTTGAGCCCTATAATTCCATACTGTTGACCCATATCATTCCATACATTGTGCCCTATAATTCCATACTGGTGAATAATATTATTCCATACTGGTGAATAATAGTATTACATACTGGTGAACCATATAAGTTCATGCTTTGATACCTGCATTGCGCTCTATAATTCCATACTAGGGAGCAATATTATTTTAATTGTGATTTTATTTATGAGTGATGTGATTTCCTACTGGTGAACAATATGATCTCATACTGGTGATTAACATGATTTAGCCTCAATATTTTATACTGGCAAGCCATATAATCCATACTGGTGAGCCATATAATTCCTTTTACTGAGTCATATAATTCAAAACTGATGAGTCACATAATTTCATTGGTGAGCCATATAATTTCATACTGATTAGGCATACAATTCCATACTGGTGAGCCATATAAGTTCATACTGAGCCATACATATGTATTATGATTTCATACTGGTGAGCCATGCATACCATATGAGCCGTAATTGGCACCAATGTCACTATTAGTGCCTCTACAGACTTTTGGATGCCTGAGGGTGAGTCCCTGGGTGGAGAATCAACAATCAAATTTTTTCCAATTTTTTTTCTTAACTGAAAGTGAAACTCCGGCAAGCCCCGGGCGCCAATCACGGCTAATACGGTATACATTATGATTTCATACTGGTGAGCCATTTAATTTCATATTGGTGAGTCAAATAATTCCATACTTTCATATGGTATGCATGGCTCACCAGTATGAAATCATAATACATATGTATGGCTCAGTATGAACTTATATGGCTCACCAGTATGAAATGTGAGCAATATCATACTATTCTTAATGTAATGAAAAATAATAAAGTTTTTATCTCTCAAAATTCAAACTTATTTATGGATATTGTTAGGTTCCAGTAAACCTTTGTTATAACAGTCAAGAGCTATAACTTACCCACACGATCTGCCATGCTATCAAAAAATACCCATGGGGCATCAGGACCAGTGCCACATCTGACGAAACTGACATAATGACTGGTCTGGATACAAACTACTGCAAACAACTCTAGCTCTTCTCGCCCAATCTCAGGGCTATCACCATTTGGCAAATTACGTCTCTGTTTTTCAAAACATTCCCGGAAACCCTCTTCAATATGCAACTTCAAAGGCCTGTGTTTACTGCGATCTCGATGAGTGTGAAACTGTAAGAGGAATACAGAATATGCTACAGATAATATTATAATATTTGCCAATTGCAATGCTTTAAATATTATCCCTTGAGAAGAATATCAGATGGAAGAGTTAATCTCATTAAGGGCATATCCAAAAATCTACCTCACACCCAAATTTTAGTGATCAAATGACTAAGAGATGTTTCAAATGTGTAAGTGCATCAATATATTTGAATCCCTAATGGTTACTTGTTACATGTATAATATATTAACTGGTGATCCACTTGATTACGCTGGTTACCGAAAGGAAATGTGGGAACCTCAAAGGTACGATTTTTCCTTTTTCTTCATTTCACGTATTGTAGGCCGAATTTTCTTAAACATAATGATATGATACTGACATACATTACATTTTGTGATAAAAATGTTGTGGGAATTCTGCCTAACAATGTGTGAAATAAGGAAAAAAGAAAAATAGTACCTTCAAGGTTCCGACATTTTGTTAACGAAACGAACTGTTTCAGTAACCAGAGCAGTCGAGTGGATCACCAGTGATATTTCAATATTCTGACTTCTTTGACCTCAACTGTCAGCCACCTCAAGGTCAGAGAAGTCAATGTCAAAATCTGACACTAGGGTAGGTAGTTTTCAAAATGTTCTGGTCATACCCAAAATGTACCTATTCAAAACTGTCAGATAGGCAAAAAAGGTAAATGCTGGTCTCATTCTTACAAATGTGCACTTACTTTTTGAAAGCATTCGGAGCAGAATGACCTATATGCACTTGGCTCTGCATTCAATTGATTAGAGCAATCAGGACACTCCATCTCAGAGATTTCAAGACCACAGACATAGCACAACCTGGGGGCTGAAATGTAGGAAATAAACAATCAGCTAATCTTAAGAGGAAAGAAAAACATGTATGCCCTGTGTAGAATTGGGTAACATAATACTTGATACTGCTATTCAAATCAAATTCAACTGTTTGCTCCAATAACCATGAAAATGAAAAAGGCAAGAGAAATAAAGTTTTTTCAAAATAGGAGTCACATTTTTGGGTCACCCTCTATCAGGCTTTTTCAATGAAGTTCTTAGAAGGATGTTTTGCAATTTTGCCAGTTAGCGACATAATTCATCAAAATCATCAAGTTCACAACTGATTTCAAACCCCCTTGCATGCTTACTGAGGTTGATTTCCTTTTGGTTGACAGTACCCTGATTGAATATACATGTATCTCATCTAATCTTTCTCATGGGTAGTTAACCTCTTTAACACTTAATCTTTTATTTTTCCCCATCCTGAGTATGAATAGCATGGGGAATTTGATCATGGTAATTAAGATAAAAAAGTTACTCAGAGGAAAGACATCCTCCTAAGCAGGAGTCCAGAATCCGTACCTCCTTCTTCCCCCTGCTATAACCAATTTGGAAGCGCCTGATTAAACTGAATCTCATGATCTAATTATGCGCAATGACTTATACATGATTTCTGTCGCAGTGTTGCGACAGCCAATCAAATTGCGAGTTCTAATCGGGGATATGCTAACTGCTTATCGCAGGGGGTAAAAAGAAAGAATATATTCTAAAGGTATTCATTTCTTGAAAATATATTTGTACTTACCATCCTGCAGTATGTCAGTGATGTCTAGTTTCAAGCTTGGTACTATACGGTCATACATCTTGTAGTCCTTGCCAAAACGTGGCATTTGGATTATGAAACACGATGGCACCTGAAGAATATGAACATTTCTAAAAATTAGTGCCAAGTTTTTCATAGTTAAACAGAAACATAGAGGGAAGAATAGAATTAGTCTAAGATTTTAAGAATCCACTGGTTAAATAAACATTCACTAATAGTTACAAGTTAAAAAAATGAAAATTCAGAAAGTTAAATATTATATTAAGTAAAATGAAAATTCAGTAAGTTGAACGAAAATTCCCTGTACTAAATAACCTTTTACCAAATCCATGTGGTCCAACTTTTTTTATATCTCTTTATTGTTTTGACAACAAAAGTCATATGTCTCTTTTCCAACCTTGCTCTACAGTGCTTTTCTATATAAATCTTGCTCTACAGTTAGCTTACCTCTGCAAGTTTGATATTGGTTGTCTGAAGGAAACTCAGACCTACAAGTTGTTGAGTTGTTGGAAGCACAATTCTGTTGTCTTTCTCTACAAACAGCTGGTAGAAGAATGAATTCTGGCCTGAACTGAAATATGTATCAAGAGCATTTTATAATGGAGTGTCTCATGCACTCCAATTAGGCCTACTTATTGAAATAAGAAAATAGCAAAACAGAAAATGGAAAATAATCAATTTACAAAGTAGTTCTCTCAAATCATTAATTGGGAGGTTAATTTACACGATTGTTTTAAGAGAACTTGTGCATGAATGTGTAATATTAGTCTTGCTTCTGACCCCCCCCCCCCCCCTATCTTCTTTTCTCATCAGGTAATGTAATGAAATGTTGTCTATGTCTATGTCAATAATCTGCAAAAGGCTAATAAGCCCATATAAAGCAGATATATAATTTAACAGTGATAGAGTTTGAATAGAATATAATTTAAAACCTTAACATTTAAAAATAGATCTATGGTTTGCAACTCATTAAAATGGAAAGGAACTTTCCTTATGTTGAAATACCCTGGGGTGACTGTCAGGCTAACCGCGTTGACATCACCCCTCTTTACCAGTAGTGCAGGCTTGTTGCTGTGCACTGGGGACCTTTTACATTAAAACATAGATCTATATTAAAAACACACCTATTTAATTGCAGTTATTGACATAGGCATAGTATGATGATTTAAAACTACTTAGACTGTCACAGTCTAAGATGTCACCAGGTAGAGTGTTCCATTTAGCTATTGTCCTAGGGAAATAGCTAAATTTGTATACATCCGTTCTAGTTGATGGTTGTATGAACTTAGAAGGATGATACAGCCTAGTGTTGGTATTGATCTGTTGGCGGAAGTATGGAGGCACGTCGATGGCTGCTAGGTTTTGCTTTCCTTTGTAGAAAAGGAAAACTCTAGCAGCCTCTCGACGCTCCTTCAGTGGCTCCCACTGTAGGTCTTGAAGAGCTTTGGTGACGCAGCCTGGTTCCCTTGACACTGGGGATGAACTGGAAACGAGGGAGGTTTTGCCTCGTATCAAAATGGCGGCGCGTGAAAAAATTTCATTCGGTAAGATTTTTGTTTTTTACAATTTTCGTGCTTTTATCCTTCAAATTAAAACTTAATATTTGGCAAGTAAATAGTTCATAAGTTCAGGTTTTATAATATGATTACAAATTAGAAATCAATACTGGCATTGCTAAGATATTTACATATCAATTCTCTCACTTAGGAAACGAGGCATGTTTCTCAAGGAAACGAGGCAGCTATATAGCATTCTTAAGAATGAAACGAGGCAACCATATTTAATTAAAAATGTTTTGTTTTTATAACAGAACGGGGCCTACAAAAAGAAGCGTCCCTGTTCAAATGCTATTTCTGTAACACAGGAAACGACAACGTTGCTGATAATTCACGATAGCGACATCATAATATTTATGCCATCGACCATTAACATTTTTCATATGGCTAATAATCTAGAAAATTTATGAATATTTCATTTACAAATGCATTACCATTTCTAGCATTTAAGAAAATACAAGGCATTAACATATGACACGTGTTGTAACTTAGTAATAACAAATAAGTCCATTTATCTGCTACCATGGTAACATACATGTATGTTCTAAGAAATACTTGGAAGTCATAATAAGTTTATAATTGTTCACAGTAAAATATGATGTCAGTCTAAGCGGTACGCATTTGTTCAGTTTTTGAAAGTTACTAAAATTGCTAAAGAATTTGCTATTGACGCAAAACGCCAGACGCCGAACTCCAGACGTCAGACGCCGAACATTTCCACATTTCGTTGGACTATATGCAGAATAATTAACATAATTGATAGTGACATAATAAGGAACATACAGACATTAAAGAATACAAACAGTAAAATCCAATGTACACCAATGAGACAATGCCAGTGTGCTCCTTGACTCTGCTATTTTTGTAATATAGGCGAGTCATTTAATTATTACCATGGTCATTCGTTTTTTATCGTATCTGGAATTATATTCTATCAAATATAGCCATCTCGAGCAACAACAATGCCCCATTTGCGCACGATTAGTAGGGAGGTTTAACGACACATTTTTTAAAGAGAAGTGTACGTAAACGTGTAAAATTGCAATCTTCAGAGAACTAGTTCTTGTCTTCAACGTCTTTATTTGCATGAATGATTACAAAGGTATCAGCTAAACTGTTTTAATTGGGTCTTTGTATAAGTCAATCCAGAACGGAACTATAGTTCCCAGTGGTCATTTCACGTTTACGTTCGCCATTTCTAAAATACGTGTAGCTTAAGCCCGGTATACACCAATGGGGCAAAATCCCACTTGCCCCATCGAGTCCCATCTTGCCCCATCGAATCCCAATTTGCCCCATCGAATCCCACGAAGTGCCATGGGACCTTGATGACTTTGGCCCATCGTGCCCCATGGAGTCCCATCAAGCCCCATGGAGTCCAATCAAATCCCAAAGTGCCCCATTGGTGTATGTCGGGCTTCACACAACACGTCATATGATCGAAAATCCCACGATGCCCCATGGAAAGAATGAACATGTTCATTCTCGATGGGACTTCGTGGGATTTTGCCCCATCTTGCCCCATCGAGTCCCACCGAGCCCCACGTGGGACTTCATGGGACCTCGTGGGACTCGATGGGGCAAGATGGGGCAAAATCCCACGGATTCCCATGGAGTCCCACGGACTTCATGGGGCAAAATCCCAAAAGGTCCCACGCAATGTTAAGTCTATGGAGGTCCCAACTTGCCCCATTGGTGTATACCGGGCTTTAAGCTCCCTATTAAAATAGCACTTCTTTGAACGAAATTTTTCTTATTTGAGAGAACATTTTGACGATATATGCGCTACCATTGATAGCTCGGATAGCTGGCTCGTTTATTGGAATTGACACTCAAAGCAATGCTATTTAACGTTTTAGAAATATTTAAAAAATAAAACAGTATAACTCCTTAGCATAAATTTTAAGCTGCAGCAAAGAATGAATCGAGTGAAGTGCATTGGCATTTTCTGTTCTTAAGGATGTTCCCTGGTCAGATAGGAAAATATTCAATAGTATTTAACTTTTTCTCAAAAATGGTTTTCTGGGATTCTCACGGGCAACAAAGAATATTAAAACTTTAAAAACCATATGTTAGTGTGCTTTTTTCTGAGCAAGAGGCCTCTAAAGTGTCAATATTTGACAAAAGTGGGCGTGGCACTTTCTCATTGAAACCCATGTTAAAAATCAGGTTTTCACCCCAAAACACACTTTTGAATATTTAACTTTTTCTTAAACTCACAGAAACACTTAGTTATGCTATGTACTTCACATTTTGAAAAGAAAAATTAGGGGTTGGTGTTCATCGTTTTCAACTTCGTCCAGGGAACATCCTTAAAGATGAACCTTAACAACATGTAGCTTAACTAAATTGGTACAGTTAGACTTTTCTTTGCTGCAACTTTAATCATTCAATACCTTCGGCTGTATCATCAAGTTCCTTTATCAAACATTCAGATTGTACAGATTATCAGATAGGCCTACATGCTTATCAGACATTCTTATTAGCTCATCATGTCATAGCCTAATATGTATAACTACATTTGGAATGTGTACACGTGTACCATCATTGTACCTGTATATGATGTGATAAATGATAAATGGAAGATAAATGACCAGTGTAGCGCTATATGAACAATATGGTTATTCTTTTTAACTCTTACATATATAATCAAGGGAAAGATCAATACCCGGTGATTTCAGCGGGAAGTGGCGTTTCGTTCAGTGGATGAGCTGCGCGCGCACGCATAAATGTGATTATCCAATATAATTAGGGGCAAGGAGGATTGGAAGCCAGGGTTCCAACTCGATATTCTTTAATCTCCACGCATGCGTCATTTGCTATTCGTGTCTGTATAATTTGTACGACTGCATGGAGAATGACCCGATACTCTCCAACAAAGCTATCGCTAAGTGATTGTTTTGCAGAATATCGGTGTTGCATTCTGGGAGCCAATCCTCCTTGATTAGGGGAGGGCTATTTGAAATGGTTTTTGGTCTCAGGCGCGACCCAGGGCTGTTGTCTTAAGGACATTTCGTTGAAAATGAGCCATTCGGCTGATAATTGGTAAGAGTTTGCGATCTTATAATGTATAACTGTTACTCAGACACATATTTTGACACGATTCTGTTGGAAATAAGCTTTCGAACCGAGAGATATTCACGATTGATATGCACATTTTTGATTGTGCCATTGCTTTTCTATTGCACAATCCATGTATTGATAGTAGAAACATTAATAATGCAGATTGGTTTACCTTCAATACATGGCAGACACTACATATCGGTCTATTAATACCAGTTTGTGCCTTAAATAGTTTTATATTTCCATCCACGGCCTGGAGCCTGGGTGTGTTTGTCTCTTATGTGTATGCTTGTGCATGGACTTCTAATCACTAGCAGAATTTAACATGATGCAAACTCGACATTATAACTCATGCTGTAACATTTTGACTTCGCTGGAAAACAATAGGAATTATTTTTCTTGCCAATCAATCATGAATCACAATCAAAATTTCAGAATGAGCAATCAGGCAATGATCCAAATCAAGTTATAACATTATATGATATTCAGCAAGAAGTCCGGTAGAAATACAGAATATTTAAACATCAAAGCTGAAAGTTAAAAGCTAATCTGTCAATTTTCTGTCTGCAAAAGAGCGTTTACATTTGACACAATAACAGACTGAGGCTTTGAAATCTAGGATTCCCCAGGAAAATATGACGTCATACTAATTACCATAAGGATTTCCCTATTGGTTTGGGTCGAGCCTTGTTCGAAAACACAATCCATAAATACATGCTAATTTCTAAGGAGATAGGAAGTGTATAACGTGTTTATCGATTTTGTTTAAATATTTAATCAATTATCAAATTGTTTAAGTGGATAAAGTGGTCACACTTGCTTCAATTCATAGCGAAATCGACGGATAGAAACTGACCAAATTCCCGATATCCTACCCCGTATTACTGTAGGCTATAAGCACAGTGACCTACAGAGGGCGCTATCACAAACAAGTACTGCACGAACCGATAAATTCCCGGGTATTGTAACGCCCTTGATATAATCATGTATATCGTGTAAAACGTAATCGGTCGTATGTGACCAGAACGGTGGAAATAATAAGATCATTAAATGTAGACACTATCACAGAAAGAATAGTTGCCTCGTTGCAAGTCAAACATTGCCTCGTTTCATTGTTACAAAATGTAGACAGGTGCCTCGTTTCCTAAGTGAGACAATTGAAATGTAAATATCTCAGCAATGTCTGTATTGATTTCTAATTTGCAATCATATTATAAAACCGGAACTTATGAACTATTTACTTGCCAAATATTAAGTTTTAATTTGAAGGATAAAAGCACGAAAATTGTAAAAAACAAAAATCTTACCGAATGAAATTTTTTCACGCGCCGCCATTTTGATACGAGGCAAAACCTCCCTCGTTTCCAGTTCATCCCCAGTGCTTGAGTGACATTTGGTTACAAACCTTGCTGCTCTTCTCTGTACCTGTTCCAACATATCAATATCTTTTTGTCGGTATGGATCCCATGCCGAGCTGGCATACTCTAAATTAGGCCGGACAAGTGACTTATACGCCTGAGCCTTCACTTTTTCAGGGCATTGATGGAGGTTGCGCCTGAGAAATCCAAGCATCTTATTGGCTTTGGATACAATAGTTTGAATATGTGTAGTCCAGCGTAAGTTGTTTGTGATGTCAATACCTAGGTATGGGATGTGTGTTACCGACTTAAGGTTTTCCCCTAGCATGGTGTAATTGTGAATGATAGGGGATTTACCTTTGTGAATATTTAGCACATAGCATTTTGATGGATGGAATTTCATTTGCCATGTTGATGCCCAGGAGACCAGTTTATCTAGATTCTCCTGTAGTGTTAATGCATCTTGCTTGCTTTCGACTGTCATGAATAAAAGGCTGTCGTCAGCAAATAGTTTAAGACTGGCTGAGGATGATATGTTGTTGCCCATATCATTGATATAAACAAGGAAACAGAGTGGTCCAAGAACTGTTCCTTGAGGAACTCCTGATTTTACTGGAGTTTTTGAACTTGATTCACCATCGAGCACTACCTGCTGTGATCTTCCCACAAGCCAGGATCTGAACCAGTTCAAGTTATTTTTGCGAATTCCATAATAGTCGAGTTTGAGCAAGAGGCGTTCGTGAGCCACCGTGTCAAACGCTTTGGAAAAGTCTAATACCAACATGTCTGTTTGTTTATTGTTGTCGAGGGCCCGAGCTATATTCTCTATTGTATTGACAAGTTGGGTTTCACATGAGTGCTTTGACCTGAAGCCATGTTGGAAATGTACTAGAATTTCATAGAGGTCAAAATGGGCCATAACATGATGGAATATAATATGTTCCATTATTTTACATGGAACTGACGTCAGAGATACAGGCCTGTAATTCACAGCCTCATCTCTGCGTGTGTTGGAGAAATAGATAAGGGTGGGGGAAATAGATAAGGGTGGGGGGTCTACAGTCTTGAAGTAATACTAACGTTATATGATGACCCAAAAGGATCTATGTCTCTAAGTTTTTCCAAGGGCCATAAACATAACTTTTAAAACCCTATCCCTCAAAATTGGTCAAGTGCACATTAGTGGTGAAAATGCACATCAATTTATTTTTGGGCATTTCTTATCAATATCTAGGGCAACTAAATGTATACCTGAGAGTTATGAAAGGATCTGCCTTCATGATTTGTTGCAGTAATGAATTCAGAAATTCTTCAGGGTCTTTTTCCTCTCCCATCATGCCTTGCACTGTTCCAAGCTGATCGAGAAGAGTCCGCAATTTGAGCACCTTGTCTGCACGCACATAGAAATTCCTGTCAAAGAAAAAGTATGATTTTGAATTCAGCATCTCCATACAGATATGTTTAAGGAAGCAACTCCATAACAGGTGCTTTTATATCATTGTTGCATGTAAATGCATGTTCTTAAGTCTTAATGTCCATCTCATCATATGGAGTTTCAATCAAAAGCAAGTATTTTCTGGTTTAGTTCAGTCTACAAGGCAGGATTGCATTAAATATGTTAGCTAGAATTTTTTTAAATTTGTGTAAATGGTTATGCCATTGCCCTTTTCTAAGGAATTGGAACTCACTTTCTGAGTGGGTTTATGATTCCCTCCTTTAGGACTGTCTGCACCTGGGAATATTGTGGGAGATCACTACTCTGTTTCTGGCGAAATAATATTGAGTCAAACACCTGGGTGAATGCAAACATACCTAAAAGAACAGTATGGAGAATTATATGTATTATGTTCATACTATTACATGGAAGCTCTGACAGATCAACTAAAAAGTCTAACTTGATTTGAAAAAATCAGTCAAAAATGTCACGACCTACCATTTGTTACAGACACTATTTGCTACAGATCCTGACTGCCGAACACCAACCACTGTCCACAAAAAATATGAGACTATAACAATATGTCTCCACTTGTGGTGGTGACATAATAATGATCACAGTTTAGATGCAATTTACGCAATGACATTCATTTTAATGTTGATTAATCTAGTACAGCATTTAAGCCCCTGTCAGTTGCTTGATTGCATCAGGACTATCTAGAAGGCATACACCCCCAATTTGCAAAACAATTTTGCAGCACTGTACAGCGCTGTAAACAGTACTGTACATTGCAGATTGAGTACTGCGCTGTATAGCGATGTACAGTGCTATTCTAACATCACTTTTTGAACAGCATAGAACAGTACTGTTTTTACAGTATCGTACAGCACTGTTTTAGAAAACAGCAATGTACAGTACTGTTTTTACAGGGCTATCCAGCACTATTTCATAAACAGCTCTGTATAATACTGCTTGAGATCGGCAGTGATGAGTCAACAAGAACAAAAGTAGTATACAAGTAAACTAACATGTATATAAAAGAATAGAAATATCAGTGAATAAATGAAGAAACTTACTGAAAAGAGAAGCATCTAAATAGCAGGAATTATGATGGCCTTGTATGCCCTTCTTTCTCCCACATATCTCTTCTAAATTATTAAAGCACATAGGTGGCACTGTCCCAGGTACATCAGGGGTCTCTATACTACCAAATGCTGAAATACACAACAAAATATACTTTATATTTCTAGATCATTCAACTGCTCCCTTTGTGGTTTGAGGAAACGAAAATTATGAGGATTTTATCCTTATTTTCAAATTTCCATATTTTAGCTTGATTTAATATGGCCAAATAATAATGCTGAATGGTCAATCCTGTTATTAAATTGAGGGCTAAGGTCACTATGAATAAATCCTCACAAAAGTAAATGTCTTTGGGGCCTCTCAGTCAAACATTAAGACATTATCACCATTTTTCTGTTGACCATAACCATTATAGATAACCTCAATAGATAATCATCATTGAGGGATTTTGTATCAATATAATTGTAAGTAATAGTAAAATATGATTACAAAATTCAATTGTCATAGTTACATGTATGTCATAGAAAACAATTAATAAGGAATAACAATTGAGAAAGTATGAAATACTATTGAAATCAATAAAAATACTAGAGTATGCTCACTTTGGACCCCTGGGTTAGAGGTATCCTCAGCTACATCAGAAAACCTTGAATCTTTGTAACATTTGTCTAAGTACATGAAGAACCCTTTATTTGGGGGGCATGTGAAGTAACGCTCGTTGCCAAATGTTCCATCTGTGTATGTTGGAGATTCTTCCTCCTGAAGAAACATTAAAGCAATTAATCAAAACTAAATTACAAATTGATAGGATTGATGGCGGATCAATATTTTGACATGATTTTCACCTGAACTTTTTGAAAAATTTGAAATTTTTCTGCAATGCTTTACATTTAGCTCTGCATTTGATGTGAATTTAATCAGTTTTCAGGGACTCATAATCATAATAGTAATGGGAGTGAACTAATGTAGTATATCACAACAATTCTGAAAACTATAGAATTTTTCATTGTTAATAAGATTAATATTTAAAGCTTCTTCATAATATTCACCATTTCCAGTCCAGCTATAGGTTGCTTGCTTTTTGACGTTGGGAGAATGCCAATCCATCGAATGACTCCATACACCACTAGCCTGCCCCGTACCTCTACCATGGAGCCCACAGCAAGGTCACCATTGTATGTATAAGCTTCAGTGTCAAACTTGCCCTCCTCAGGGGGTCCTACTTCTCTAGATGACTTGAATCTGTTCTGATCTGAGAAACTGTTTTCCACTGTAAGTTTAGGAAATAACATGTTGTAGCCTTCTCTAATGAATGACAGCATCATTAAATGAAGCAAATGTTTGAATAAGTCCATGAAATCTTTTATCAACTGATCAAAGTCTAAGAGCTTTTCTAAGTAATATGACATCATTAATTTACAAAACAGAAACAACTCCACGGAGTAGCAAATCCCACCGAACGGCAGTTGAGTTACCAAAGATTACGAAAATGAAAATGAAAAATGGCAGCCATTCTGAAGATCAGCCGCCATCTTAAAATTTTTTTCTCGAACAGAGCTACTGTGTTTCTAGGCATCAGCATATAAAATTTGAACCAAATCTGTTCACTGGTATTTGACTTATCAAATATTATGTTTTTTCTTATGAAAAATGGCTACCATTTTGAAATTCAGCCGCCATCTTGAAAAGATTTTCTCAAACAGATCTACTGTGTCCCTAGGAATCATCATATAAAAAATGAGCCAAATCTGTTCGCTGGTATTTGAGTTATCAAAGATTATGTTTTTTACGAAAAATGGCGTCCATTTTGAAATTCAGCCGCCATCTTGGAAATTCTTTCTCGAACAGATCTCCTTTGTCCCTAGGTATCATCATATAAAATTTGAGCCAAATCCGTTCACTGGTATTTGAGTTATCAAAGATTACCTTTTTTACGAAAAATGACCGCCATTTTGAATATCAAGCCGCCATCTTGAAAATTCTTTCTTGAACAGATCTATTGTGTCCCTAGGCATTATCATATAAAATTTGAGCCAAATCCGTTCATTGGTATTTGAGTTATCAAAGATTACGTTTTTTTATGAAAAATGGCTGCCATTTTGAAATTCAGTGGCCATTTCGAAAATCCCATCTTGAGCGAAGCTCCTTTGTCCCTAGGCATCACCATATAAAATTTGAACCAAATCCGTTCACTGGTATTTGAGTTACCAGAGATTACGTTTTTTTACGAAAAATGGCCGCCATTTTGAAATTCAGCGGCCATCTTGAAAATTGTAACTTGAACAGATCTACTGTGTCCCTTGGCATCATCATATACAATTTGAACCAAATCCGTTCACTGGTATTTGAGTTATCAAAGATTAAGTTTTTTTACGAAAAATGGCCGCCATTTTGGAATCTAGCCGCCATCTTGAAAATTTTTACTCGAACATATCTACTGTGTCCCTAGGCATCAGCATATAAAATTTAAACCAAATCCGCAAACTAGTATTTGAGTTATTAAAGATTAAATTTTTTACGAAAAATGGTGGCCATTTTGAATTCAGTGGCAATATTGAAAATTCCTTCTCGAGCAGAGGTCCTACACCCATAAGGCATAAGCCTATAAAATTTGAATCAAATCCGTGAAACGGTATTTGAGTTATCGCCCGGACAAACAGACGGACGGACGGACAGACGAACGGACGGATGGACGGACGGCTTTCCTATATCCCTCTCGAACTTCGTTCGGTGGGATAATCACTATAGTAACCACAATATACAAGAAATATTCAGAACACCTTCTTTCTTTTATGATTAGACAGATGATTCTGAGTATAAAAAACAACAATTTCTGCATGATCAGAGTCAATCCAGGAGCAATTTTAATGTGAAATTTCATATTTTCTTCTCTATGAGAACCAAGGGTTAATTCTGGACATAAATGTTAAATGTAACATCATGAAATTATTTGACTTTTGATATCAAATTCAAATTGTCTGAATTTTCCTTGAAAGAACCGTTGTACATTGCTATAACATTCAAATATGGGAGGATCATAAAAATCATCTTACAATCAAATCATATTTTCTGGTGGTCAGTACAAAAGAAAAGAAAGCTAATGATAAGTAATCACCATAAGTTTTGTTCTGATAGTATAATGGGTTATAGCGGAATAAATGAGTTCAACATCAGTGTGCTTTGTTTGGGTGACTGGTATTTTAACTAATGAACAGTGAGACATAAAGGCACATAATGACACATTTTACATATGAGGCAGTCACCCCCATTGATGACTAATATAGTCCATTTGTCACCCCTATACATACTATAGTGAACCTATGAATTGTTAAAAACACGATGTTTTATGGTTAATTTATAATAACAAGGGTTTTCTGAAGTGTTTTAACTGGGTTGAACAAAAAGTTAGTTTGGGGAAAAAAGTATATCGGCTAATTAGGGAGGGGTGCATTGGCTTAACATGGCGTTGACTATTGACTTAGCGTCGGGATACCACCATGTACCTGGCATGTCACCATGGTGATAGATACAAAAATTTTCCCCAACGTTAATTTTTTGGCAACCCAGCTAAATCACTCCAATAAACCCTAATGATAGTATTTGCACAGAAAAACATCATGTTTTTAAATATTCATACGTCAAGAAAATGACAAATGGACTAATATTATTTTATGGCTAATTAGAACACATTTTAAAACATATTATCACTCTATTACAAATACAAGTTTATCACTTTATTACACATGTTAAGAAGTCTGAAGTTATATTCCACTCATTTACATTGAGAATCTATAATCACTACTGATCATGACATCATGTCCCATCAAATAATATTACATATATGACAAATTAAGACATACGCTCCAACTGGTTTAGTCAGACTGGTTAATACAATGATTTATAACCAAAATTAATATTACCTTCTCTTCTCTCATTCATTGGATTGGCAGCACTGGGCATTGGAGGGTTAACTGGACTAGATGCAGGGGGATTGACTGGCTGTGAACTGTAGAGGGCCCTGTCTGACGAATTTCCATAATGAGCACTATGACCTGTTTCCACTCTAGTGTCTCTACTAGTGTCAATATTTTGTGTTATCATAGGCTCTGCTCTGTCTTTGTCACGAAATGTACTCCTTCCGTGTTGACTGGACTGACCTCTATCCTGTAACTCTCTATTACGATTGGATCTATATTTTTCATATTGTTCATCTTCACGTTTACGAACGTCTTCAAATTCTCTCCGTTCACGTTCAAATTCCTTCATTTTGAGCTCCTCTTGCTGTAAGTAGTTGTCATCTACTGTACTGCTAGCTGTTGTTCCAGGACTGGACTCTGAAATTGTGGAATATCCTGTTAGTGGGATATTTGGAATGAATAAAAGCCACCTGCATAAAATTATGAAAGAGTACTCCGCATCTCATGTAATATAATAGGCATTCTATATTTTACAACAGAGGAACAGTTATTTTAAGATTCAGTGAAATTGATTATCCTCATCAATTCCAAGTTGAGTGAAAATCTAGGAGTAGTTTCATAATGATTAGCCAAGTAGGTGCTTCTGCAGACAATATGCAGGTCAAAATGTTGACCTTACAAAATCCCTTGCTCCCCTCATTCAAATTCTGATATCTGACCATAATGCTTAAAATAGTTAACAATTCAATGAGTCCTTGGCCAAATCTTTTAATATATCATAACTCAGATCCTTCACACTAAACTCTTGAAAGTTTGATTTGGAATACTTACCATTATGCAGTAAATGTGGCCGACGCCTACCATGCCAAGTACTATACATGCCATATGATGGGTCTACAACTAGTGGGACAAAATAAAAGACAACATATAATTCACAATAATGCACAACAGAGAGTATAAGCTACATGTACAGTCAAACAACAATGAGAACCAAATACAAAAGTGATCTTAATGTGCACAGTTGACACAACTCAAAATTCTCCCAACTCAGTGCAAGTTTATCATTCTCCTAAGCAGGTATCCAGAATCAGTACCTCCTTCTTCCCCCTGCTATAACCAATTTGGAAACGCCCGCTTAAACTGAATCATGTGATGTAATTATGTGCAATGACTTATACATGATTTCTGTCGCAGGATTGCGACAGCCAATCAGATTGCGAGTTCTTAATTGGAGAAATGCTAACTGCTTATCACAGGGGGTAAAAAGAAAGAATATATTCTGGATTTTGAAGCCCTGTGAATGTGATCGGAGGATGAAGTTTATCAGTATACCCCAATTCTGACAGAAAAATGCATCAAAACTGATAAACCAGGATTTGACAAATTCTTAACTGGACTCTAATGAATTTGCACACGAGTTCAACAGTAATTTTCAAATCTATATCTGGGCCATTGGCCTAATTAGTGTTGTTCATGTTGTTTGACTTGTAGCATTTATACAAATTATAAAAATTCTAAAAAACTAAGAAACACACATGCAAAGTGAGCAGCATTTTCTGTTAAGAATTCTGGTTTAACATCTTGTCTCATTTTAATGTGAATTGAAATAAACCAGGCAATAATACCACAAAAGTGTGACAATTTGTTACATAAATAATTTCTGTAACACTATGTCAACTCATCCTGTCTAAGTGATGACACTATGATTGAATTTAGAATACTAGTAATGGTGCACACAGGGAGATATGCCGAGTACTAAAATAGTACTCATGGCATTTTAACGCTAACTGAGTACTCATTTCAGTAAATATTAGTACTAAATGAGCACTTATGACATGAGTATTGATTTATTGCATATTTTAGTACTAAATGAGTACTCATATGATGAGTGATAAAATAGCAGTAATTTCATTGAGTTTTTAGCGCTAAATGAGTACTCATATCATGAGTGATGAAATAGTACTAATAAAATTGATTTTTCAGCACTAAATAAGTACTCATATCATGAATTAGTACTAAATTAGCACTTGTGGCATGAGTGCACTTTTGCCAAATTGCTAATTTAGTACTAATTGAGTAATCAGTATATCATTCTCCCTGTGTACATGCCTTGAACTCTACAACTAATAATAAAAGCTAAGAGAGATGCTTGAAAAAGAGGAATAGCACATCCACATTGATGATGCAAACAGTTATTCAAAGGAACTAAAAAGGATAAAAACAAGTTGAGTCTAAATAATTGAAACATTGTCACAATTTTTTGTTTCACTATATCTGTCTCATGTCTTTTTTCTAAAAAGTTCAACAGTTCTTTATTTTAAGGTTATCTGGTAAAAACTAAAATTGGACATTTTTACACCTTAAATCTTCAACAACTTTTATATTTGCTTAGATTGATGGATCATTTCTAGAAAAGAAAATTAGGATTGTAAGAAAATCATTGGATTGGAGATTTTGAAGATTTCTTTCTTCTAATATTTACACTCTGTACTCCTTTAATTTATTTAATGCAGCATTTCTATGTGTCAGCTACTCATTGTACAGACATTGGGTATTAAAACATTTGCTGCATGATATGTTGATTTTGTAGGAATTGTGAAAGTGGTGTGCAATAGTTAAAAGCAAGTTACTGCCAAAGTCAGACATTTCACAATTAAAAATCATGCAACTAAAAAATAATCAATATATTTGAGAGCACAAAAGTTGAGCTTATCATGAATAAAGTTCTTGGGGTTATCCTCTATAACTCTTGTCCTTTGAAACTTTGGCTGGTCATAATTGAAAAAAGGTTTTGCTAATTGCTTCTTTTACTGACAATGGCAACCTGCCATGCACTTGTATAAAAACTATTTTTACAAGTTAGCTTGCCAATAATACACTGTGGATCATGCAGACAACACTTGTAATGTATTATGAATGCAAACTGAAACTTACCAGCTGGGTTGGTGTTGAATTCATTCTCTTTTACAAGTCCACATACAGGAATGAGAGAGGCATGGTTGTGTTTTGTCTTGAAGAGTTGCTGGTCATTGTATTTACCTGTGCCTGAACCCACAGGACGATCCTGAAATATCAGTAGCAATAATATATAGGTCATTGATCTGAACCCACATGATGATCCTGAAATATCAGTAGCAATAATATATAGGTCATTGTATTTACCTGTGCCTGAACCCACAGGACGATCCTGAAATATCAGTAGCAATAATATATAGGTCATTGGTCTGAACCCAAAGGATGACCCTGAAATATCAGTAGCAATAATATATAGGTCATTGTATTTACCTGTGCCTGAACCCACAGTATGATCCTGAAATATCAGTAGCAATAATATATAGGTCATTGGTCTGAACCCAAAGGATGACCCTGAAATATCAGTAGCAATCATATATAGGTCATTGGTCTGAACCCACAGGATGATCCTGAAATATCAGTAGCAATATTCATTGTATTTACCTGTGCCTGAACCCACAGGATGATCCTGAAATATCAGTAGCAATAATATATAGGTCATTGTATTTACCTGTGCCTGAACCCACAGGACGATCCTGAAATATCAGTAGCAATAATATATAGGTCATTGGTCTGAACCCAAAGGATGACCCTGAAATATCAGTAGCAATCATATATAGGTCATTGGTCTGAACCCACAGGATGATCCTGAAATATCAGTAGCAATATTCATTGTATTTACCTGTGCCTGAACCCACAGGATGATCCTGAAATATCAGTAGCAATAATATAGGAACATTTTCTGATCCCAAAGATTTCAGAAACTAATAGTGATACTTCCTTCCACTGAGTATGTTTCTCATATGCTCTCCGTGCAATGCTTCAAAATTGTGACAACTTAAATTACATCTTTAACTTTGTTTGTTGGAACCATCGTAAGTTAATTGATCTTGAAACTTAACTAACTTAAAGACAACTCTCTAATTTATCTGTAAAGCAACAGATTTGCATGATACAGTATTACTGATATACTCACAAATTCAATGCCGGCAGTGAAATCAGTTCTACTGTTTTCTTCCCCCTCATTTATAGGCAGGAACCCTAACCATTTCACTACACCATGTTCTGGGCCATCATCACTGTACCATACAATCCTGTCTCCAACCTATGCAAGTAAAATTTAGAGTTAAACTTTGCTTGTCTTTTTCAAGCAATAGACTGGGTCTATGGTCATTGGAGAGATGTTGATATTCTATACTTCAATTATTCGTAACAATAAAGGCTTTGATTACAGGCTACTCTTGAAAGGTATTACCAGAGCTTAAAATAAGCATGACATCAGTTAAATTAGGTTACAAATAAGGCTAGGAAAGGTTATATACATTATAAACTCTATATAGGTTTAATCCATTAATTAGGAACAACTCCTTTAACTACTCTGTTGTATCTCAAGACCAAGAGTCAAACTGAATAACATATCAACCCGACTAACTTGAACCAATTCAACTGATTTATTATAATATAGAAATACAATAATGTGTCATTTACAACATGTACTTGACAGTGTTAATGTGAGTCCAGATTTTATATATTATTCACTTTTAAATAGGTCTCACTGAAGTACAGAAGAAGGATTTACCCAGTATCTTACCTTTAAAGTACATTTATCAAGTTCATCTTCTTGGGAAATTGACAGTGGATTTTTTCGACTCCTATGTTCAGATCGTCCCTCTGCATTCTGTGAAATGTGATCTTTTGGATGTGGGTTATTATCATGAGGGACCTTACTACTGGGTGGAGATTGCGGTGATTGGGGATTGCGACTTCGAACTGAGCTACTTTGAACTGGCAGTTTATGGCTAGCATGTACTTTTGGAACAACATCAGATGTTACAGCATTGCTATAAGATTTCTGAGACAAAGACTGTGAGTCAGTTAAAGAAGGGGATCGCCTTGGTAATGAACTGCTTGATCTTGCGGTATAATGTGCAGATTTTGTTGCAACATGTTTCTGATTATGGGCTCTTATCTTGTTCATTGGGACAAATACCCCACAGTCTTTTGGACAATGAAAGTAATGATTCTTCTTTATAGTTCCGTCTGTGTTTCCTTTACCTTTTGCCGAAGGTGGGTCCTGAAAACAGAATGACCAAAATATTTATTTGACAACAAAAACAAGTCTTTGAAATAGGTAAGCCAGGCCGCTACTTAACAGATGGAACTAGGCATCAGAGTACCAGTAAATTGCAGCTACTATATACATGCGGTACTAACTTCGACCGTTAATTTGTATTTTTGACCTACCGCGTGATATATAAACAAATAATTGCATAGACATAAACTTGACTAACCATAATTTCTAATCCAAAATGCCACCCTTTATAATTTGGAAATGGTCCGATATATCTTATTGCACAGACAACTTTTTCTGGCAGGTTTTGCTGTTTCATCAAATGCACAAAATTTCCTATTTTTAATGAAGCCACCTCTTTCAACCAATGTGGATCTTTCAAAATCTGCATTCGTTCGTTACATGTGTTCACTGCCAATAGAAGATTACATTCGTGTTCCGTGATAAAGGAAACATCACGATGGAGACAGGACAACTCTGTGTTATCTCCTTCAAGAAAAATCAAGTTCATAAATGTCCCATCAACACTTTTGTGTGACGATTCCTCCCAAAGGCTCCCGGCCAAAACATTTATGTCTTCTTTTTCTTTGCTCTTGAAAACAGCTTTGATTCCTGTATTTTCCTTCTGTGCTAAACTGTCTTTAATAAGAATAAATTTGTTCTTTTTCGTTTTATGTACATCACTAGACATCTTGCGTGTTTATTTTATCACAAATAATTCTACGATATTAGTCTACGTATCAGGAAGCGAAACTAATTTTCAGAAATTCCAAAATAACACTTTCTGTAACCTAGCCTAACAACACATTCTCAATTTAGTTCCTAGCCTGCCTAGAATATAGTGCGTGACGGTTTTAAACAAATCAGTGATCAAAATAATATCATCATTGTATCAATACGAATTGAAATAGTGCATCAGATCTGGCATTAGGTCCCATTTGTATCCAATTTTGAATTAAATGACAATATAAAAAGTAGTTCTGAAGTATATGCGTATGGATTTAAGATGGCGTAATCCTGCTGAGAATATTTCCTTGTTCAGTTTTCAAGAACATGTCTTGATAAACATGCGGCATGTTTAGTATTATTGAACTCAAACAGTGATAGAGTGATTCCATTGAATGTTATACGCGCAAATATAAAAATAGAGTCTTGAAAATACTGATTTAGTAGACAAACTGTACACTTCCGGTACAATGTTAAAATGAAACTGAAATTCACGGGGTGGGATCGCAAAATGTCCGCTATCGGGGATCGTGCTATTTTCCTTAAAATATGAAGAAAAACTCACATGTTGTCAAACACAAATGTTGCGTTATATCAAAATAACCTATTCCATGTATTATTTATATAATTTGAAATAGTCTTGCTGCTAGTAAGCCTATGTGGACTAGAACCCTCCCATCTAGTTTCGACCGTGGGGAGGTGAGTAAGCTTAGTCCGGGGGGGCTACAACGTTGAACGTTTCACTTCTGTTTGTACACAAGTAGGCCTAAATAAAAATACTCCCAAGGCCCGTAGCAAGGTGCACCCCCGGCCAAAAATTCTAGCCTAAATGACACCCAAAACCGATGGATTCGAGAAAATGATGGTGCTAACAAACAATACTGTTACACGTCGCACGAAACTGGGGACAATTATTAGCAAGATCTCGAGAACACAATGTTTTTCGTGGTTTTTGAAAAACGGTCAGGATCGAACGGTCGAAGCGATAGCATGGGCTTTCAGTTGAAAGCCCATGGCGATAGTAAAAATTAATTTGCATGGAATTTGAGGTCAAAATGGCTAAATCAGCTCTTATTTTGATATTGTTTGTAAAATCCATGAACCGATATTATTGTTTTATAAATTCCGCAAGGACAATGTTGTCACACCGGAATAGCCTGACAACGGATAGGCCTGTCAGATACCGTTGTCACAAATGGCGGATATAACCGTCGCTTCAATTATAGATTTTCATGAACTGTGTAGGGCCTATGTTTAATAGAGCGACTAGATTAGATTCCTTTGTTACTGCATCACTCAAAGTGTTTTTCTACCGATCATATAGTTAAATATGTTTTACCATCGAAATAAAGGCTTTAATTTTGTGATTGGAATATGATACAGGACAACGGATACTGTATAAATGACAACGGTAGGTTTGGGTCAAATGTGATGTATCGAGGTGACAACGGAAACATTTGACAACGGTAGGCTATTTGTTTATTTACCGTTGTCATTTTCCTATGCTCCAATGCAATACATCCACCATACTCCATTGTCACATCTTACCATATATGCCGTTGTCTTTGTACATTGTTTTAAATTCAGATTCCGTTGTCATTGACGATATCGAAGACACTATATTGTGGCGATTCACAACCCCACTTGATAGAAATTGGGATTTCATATAATACATCATCACACGAGCTTAACACATGCACAGAATTAGCGACGATAAAGTCCCATGAAACGAGGACCAAGTGATTAAAGAGTTGAAGCGACGGTTATGTCCGCCATTTGTGACAACGGTATCTGACTTTACCGTTGTCAGGCTATTCCGGTGTGGCAGTTAATTTTTTATTCAAGTCAGACTTAAATTAGAAGGGTAGATAAAGGTACACGTATCGCCCATCCCCTTCGCCTTCAAAACCTTACACAATTTTGAAAATGTTAAAGTGTCCATATTAGAAAGTTCGAATTGTGGTCGTACGCAATTGTGATGTTATGAATGTACGTCCATTGAACATTGAAATGAAATTTTAGTGGTGTTCTGATTATTATTTCAAATTAAGGTTCACTCAGTTTCAACTAACAGTGCAAGGGTTACAAGTGTTACGTCTTACAACATACAGGGTGGTCCAAAAAAGTGAACCCCTGCAACAGTTTCCTTAATACTTGCATGAATAGGCTCATATTATCACATGTTGAAGAGAAAGATCTAAAACTTTGGTCGATGCCATAACTTATTCCCACTCTTAATTTCAGGAAATTACAAGAGTTTAACAAACATGCCTGAAAATAAAATTTTACCAATGTGATTCACGGAAATTGTTGAACACATTGAATGATTTTAAAAGAGCTTCCAGCAAGTTTAAAATACTACCATATGCCAAAAGGGACACTATTTATGCAGGAAACACATTTCACACTTTCATTGATCATTTTGAAGCAGTTTTAACCATTCAACAGTTCAGGGGTATGTTACCTACATAAACAGTTAGAGGGGGGCCTCTTGTGGAAGGAAGTTGCCTCCTGTGACCAGGAATCTGAGAAGTCCTTCATCAAATATCTTAAAAAATCTAAAGAAAATCTAATATTCCATGTTTTGAGCCATATCTCATTTGAATTGGTCCATGATTTATGAAGATATTGACATTTCAAGATCATAAGGGGTATGTTCGCGATTTCACTGGAAAATGTTTTTGTCTAAGGACGCTTAGAACATTTCTTTGGATCACAATAACTTTGCAACTAACTAGGGTAGGATGCTAGTTTTAAGCCATAATGTGCAGGATTCAGAAAATCAAATTAGACTGCATGCACTTAAAACAATGTGAGCTAATAAAAACAAAATCGGTGACATCCATTTTTACGTCTGATTAGAACGATGTTAGGAAGATTTTAATACAAAAATGCACGATTGTAAATAAATTTTAAGCTCTATGTAGATACAAGCACCTTAATTTCAACATGACGCACGATGCGAAGACATTCCGATTTGAAACGAATTTGAACAAATGATAGACAAAACTTTTCTTCGCCCGAAAAATATCAACATACTAAGTATTTTCCGACGAACTTGCATCCATACGAACTCCACGTGCACTGAACAACGATGTACAACGTACTGTCCTCTTCCGACTCCCACTACATAATCTACCCTGGCATTTTCCTTCTACTCCCAGTAGACCCCAGACCCCCTCCCTTAGTTTTGCTTTTACAAAAATGTTCCCGAGACACAAATCCATTAAGGTAAGGTTTGTTTCAAAGTAGGAAAGTCCCAATAAGACGATACAAACCCAGATAAAACCCGGAAGACTGCAGATTTCATGTAATTATTTACGTTCATGTAAACAAGTAAAGTTCTGTATGCTCTGGAACACTTTTGTAAATATTTTTCACAAGCAATTTTGTTTGTGAACGTCAAATTTTGTCTTCCCGATTTCAGATATATACATTTTTAAGTCAATTTCGCGTGCAAACGTTGGGTAGACATTGCTATTCTCGGACGCCCAAACGTGTCAGGAACACGTAGATACTTGAATAATCTTGATTGGACAACAGGTTGCAGAGAAATCGTAATTTTACTGAGTGGCTTCACGAAAAAATAAAAAGGCTATACGCCTCGTTAACTCTAATAGAGTAAAACTACCGCATTTTTCAAAATATTCCGCAAAAGTGCAGTTTTTTCAAAAATCTACCGCAAAAACTACCGCATTTTTTCAAAATCTACCGTAAAACTACCGCATTATTTCAAAATCTTCTGCAAAACTAGCGGTTTTCAAAACTCAACCGCAAAACTACAGCATTTTTTCAAAATCTATCGTAAACTACCAAACTTCATTTTTTCAAAAATCTGCTGCAAAATTACTCTCTTTTCAAAAAGCTACCCCACACCGCTAAAACTGCAGTACTACTAAATCTACCGCTAAAAGTACCACAAAAAATTAATCTACCGCAAAAACTACCGCATTTTTGTTAAAAACTACCGCAAAACTACCGCATTTTGAAAAAATCTACCGCAAAAATACAGCAATCTAAAATAAATCTACTGCTTTTCGTCTTAGATTGGCAGGTATGTCTTTATTCCCGTATCAAAAAATACCCGTACACTATCTGGAAAGTATCTGTGACTTTCATTACTTTAATGGGTCCAAACTGAAGTTCATGGCCCGGCCCCCGGGGCCCGGCCCGAGCAAACATCTTTTGATAAGAAACCAATTATGAAATGTCGCCATCTTTCAAGAACGGATTCTTAACTTTCACAGCTATAAGGATTGAAACACCATTGGACCAAGAAGGCACGGCGCATGGTTTTACGCTTTTCAAGGACGGGATAGGACGTTTTCAGAACTACATGTACCGGATTTTCTCGCATATAAGCCCTGGGCGTATAACTGAAAGAAGGGGTAATTTCGTCTGTTATTTTACCTCTTATTTTTCGCCCATGGGCGTATAAGTGTACTACTTTCGATTTTTGGCCCAGTGGGCGTAAAGGTGGGCATCAGCCATCTTCCTCAAAGACTACCGTACCTACTGTTGTAGTCCTACCGCATGTTTTGTAAGAATTTTAAAGGAAATGTCACCTACAACCTTGGACTTAATGTTGAAACAAAGTAACAACAGAACGATCCACCACTGCCACTTACGGCACAGCGTTGAACTTAATGTTGAAACAAAGTAACGACAGAACGATCTGCCAGTGACAAAATACCCTTGAATTTATTCAAAAAATCAATAAATAGTCATTTTTATAGGCCCATGGGCGTATAAGCGTTCTACATTCGATTTTTGGCCCATGGGCCTAAATTTAGGGGGGCGTATATGCGAGAAAATCCGGTAGTTTGATGTTACTGCAGGGTAAGGCAGCAAGTTGGTCTTCAAGTGCATTTAGAACCTTTCTTCATTGACTGCTCTCAGGGATTCCCTCGACGGAGTGTGGGGGGGGGGTGTAAATAGTTGAAAATAATGGACAATGAGCCATAATTTTTATTTTCAAAATGTGAAGCATACTAAGTTTTTCTCATTGTTAAAGAAAATGTTTGTTTTGAGGCAAATATCTTCTTTATGTGTGATCCAACGGATCGGTATTAAATTGGAAATCTTTGAGCAATTTTGTAAGACATATGTGATATTTTGTGAAAAGTGTTCAGATTAGATTTCAAAATTAATATAAGGTTCACTGTTCGAATTAGAAGGTGTTAAGAAAACCTTGTGTTCGAATATACAGTTTTCACAGTAGCTACTTGCAAAAACTAAAGCAACAGAATCATATTTGCGTTGCAAGTAGAATTTATTGTATGATCGTATTAAATCGTGGATGATGACATATAGACAGATTTCTAAGTATTACTAGAAATTAAAACGTGTCTCATAAGTCTTTATTGTATCCTAAATTATCACTGGTTATATAAGCACTTTGGATCTCAACATTTTCCTTCTCTTTGTTTACTTTCATCTCCTCATCATTCATGGAATATGAATTTACACCAGAAAATTGATTAAGCACGTCAAGCTTTCTGGGAAAGACTCCCTTTTCAAATAATAATTTGGTTAATTCTGAGATTAAAACAGTCGTTAAGATGGCAACAATGATACTAAATATTCGCACAGGGAAAAGTTGTTCTTCAAACCCATACGGTGGATAAGGGATGAAAGGTGCAAGGTTCATTAGTGACTCCCCTCCTCCAATACGAAGTACTAACGCTAAAGATGAGCCAATCAAAGCACCGTATCCATTTGACACCTCAATATACATGCTGCATACCAACTGGGGAAACACTGTCACCAAGGTGATATCAGTACCAAAGTTAACAAGTCCATATATGCTGTCTCCAAATATGGCAGTGATCGACGCCAGTACTCCGATTATAAATATTGCTCCGCGTTGTACCCAAAGTAGTTCTTTCTCAGACGCCTAGAATGCAACATGTTCTAAATTAAATCTTTCTTGGTAATAACTACGAGTATGAACGCTATAATAGTGCTTGTTAAAAAGTCTATATGTGCCGCTGAGTCGGCGGGCAAAGCTCCTTTTACCATCCGTATGTTATGCGTGACAACCACTAAAGTGTGCAATTTGAATTCTCTTTTGAAGGAAAACTCTGTATATTATGTGACTACCTTACCTTTTTGCGTATAATAGCTCTGTATATATTGTGGGAGAACATTGATGCTGATCCTAATAAGGCAGAATCAACTGATGACATCACAGCTGCAGCCACGCTACACAATCCTGGAAACCCGAATAAAAGATTTTTGTATTGAATAGACTTTTCAATGTGATACATCACTAGTGGCAGCAACAAAGAAGATATTACCCACCAATTATTGTACCTGGTCTTAGCGGGAGGTGATACATCACTAGTGGGAGCGACAAAGAAGATATTACTCACCAATGATTGCACCTGGTCTTAGTGGGAGGAGATACATCACTAGTGGGAGCGACAAAGAAGATATTACTCACCAATGATTGCACCTGGTCTTGGTGGGAGGTGATACATCACTAGTGGGAGCGACAAAAAAGATATTACTCACTAATAATTGCACCTGGTCTTAGTGGGAGGTGATACATCACTAGTGGGAGCGACAAAGAAGATATTACTCACCAATAATTGCAACTGGTCTTAGTTGGAGGTGATACATCACTAGTGGAAGCGACAAATAAGATATTACTCACCAATGATTGCACCTGGTCTTAGTGGGAGGTGATACATCACTAGTGGGAGCGACAAAGAAGATATTACTCACCAATGATTGCACCTGGTCTTAGTGGGAAGTGATACATCACTAGTGGGAGCGACAAAGAAGATATTACTCACCAATGATTGCACCTGGTCTTAGTGGGAGGTGATACATCACTAGTGGGAGCGACAAAGAAGATATTACTCACCAATAATTGCACCTGGTCTTAGTGGGAGGTGATACATCACTAGTGGGAGCGGCAAAGAAGATATTACTCACCAATGATTGCAACTGGTCTTAGTGGGAGGTTATCCATCATTAGTGGGAGCGACAAATACCAATTATTGCACCTGATCTTAGTGGGAGGTGATACATCACTATTGGGAGCGACAAATAAGACATTACTGACCTATGCTTGTAACTGGTCTTGGTGTGAGGTGATACATCACTAGCGATGGCGACAAAGAAGAAATTACTCACCAATGCCAGCAACAAAGAAGATATTATTACTCACCAATGATTGCATGTCTTGGTGTGAGGAGATACATTACGAGTTTAGTCTACATTAGCTTTATTGTTATTTACAGTGGTAGGTTTACATCAGTTAATTCAGTACAATATAAAAAGAAGTAATGAAATAACAACCCAGCCCACGTAAGCTTATCAACCCCTTAAAGTAAAGATGCTCATTTATGAATACTAAATCTTTTTGAGTATAATTCATTAAATAAATTTTATAAATTGCATTTCTTTTAAAATAGTCAATATTAACAAAATGAGCAGCTTTTCAAATAAATACTGGAACTTAAGTTCCACAGTAGATTCTTTTTCTTCAAAAATTTGGTGATTTTGTAAATATTTTTCCCTTATTTCCTATGATAGAGCCCATGGCCAGATTTACATAAAGTACATTTTCCATTTTCCAATTTTTCCTTTTTAAATTTACCCGTTTCAATTTCCAGTGGCAAAATTCCCATACGTACAGTAATTGTGGAATTAAAGATCTTTCTAACTTAGATTTAAGCAATAAATATGACTCGATCAGTCTTGTATAAGGTTTCTTGTGAATTAAATCATTCCAAGTTTTCTTATAAGTAAAGAGTAGTCTCTTTTTGGCATTTTTATATAACAATACTTTAAATTCTCAAAATTCTCTTGACAACCACATCTACTAGTATTTAAAGAGCCCTTGACTCCATTTACTATTTACAGTTACTAGTGGGAGCAACAAAGAATACATCACTCACCAATGATTGCAATTAACTGGTCTTGGTGTGAGGTGATACATCACTAGTGGGAGCAGCATAAAATACATCACTCACCAATGATTGCAACTGATATAGGTGTGAGGAGATACATTACTCGTGGGAAGAACAAAGAAGACATCACTAACCAATGATTGCAAAGGGTCTGTTGATGTGATGTAATACATTACTAGTGGGAGCAACATAAAATACATCACTCACCAATGATTGCAACTGGTCTTGGTGTGATGGAATACATTACTAGTGGGAACAACATAAAATACATCACTCACCAATGATTGCAACTGGTCTTGGTGTGATGGAATACATTACTAGTGGGAACAACATAAAATACATCACTCACCAATGATTGCAACTGATATAGGTGTGAAAAGATACATTACTTGTGGGGGGAACAAAGACGACATCACCCACCAATGATTAAAAAGGGTCTTGATGTGATGTAATACATTACTAGTGGGAGCAACATAAAATACATCACTCACCAATTATTGCAACTGGTCTTGGTGTGAGGTGATACCTCACTAGTGGGAGCAACATAAAATACATCACTCACCAATGATTGCAACTGGTCTTGGTGTGAGGTGATACATCACTAGTGGGAGCAACAAAGAAGCATCACCCGTTGCAATAGGATCTCTTTCGTACTTGGTACTATTCCAATCTGTCGAAACTCCAATGGCTCCAATAGTGAGTGGGAAGATGCCCAAGATGAACGTAATAATTCCCCCGACAATTCCAATTATTTTAGCACCTCTTACGGACTTTGCTGATAAGAATCGTTGGAATGTAGATTGCCATGGTATAGCTCCTAGACTCTAGAAAGAGTATATATTTATAATTGGAAACCACTCTACCAATCATTCTAACAATACCATCTCAATAGGATTGAATTTTACCTCTGATTCTATAAATTTTTTCTTTCACAAGCCTAGCAAATTACACGCGACACAATATTTCAAGATTATCAATTGATCTCTCATAATGAAATAAGAATAATGTATAAGAATACACATTTACCGTTAATACAAAGAAGTCTATCCATGCGCCAATCTGAATCGGTTTAATGTTACCTAACCATTTGTCCTGCGCTTCACTTAGGTTAACATGTTCATTGGTGGCAGCGAATGGGATAGCAATACCCTAAAGAGATGAGGAGGCAGAAGGTTGTAAACTGTGAATTAGCTAGTCACTAAGTGAAACCAAACATCATACCTCATTGTCCATTGTGGAGTAAATCAACCAACGAGAACGTTTTTATTGTCAGAGGGCGTACGGTACGAAAAATATCTTCATTAGGTATAAGTGTGTACATACCATACCCACAACAAGTAAAGCTAACTCTACAATGTCTGTGTATGCCACGGCGACCATCTGCCCGACCATGGTATAGAACACTGCTATGGCCGCTGATATGACGATGGACACAACCTTGTCTAACTCAATTATAACACTAAGACTGGTGCCTGGAAGCGAAAAATATTTTTGAAATACAACCTTAAGAAAAAAGAAAATAATGGGCAATTTTTGTGTTGTTTGGACTGACTGCTTTGGGATGAGAGAAATGCGTGCAATTAAAACTATGGCTGACTTCAGATGAGAGAAATGTGCGCAATTTAAACGATGATTGACTTCAGATGAGAGAAATGTGTGCAATTAAAACTATGGCTGACTTCCGATGAGAGAAATGTGTGCAATTAATATAAAATGATGACTGAATTTTGGCCCAGTGGAAGGTGTACAATAAAATAAGAGTTCAGAATGACTGAAATGTCTGCAATTAAAGCAATGACTGCATGGCTTCAGAATGAGAGAAATGTGTGCAACTGAAACAATGACTGGCTTTGGACAGAGGAAGTGAATGCAATTAAAACAAGACTGACTTCAGAATAAGAATAAGAAAAATGTGTGCAATTAAAACAAAACTGACTTCAGAATAAGAGAAATGTGTGCAATTGAAACGATGACCTTAACTAAGACAATAGTGTGCATTATATTGGATTAATGGTTGACTTTGAACTAAGGTATAGAGAAATGTGCGCAGTTAAAATCATGGCTGAATTTAGGCTGTTAAAATGCTTGCAATTTAAACAATGACTTACTTTGGACAGAGAAAAATGTTTTTAATTAAAGCGATGGCTGATTTCAGAATGAGAGAAATGTGTACAATTAAAGCAATGCCTGTCAAAGAATATGTATTCAATTAAAACAATGACTGGCTTCAGACTGAGACTAAATGTATGCCATTAAAACGAGACTAACCTAGGGCTGATAGAATTGCCGCTGACCAGAAGATATCTGCCAGAAGAGTCGCGACGAACAAGCATGCGGTTGCCTCTCTTCCATATTTTGCGTTGAATGGGTCCAGAAACGTCAAATATTCTTTTTTACGCATCGGTCCTCCAAATAAAAACGAAGCTAAAAATTGAAGAGAACACAGCAATCATAAATGCATTGGTTGCGAAATAAAACAAAATTATATTCATACATGAAAGAATGAATTATCAGTTATTAATCCACTTACACAGGAAAAGTCCACACATTATTCCTAAAGGCGGGATCGTCCAGGCAACCCCACCTAAAGCCATACCCTCAGCTAGTCCGTTCAAGAAGCCACCGCCGATGTACGTCGCTTAAATTTAAAAAAATTGAATAGTGAACATTTATCTAAGAGACTGGGCTAACATAATATCTTTCTATATTTCATGTAAAGTAGAATATGGTTGACCGAATAGCCGATCGGACAGGGTTGGACACAGATACTGTGAGTGCATATAATATTCTTAATTTACCTTTTAATCTTAATAGAGAAACATTGTTACAACGTGGCATCCAAATTACTCATTGTTTGTGATGCAATGTAAGATATTGTGTACAATGAGAGATCTTAGTTATTACAATCAAGAATTAATAATGGCACTACCCAAAATGACAAATTCGACATACCTGACATTGTTAAAATCCCAACTCCCAGTCCCAGCTTCCTTCCTGCCACCATTGACAGCTCTGTCTCTGATGCTCCGGGGGCTTTGAAACATCTCCCTGCTACTATTCCAGTCACAAGTACAATCACGTAGAAAACAACCAGAACTATCACTCCTACTACATCAACTGCCATCTTGATAACCAGCCCTATGCATTCACAGTTTGTTATTCATGCTATTCTGCCATTGAATTCGTTTGTTGAAATACTCTCAATATCAATGTGTGGTTAAAAAATGCATATGATTTGAGGTCGCATTTTATTTTAAAGTCTCAATTCGTTCAAACAAGTCTTAACTGGATGTCTGCTTACTTACACGATGAACTACTATATAGTACTTCAACAAACATAAATTATGACAATTCTTTCAGACATTCATCTTTATAGAATTACGTTTATGATAGTACATATCCTTGTTATATTCCTATACTGTATACATGTAAGTGCGTTTCATTGCTGTTCTACTGTTTTGACTTTAAACGAATACTAATCCTCTTTTGTCAGTTTCGTATGAAAACGGTATGTTTAAAATTTTAATGTTGGTTAATGTAACGTTTGGTACATAAATTAAAACGTTTCTTTGTGTATACTTGAACTTAGGTTTCCTTTAATTTTCTAAAGAAAGGAAACCTGCCCTTACAGACGATTATAACTGCATACTGCTTTCATATATTTTAGGAAACATTCCTGTGAATAGAGCGAAATTTGGAAGGCCATATACTGGCACAATACGATGGATCAAAAGAATGTGTGCAGTAGCAGTTTGTTTTTCACTTCAACACCCTTGGTATACGCAGCTAACGAAAATTGACCGGTACGGGTCAAAAGCTGGACCGGTACGGGTTAACGGTTTTATTTGAATTTAAAATAGCCATAACTTGCTCAATATTGACTTCCTCGTGTCTAATTTGAAATATATGATGCCTCCCGATGCTTTTAAGTACCCCAATTTTTTACAGATTTTTAAACGGACCAAAACTCTCTAAATGCGCATTTATGCTCTTTTCTCTCGAGAACGACTGTCTCATTTTCACGATAACTTTTATTTAGTACTTCTAACATATAAGATCTATTTTTCCCCATCAAGGTATGATGTAAATGACATGCTATTCACATCTTGTGAGTTTCAATGACGCGCGTTTGATTTTATAAAAAATGCCAAACTTTGTGACAAAGAATTTCATCAGCTATTGTCCCGAACCGGTCCGTCTTCTCGCTGCAAGCAGATTGCCCCGAACCGGTCCGTCTTCTCGCTGCAAGCAGGATGAAATTCTTTGTCACAAAGTTTGGCAATTTTTATAAAATCAAACGCGCGTCATTGAAACTCACAAGATGTAAATAGCATGTCATTTACATCATACCTTGATGGGGAAAAATAGATCTTATATGTTAGAAGTACTAAATAAAAGTTATCGTGAAAATGAGACAGTCGTTCTCGAGAGAAAAGAGCATAAATGCGCATTTAGAGAGTTTTGGTCCGTTTAAAAATCTGTAAAAAATTGGGGTACTTAAAAGCATCGGGAGGCATCATATATTTCAAATTAGACACGAGGAAGTCAATATTGAGCAAGTTATGGCTATTTTAAATTCAAATAAAACCGTTAACCCGTACCGGTCCAGCTTTTGACCCGTACCGGTCAATTTTCGTTAGCTGCGTATACCAAGGGTGTTCAATAGTGTTTATTGTAGTTTAACACATCCTGAATGATGACGAGGTAAACACTGCATGAATTAACATACCTTACTGACTTAGCAATAGACTGTACCGATCAACATACATTTTAAGGCATATACTCCTAAAATATTTGGCCATCATCAATAGATTACACTGCCTTGTGAGAGGACTTGAACAAAAACACTCCATTGAAAGCATTTTCAATGACACATCTTGGAATAAGGCTCGGGGTTACAAATTTGAAATCGACTTCCGATTCAGGATCTATGACCTTTTGAAATCTCTAAATAATCTCACCAACTGCAACCAAATTAGCAATCAGATGCTGTCAAGAATAGAACATACATTTTCTTTCTCATTTTCTCATCAATGTGAGATATCAAAATCTTTTTTTTTTTATTAAAAAGTCTGAATCTGGAGTCTTGAGTGGAACTTTGTTCGATTTCACCAACCTAGTTTAAATTGATTTCTCTAAAGAAATGATAATATATCATATGAACAAGAGAAAATGAACTTACATATAATGTCACAATAATTTTGAAATTATTGCGTTCAAATTAGTTTTTTGCATTGAACTGATTAAAGAACTGAACATATTGTACCACTTGTGCGATGGAAGGTACGCTTACAGAGATGTTCCACTTAGCAGGTTTTACACTGTACTTACTTCTACATTATTTTTGAAGTTGTCGTGCAGTATAAACCCATACTTTTGAACCAGTGATGAAAGAATAGATGATTGATATTGTATAAAATGTTTATCTGTCTTAAAATGTCTCAACTGTCCTAAACTATCACTGGTTATATAAGAGCTCTGGTACTTAACATTTCTCTTCTCTTTGTTTACTTTCATCTCCTCATAATTCATGGAATATGAATTAACACCAGAACATTGATCAAGCACGTTAAGCTTGCTACGCGATTTCGGTCTTTTAACAATGAACAGAATAAAACTTTCGGTCATATATTGCGCCATAAATCATAGAATCTCGGTCTTTATTCCTTAAATAAAATTTGTCTTCGTCCAAAACCTGAATTCCGATCTGACAAATCTAATATTCCATATCTATGAGCAACAGTGTATATTTTGCATCAACCATGCAAATAATAACTCTATATATTTTGTAACAACCATACCTTTGTACAAAGAATAGCTCTGTATATTATGTGACTACCTTACCCTTTTGCAAATAATAACTCTGTATATTATGTGACTACCTTACCCTTTTGCAAATAATAACTCTGTATATTATGTGACTACCCTTACCCTTTTGCAAATAATAACTCTGTATATTATGTGACTACCTTACCCTTTTGCAAATAATAACTCTGTATATTAGGTGACTACCTTACCCTTTTGCAAATAATAACTCTGTATATTATGTGACTACCTTACCCTTTTGCAAATAATAACTCTGTATATTATGTGACTACCTTACCCTTTTGCAAATAATAACTCTGTATATTATGTGACTAGCTTACCCTTTTGCAAATAATAACTCTGTATATTATGTGACTACCTTACCCTTTTGACAAATAATAGTTCTATATATTATGTGACTACCTTAGCTTTTGACAAATAATAACTCTGTATATTTTGTGACAACCATACCTTTTTACGTATATATATATTGTGACAACCATACCCTTTTACGTATAATAGCTCTGTATATATTATGCGACAACCATACCTTTTTACGTATAATAGCTCTGTATATATTATGTGACAAACATACCTTTTTACGTATAATAGCTCTGTATATATTATGTGACAAACATACCTTTTTACGTATAATAGCTCTGTATATATTATGTGACAAACATACCTTTTTACGTATAATAGCTCTGTATATATTATGTGACAAACATACCTTTTTACGTATAATAGCTCTGTATATATTATGTGACAAACATACCTTTTTACGTATAATAGCTCTGTATATATTATGTGACAAACATACCTTTTTACGTATAATAGCTCTGTATATATTATGTGACAAACATACCTTTTTACGTATAATAGCTCTGTATATATTATGTGACAAACATACCTTTTTACGTATAATTGCTCTGTTAACACATGCATGATGAACATGGAAATACTGCCTGAACTGACTTAGTTTAGTAGTGTTGACATCTTGTTGACAAGAATATAAAGAAGCGGAAATGAATAAGAATTTTTGCAAGAATTTTTAATGACAAAATAATTTTGAAAAATGTGTTTAGACTAGTTCTTGCATTGAACAGATACCCGATGTATTTGTCTTAATTCAAATAGTAAGTGAATACTTTCAATTGTTTGATCATCCTACAAACTTAGCAAACATAGTCACATGCACTCGCCAAGTCATTTTTCGTGCCTTGAAAACAAAGGCAGGTTATTCCAAATTCGATTAATTATGATTTTTGTAATCCTGATTTCCTAATTACCAAGAAATTACAACTTAGCACCTTGTTGAAATTCTTCAAACGGGTTACGAAAACGGATGCATTAAGGTAACTTTAAGGGGGTTAACTTGTTTGCATCTTCCCTGTCTCAAAGTTGAAATTATTTTATCATCTCTATGACTGCTTTTCCTGGAGGTTATGCATTGATCTGACATATGCACCTGTTTAAATCCTCAGAGAATAGCCTAAATCCAACATACAGTGTATGACTGTCCGAAATCTGTTGCGATATTTTACCTCCTCCTTTATGAAAATGTACTCCCCTTGAAGAGGAAATACAATGCAATACAAAATACAATATATTTTGATTTTTTCAATCTCCCTCCAATTGACAAATTCTTTTAATTATCTAAAACTTTTCAGAAGTTCAAATCTGACAGATTTGACATTTGGATGGCCTTCAGTGAATAAGTTATTTTTCAATTGTTTTGTTGGAATAAGGTCAGCTTAATTACAAAAGACCTACTCTCACTGTGACTCTGGTCAGAAGAAGTGAAGTTTTCAGAAAGTGTCACAATGTTCGAGACAACAAATCAATTCTTGTCATCAAAGAAAGAGAACCAATGAGCTGTTCAACTTGAAATTTCTTTTCAGATGCGATAGGAGGCTTGTGCCGCGATCTGGTTAGGTTTTGAGCTTGCTGGGTAAATTACATGGTGACCAATATGCTCTTAAAAGTGTGATATTTATCACTGTGCGTCTTGTTTAGTACTAGGAAGTAAATCCCGCCTCACAAGTCTGTAATGTATCCCAAATTATCACTAGTCATATAAGCACTTTGAATCTCTGCATTTTTCTTCTCTTTGTCTACTGTCAACTCCTCATCATTCATGGAATATGAATTTACACCAGAAAATTGATTAAGCACGTCAAGCTTTCTGGGAAAGACTCCCTTTTCAAATAATAATTTTGTTAATCCTGAGATTACAACAGTCGTTAAGATGGCAACAATGATACTAAATATTCGCACAGGGAAAAGTTGTTCTTCAAACCCATACGGTGGATAAGGGATGAAAGGTGCAAGGTTCATCAGTGACTCTCCTCCTCCAATACGAAGTACTAACGCTAAAGATGAACCAACCAAAGCACCGTATCCATTTGACACCTCAATATACATGCTGCATACCAACTGGGGAAACACTGTCACCAAGGTGATATCAGTACCAAAGTTAACAAGTCCGTATATGCTGTCTCCAAATATGGCAGTGATCGACGCCAGTACTCCGATTATAAATATTGCTCCGCGTTGTACCCAAAGTAGTTCTTTCTCGGACGCCTAGAATGAGAATAAATTAAATGACATCAGATCAAACATGGTAATAACCGAGTATCGAAAGCACATTTTAGATGTTAAGCACGGATATTTCTGTCTTGTAGTTTTAATCGACTTAAAACATAAATTACAAATAATATGGCGAAAGCACGGAGGCTATTTTGTGATTATGATATACATTTTCGATGAACCTCTTTTCAAATGCAAATCCAAACCCTTGAAAGAAGAAGAAAATAATTGTGTATATAAATTGCTTATACCGTGTGACACAATTAAAAGGACAATATTTCATAACTTTTTTTCTGAAGAAATTCTGATTTTTTCATACATTAATACTGCATGCTGACCAGTCTGCAACTCCACAAGAAGTTTCAGATGACCAGATGATTAGTTTACCTAGATGCACATTTATGAGCGTTACAAAATGTGTAGTCTATTCCTTTGCTAGCACAGCTAGTATAGATCACAAATAAGTTATAATGATTTTATCAACGACATTACAAATAAATAATAACACAGTCAAGTCGAATAACTTAGTCAACATTCGAAAATAAAAATCTCAAAAATTGTACTTCTTCTAATTCGATTTCCAAAATAATTTGTGAGTTGGTTTAGATGATAATACACATTTTAACGTATTGATTTTGAGTACATCTCGAATCCATTCTCAAAAAAGCGTTCTCGAAACAAGTATTCGAAATGTTTGAGGCATATATTATTTACTCCCTGAAACATGCCAACGAATGTTATATAAGTAAATATCTCCGTTTTAAATAATTTTGTAAACGTTTATAATTGAAAAACAAAATTGAACATTTTGCATTTCTAAATTGATAAGTTTCTTGGAATACAACATAACTGTTACGATTTAAGTCATTAATAATATTTCCCTTAGTGATCCCATGCTAAATAGACAGTAAATGGGTCAATGTTTTATGTTCAACCTTGTTTTCATGACTTTTCAACATGAGTCGACAATTATGTAGGGAATTTCAATTCCAAATGTCAGCGTGTCTATCGGTCTTTTCATAATGATAGATCGTCAAAATCTGCATGTACCTCCATGAGGCGATATGTTTTTAAATTTAGAGATGTAAGCTATAAACTCAAACAAAAATTCAAACAACCCGCTATTATTTTGATTGCACAAGACGAAATTCCCATTCCCGGGATGTACTTTGGTAACACTTTGAAGGAGGATACTTGAAAAGTCGTTCGAATTTTCACAAAAGGTTTCATGCAGTTTCATTGCTTTGTTTAAGCCTAAACTAAAATCATACTCAAATCCGATACCGTAATTATAAATTAAAATGAAACATTAAACTCACCAGGTTATATTATGATAAACTGTTTCGAGCACTGATGATTTGAGTTAAACTGTGGATGTTTATACAAATGTAAGTCGGCATTTATTCGACAGTTAATGTACACATATGATTATGCATCAACGTGTGACTTAAATATCAATTCGTGACTATCATATTTGGAAGTTACAGTGGTAGGAGATTACCGAAAATGTCAATCACATCCAAATATCCGAACGACGTCAAGTATGAATAATTCAATTTTCAGCTGTCAAAAATCTCTTGCCATGTTAAATCTTGTCCTTTGTGTAGGTGCTTTCGCAATATGTCTACTTTTGATGTGTCAAAGGACAAGTCTATATGTTTATAGAAAAACAAATCATGCAACATTTGGTGGGTGACATTTTTTGTATGCTCATATTTCAAAATATGGGAATATTAGAATTGTGAATAAATTCACAATGTCTTGTTCCAGATGATACACTAATCGAATACCTTTTTGTAAATAGTAGTTCTTTAAATATTTTGTGTCGATCATAGTGCCCCTTTGGCCCTATAATTGCTCTGCATATAGTGTGTGATATCTATACCTTTTCTAAATGATAGCTCTGTATATCATGTGACAAACATACCTTTTTACGAATAATAACCCTGTATATATCATGTGACAAACATACCTTTTTTACGAATAATAACCCTATATATATCATGTGACAAACATACCTTTTTACGAATAATAACCCTGTATATATCATGTGACAAACATACCTTTTTACGAATAATAACTCTGTATATATCATGTGACAAACATACCTTTTTACGAATAATAACCCTGTATATAGCATGTAACAAACATACCTTTTTTACGAACAATTACCCTGTGCATATACAGGGTGTCTCAAAAAATGTACCCAAGAGTAAAGCAAGGGCACAGATAAACCAATCAATATTTTCAGATATTTTTTGCATGGTCATGTAGCCAAAACATGAACGTTTTCTCCCCAATACACCATTTTATTTCAGTCTTGTCTTTTTGCTGCTTTAACTCTTTACCTTTAACACCACATAATCGATGTTACCTCATATTTTGATGACAGCCTGTATCCTTATTGCTACACTGTTCATCACATTTGATAATAATTCTGGTTGAATGTTTTGGATTTCTCTTTGGATGTTGCTCTAAAGTTATTCAAGTCTTTTTGCTTGGAATGAGCATTAAAGCACTCCTTCAAAAAGTCACAGAAAATGATGTTTGAAGATGACGATGACAGAACAAACACAGATAATCAGGTCAATTATCAGCAAATGATTCAGGAGTTACTTTCCAGAGTTAGGCAGGCTAGCCTGGAGACCAAATGATATACAAATGAAAACACAGTGGTCTCAAATTGATACACACAACAAAAGCTACACTAGAATCCCAACCAATGCAGTTTTTGAACCTCTGACCTCTCTGTATAAGGGGGCTATAAGACATTGTGAGGGACTCCCTATTCACCATATTTGATGGCCCATACTTTTTTCTCTGAGGCTATTTGAAGGACCATTTTTATGCTAAACCCAAGCTAAGAGACCTAGAACAACTTAAGACCAGCATCCGAACAGAAATAAAAACATTCCACCAGAAATATCAAATGTGATGAACAATGTAGTAGTAAGGATGCAGGCTGTCATCGAAATATGAGGTTACATTGAATATGTGGTGTAAAAGGTAACAGGTTAAAGTATCAAAAAGGCAAAACTGAATTAAAAACTGTGTATAGGGGAAAAAACTTTCATCTTTTATCTACAAGACCATGCACAAAATGTCTGAAAATATTGATTGGTTTGTCTATGGTGTTGATTTACTTTTGGGTACACTTTTTGATGTATTATGTGACAACCATACCTTTTTACGAATAATGGCCCTGTATATATTTTGTGACAAACATACCTTTTTACGAATAATAGCCCTGGATATATTTTGTGACAAACATACCTTTTTACGAATCATAGCTGTATATACTCTGTGACAAACATACCTTTTTACGAATAATAGCTGTTTATATTATGTGTCAAAATACCTTTTTACGAATAATAGCCCTGTGCATATATATGATATGACAAACATACCTTTTTGCGTATAATAGCTCTGTATATATTGTGCGAGAACATTGATGCTGATCCTAATAAGGCAGAGTCAACTGATGACATCACAGCTGCAGCCACGCTACACAATCCTGGAATCAAAATTTACTGTCTTTTTAAATAAGCATCTTCTAGCCCCAGTATTTAATTTAGATAGAACAGGATAAACCACATGAATAAATAGATACATGTAATTCATCCTACAAATTCAAATGATGCAGTGTGTGGGATGGTGCGAGGTTACTAGCACCTGCACCAATGTTTGCACTTGGTCTTAGTGGGAGGTAATACATCACTAGTGGGAGCAACAAAGAAAACTTATTAATGATTGCAACAGGTCTTAGTGTGAGGTAATACATCACTAGTGGGAGCAACAAAGAAAACTTATTAATGATTGCAACAGGTCTTAGTGGGAGGTAATACATCACTAGTGGGAGCAACAAAGAAAACTTACTAATGATTGCAACATGTCTTAGTGGGAGGTAATACATCACTAATAGGAGCAACAAAGAAAACTAACTAATGATTGCAACAGGTCTTATTGGGAGGTAATACATCATTAGTGGGAGCAACAAAGAAAACTTACTAATGATTGCAACATGTCTTAGTGGGAGGTAATACATCACTAGTGGGAGCAACAAAGAAAACTTATTAATGATTGCAACAGGTCTTAGTGGGAGGTAATACATCATTAGGGGGAGCAACAAAGAAAACTTACTAATGATTGCAACAGGTCTTAGTGGGAGGTAATACATCACTAGTTGGAGCAACAACAAAAAACTTACTAATGATTGCAACAGGTCTTAGTGGGAGGTGATACATCACGAGTGTGAGCAACAAAGAAAACCTACTAATGATTGCAACAGGTCTTAGTGGGAGGTAATTCATCATTAGTGGGAGCAACAAAGAAAACTTACTAATGATTGCAACAGGTCTTAATTAGGGGGAGGTAATACATCACTAGTGGGAGCAACAAAAGAAACTTACTAATGATTGCAACAGGTCTTAGTGGGAGGTAATACATCACTAGTGGGAACAACAAAGAAAACTTACTAATGGTTGCAACAGGACTTGGTGTGAGGTGATACATCACAAGTGGGAGCAACAAAGAAAACTTACTTATGATTGCAACAGGTCTTATTGGGAGGTAATACATCACTAATAGGAGCAACAAAGAAAACTTACTAATGATTGCAACATGTCTTAGTGGGAGGTAATACATCATTAGTGGGAGGAACAAAGAAAACTTACTAATGATTGCAACAGGTCTTAGTGGGAGGTAATACATCACTAGTGGGAGCAACAAAGAAAACTTACTAATGATTGCAACAGGTCTTAGTGGGAGGTGATACACCACTAGTGGGAGCAACAAAGAAAACTTACTAATGATTGCAACATGTCTTAGTGTGAGGTAATACATCACTAGTGGGAGCAACAAAGAAAACTTACTAATGGTTACAACAGGACTTGGTGTGAGGTGATACATCACAAGTGGGGGCAACAAAGAAAATTTACTAATGATTGCAACAGGTCTTAGTGTGAGGTAATACATCACGAGTGTGAGCAACAAAGAGAACCTACTAATGATTGCAACAGGTCTTAGTGAAAGGTAATACATCATTAGTGGGAGCAACAAAGAAAACTTACTAATGATTGCAACAGGTCTTAGTGGGAGGTAATACATCACTAGTGGGAGCAACAAAAAAACTTACTAATGATTGCAACAGGTCTTAGTGGGAGTAAATACATCACTAGTGGGAGCAACAAAGAAAACTTACTTATGGTTGCAACAGGACTTGGTGTGAGGTGAAACATCACTAGTGGGAGCAACAAAGAAAACTTACTAATGATTGCAACATGTCTTAGTGGGAGGTAATACATCATTAGTGGGAGGAACAAAGAAAACTTACTAATGATTGCAACAGGTCTTAGTGGGAGGTAATACATCACTAGTGAGACCAACAAAAAACGTACTAATGATTGCAACAGGTCTTAGTGGGAGGTAATACATCACTAGTGGGAGCAACAAAAATCTTACTAATGATTGCAACAGGTCTTAGTGGGAGTTAATACATCACTAGTGGGAGCAACAAAGAAAACTTACTTATGGTTGCAACAGGACTTGGTGTGAGGTGAAACATCACTAGTGGGAGCAACAAAGAAAACTTACTAATGATTGCAACATGTCTTAGTGGGAGGTAATACATCATTAGTGGGAGGAACAAAGAAAACTTACTAATGATTGCAACAGGTCTTAGTGGGAGGTAATACATCACTAGTGAGAGCAACAAAAAACGTACTAATGATTGCAACAGGTCTTAGTGGGAGGTGATACATCACTAGTGGGAGCAACAAAGAAAACTTACTAATGATTGCAACAGGTCTTAGTGGGATGTAATACATAGTCACTAGTTTATCACAAGTGGGAGCAACAAAGAAGACTGACTAATGCTTGCAACGGGTCTTAGTGGGAGGTAATACATCACTAGTGGGAGCAACAAATAAAACTTACTAATGATTGCAACAGGTCTTAGTGGGAGGTAATACATCACTAGACTAGTGGGAGCAACAAAGAAAACTTACTAATGATTGCAACAGGTCTTGGTGTGAGGTGATACATCACTAGTGGGAGCAACAAAGAAAACTTACTAATGATTGCAACAGGTCTTCGTGGGAGGTGATACACCACTAGTGGGAGCAACAAAGAAAACTTACTAATGATTGCAAGAGGTCTTAATGGGGGCAACAAAGAAGACTCACTAATGCTTGCAATGAGTCTTAGTGGGAGGTAATACATCACTAGTGGGAGCAACAAAGAAAACTTACTAATGATTGCAACAGGTCTTAGTGGGATGTAATACATAGTCACTAGTTTATCACTAGTGGGAGCAACAAAGAAGACTTACTAATGTTTGCAACGGGTCTTAGTGTGAGGTAATACATCAATAGGGGGAGCAACAAAGAAAACTTACTAATGATTGCAACATGTCTTAGTGGGAGGTAATACATCACTAGTGGGAGCAACAAAGAAAACTTACTAATGATTGCAACAGGTCTTAGTGGGAGGTAATACATCACTAGTGGGAGCAACAAAGAAAACTTACTAATGATTGCAACAGGTCTTAGTGGGAGGTAATACATCACTAGTGGGAGCAACAAAGAAAACTAACTAATGATTGCAACAGGTCTTAGTGGGAGGTGATACACCACTAGTGGGAGCAACAAAGAGAACTTACTAATGATTGCAACAGGTCTTAGTGGGACGTAATACATCACTAGTGGGAGCAACAAAGAAAACTTACTAATGATTGCAACATGTCTTAGTGGGAGGTAATACATCACTAGTGGGAGCAACAAAGAAAACTAACTAATGATTGCAACAGGTCTTAGTGGGAGGTGATACACCACTAGTGGGAGCAACAAAGAAAACTTACTAATGATTGCAACAGGTCTTAGTGGGAGGTAATACATCACTAGTGGGAGCAACAAAGAAAACTTACTAATGATTGCAACAGGTCTTAGTGGGAGGTGATACACCACTAGTGGGAGCAACAAAGAAAACTTACTAATGATTGCAACATGTCTTAGTGGGAGGTAATACATCATTAGTGGGAGCAACAAATAAAACTTACTAATGATTGCAACAGGTCTTAGTGGGAGGTAATACATCACTAGTGAGAGCAACAAAAAACGTACTAATGATTGCAACAGGTCTTAGTGGGAGGTGATACATCACTAGTGGGAGCAACAAAGAAAACTTACTAATGATTGCAACAGGTCTTAGTGGGATGTAATACATAGTCACTAGTTTATCACTAGTGGGAGCAACAAAGAAGACTTACTAATGCTTGCAACGGGTCTTAGTGGGAGGTAATACATCACAAGTGGGAGCAACAAAGAAGACTTGCTAATGATTGCAACGGGTCTTGGTGTGAGGTAATACATCACTAGTGGGATTAACATAGCAGACATTACTCACCAATGATTGCAACGGGTCTTGGTGTGAGGTGATACATCACAAGTGGGAGCAACATAGCAGATATTACTCACCAATGATTGCAACTGGTCTTATCGGGAGGTTATACATCACTAGTGGGAGTAACATAGCAGACATTACTCACCAATGATTGCAACGGGTCTTGGTGTGAGGTAATACATCACTAGTGGGAGCAACATAGCAGAAATTACTCACCAATGATTGCAACGGGTCTTGGTGTGAGGTAATACATCACTAGTGGGAGCAACATAGCAGACATTACTCACCAATGATTGCAATGGGTCTTGGTGTGAGGTAATACATCACTAGTGGGAGCAACATAGCAGACATTACTCACTAATGATTGCAACTGGTCTTGGTGTGAGGTGATACATTACAAGTGGGAGTAACGAGGAGGCTTCACCAGCTGCAATTGGATCTTTCTCGTACTTAGTACTATTCCAATCAGCCGAGACTCCAATGACTCCAATAGTTATTGGGAATATGCCCAGGATGAACGTAATGATTCCCCCGACAACTCCGATTATTTTAACACCTCTAAGGACTTTGCTGATAAGAATCGTTTGAATGCAGATCGCCATGGTATAGCTCCTAGACTCTGTAAACCACTGGTGTTTAACGTATATCTTACACTCCCCTCCATAAGTTTGGCAACCTTAGCTCCCCCATTGAACTACGTTAAAGTCTCTTTACATTTGAATTTTTATTTACTAAACCTGCGATGAAAATACTTATACTATTAATGGAAACGTCATTTGACTTTATTTCCAATCCCTCCAAACTGTCTTAATTTTTTCCTCGATTACAATAAGAAAATTGATGATAAAGATGAATTTTTGAAAATCGACATTCCCATGTTAACCAATGGGATATGGTAGGTCAAAATTGTTTTTCAAAAACCTCTCCCATTGAAATAACACAGGAGGCGAAAAATTATTTTCAAAAATGACTTTGAAGCGCTGTAACTTTAGTATTCATCAAATAAACTAAACACTTACAAAAAAGTAAGACAATCTAATTTTCT